ATTTTTATTAACGCATGTCACGGCCTACGTAGTATCCATGCAGATTTAACAGAAATAAAAGAATAAGAGCAAAGACAGCGATCAGCTAGTTACTGAAAACCGCTTGGAATTATATACAGGCTTCGACGTCATTCTCAATCTCCTCGTTAACGAACTGGACGCGGTCCCAGTGCATGTAAGACAGTGGGACATATAACCAAATAAAGGTAAAAAGGATATTCAACCTACCTCAAGAGAAACAGTTCTTTCAAAAGGGAACAAGCTCATGTTAAGCTTCCATCTATTAACGAAAATAATCCTCCTATCAATGACATTCGGCTATATTTGAGGGAAAAACCTACAACAAAATGAAAGGATTAATAATTTAGAACGCAAATGGACAAGTTGAAATACTTTTGTTTTCATCCTCTAACACCTTGATACTATACCTGGCTTCAAGACAAACAATTTAATTAATACATGAATTTAACAAAAGATATGTAAATATTTTTTGAATGGTTCGTTATATAATATATGAAAAAACGCGTTTAGCTCAGTATTAAAGAAACATCTTAGTCTTGTTTTTAATTTTTTTTATATATACAACCCTAGTGTATTATCGATAAATAGCAAATATTTATGTTAACAGTAGCCTGACTTGACCGTCGCAAACTGAGTGGCCAAAAAAATATTAAGACTTCAACTAAGCTCAGTAATGCTTGCTATTGTATAAATTCCCTAAAACATAAAACACTAGCATTACCTAAAGAACTGACTGCTTACCTCAAACTTTTATAGTTCGCCTTCACGAAATTATGCGAGAATTATTTCCAATGGCATCGATATTCCGTAGCTTCACATTTGCCAGCATTGGATATAGCCGGTGTTTTCCGCACTAGAATTTGCTCCACAAGTTGTTCTGTGTAATGAAATGTGTAATTTGTAATAATCATTGCATTTTGTGATACCTTTCGCGATTTGTAAAAAAAACCGTATCCCACTTTATCTCAGGCTTTCCAAGTAATAAACTAAACTGTCGCAGTTTTTAATAAAATTTGCATCGCATTTTGGAATAATTTGTGAGTTATTCACGAAATTATGCACGAATTATTTGCAGTGGCATCGATATTCCGTAGCTTCACATTTCCCAGCATTGAACGTAGCCGGCGTTTTCCGCACTAGAATTTGCTCCACTAGTTGTTCTAGTGTAGTGAACGATTTTACTGTTGTAATTTGTAATAATCATCGCATTTTGTAATACCTGTCGCGATTTGTAATATTATCGTATCCCACCATCTCAGGCCTTCCAAGTAATAAACTTAACTGTCGCAGTTTTTAATAAAATTTGCATTGCTCTTTGGGATAATTTTTGAGAGTTGTTCAACTTTAATTACTTGGTTAACGTTAAAAACATGAATTCTAGGAAAAATAAAGTTTATGTATGTATACAGCTATTTCGAGAGAGGTTGGCGACAATCCTGAAAGGCATTGTGGGTGGTTTTGAGTTCTCCCTTTTTCAAAAAAAAATGAAAGAATTGGCACGTAAGGCCATGGAAATGTGTTTGCGAGCGTAAAGGAAATCAACAAAAGTAGGTTCGACAGCTACAGTCGTCAGGAACAGTGTATTGATCATATCCCATATTACCTTTCGGGATTGTCGCGTGCACATTTTTTCCAACAACCTTTCTCGGAATAACTGTATATGTATGAATACCGGGTAGTACCCCACTGGCAATCAAACGTTATGACGCCATCAAGCAATTGCTTTGATCTTCGTTCATTTGAAACGGGTAAATTTGCATGTCGTAGACAATCATTTAAACTATAGTCTGTTGGCTAGGTCACTCACGAAATTCGTTAAACTTACATGCATCGTTGTTGTAATAGGGTTTACATGCAATGGCCACTTTCTAATGCATGTACCACACTAAAAAAGCCTCTGGTTGATAAGTCGCGTGGTTTGACACCCAGAAAAGCTCCTTTCTTCTGGCACAAATATTTTGGGTGATTCCATCAAAATACCTCACTTATCTTTACTGGGCGAAGGTAAGTACAGTAACTACCCGTCAAAAATTATTGAATCACCCCTAGGGATTCTTCCGACCCAAATATAGAATCGGAAGATACTGCATGTCCGTCCTAGCCTTTAAACAGACGTTGTTTTATTTTTCTTTTCTTTCTTTTCAAAAACATCGGCGAGCTCGCAAGCCATTATATTTTATCACCCCCTCTAGACGAACTTTGAAGAGGAAATAGAGGGTCTGTGAACAGGCTACGTTTGTCCGGTTTCCTCGTTTGCTGTACGTTGTTGCTTTTTGATCACTAGATACCCTGTGCATGTGTAGCAAGTGTTTTCGATCAAGTTTGTGTTGCGAGAAAGTTGAAGCGAGAGCAAAAAAAATACAAAAGGCTGAAAAAAAAAAAAAAAAATGGAGGGGAAAGGAGAAGAAAAATCGCCTCCCCTCCCACTCAGTTCATGCAGTCCTCTTGTCCCAACTTTCTCGACGAACTCGCCTTTGCTGGTTGAAGGTAAAAAATTTTGGTTCTGTATTTTCTAACCCTTTGTTGGCTCACCTCCGGCCGTGACCCAAAAGAAAGGTCGAGAGATACGATGTTTCTCCTTTATTCTACTCGCCCCAGTCTTATCGACTATCATGGAAGTATGAAGGTCTCCGTTTTTTCGAGGACAGAGCCTGAACAGATCAACGTTTTTTTTTTCTTCAGTCTATTTGTTCGGTAAACAACAGACATTTGCGAACAACAAATGGCTCGAAGTTGACATTATATTTGTCGTTTAAGGGACACCAGAGGAAGTATGCTGCACGGCTTAGTCCGTTCAGAGGGCCGACGGCTATGCCATGCCGAAACAGCTGTCCATGGTTACTCAACCCATGCCCAGGTGATATAAATGTGCGCATGCGTGAGGTGCTGGCCAGGCCTTGGGTTTTACCGTGGGTTTAAAGCCGTGGGTTTAAAGCCGTGGGTTCCTTTCTTGTTTGTCTTCCAGAAGAGTGGCCTGAGTAGCCTGCGTAGCCTGTATGCAGACGTCCCCTCTCCCGATTTTTTCCTGAGTTGGGAGGGGACGTTTGTACACAGTATAGCCTGCGAGGAGCTCACTTGTGCGACTCCGGGGAAAAGTTTGGTGGTGGAGCTACCATCGCGCGAGGAAAAGTGATAAAAAGTGACTTTGCCATGGCGGCACCACCGCCAAAATTTTCCCCGAACTCGCACAAATAAGCCTGCTTGCAGAAGAGGAGTGACATTGTACTGCAAACCATTTTACTATTAAGCGTTTGTAACTGGTTTACATAGCAGTCGTGAAATACTTTCTCCTGAAGTTAACAAAAATAGATTTTTGCGTTTTCAGCTTAGCCAGCCACGATGGAGGATGTTTCTATTACATAATAGGAAACACTTTAAATTTAGACTGCCAGTGGTCTCTATTTTTCTTCAGATTTATAGCCTGCGTGGCAGGCGCAAAAAGGGGAGGGGGAGGGGGGAGGGAGAAAGGGAAATCCCCCTCCCCTTTTTCTCTTCCTCCCTATCCCCTACCCCCTACCCCTTTCGACGCCTGCTACGCTGGCTACAGATTTAGTAAGTAATATATCAAACATGAGATGCAGTGTTTCATCACCAGATGAAACACCGAGAAGAGAGTTGAAAATACGACGCGCAGCGGAGTATTTTTGACGAACTTCGAGGTGTTTCATCTGGTGATGAAACATCAAAATCATTTTTGAAGGAGAAATTAAGGATGCAAATACTAAGCAGTGTTTCATCCGATTTCCAAACACTCATTAAACATTAATTTCCTTTGTATTTTCTTAATGAATTATTAATGAGTTTGAGAAGGGAATTTCACACGCGACGAGACGCGAGAAACGAGGGTGGCAGCCCAAGAAGAGAAAAGAGAGACTGCCATCTCTCTTTTTTCGTGCCTCTCCCCTCTCGCGCCTTCAGTCACGCCCGCGGTCATTTTCGTGTCTCGTGCGTTTCGCTCGACGGATTAAGAAAAAAGAGAGACCGCTGGAAGTCTACTTTAAATCCAACAAGAAATGTGATGACGAGTTCTTTGGTTTTTTAAACAGTGATTAAAACTGTCAATGAGACCCTATTGATTGATCCCATAATTCTTAGTTTGTTTTTCCCTCCTGGTGTTAGCCTGTACACATACGTTTTTTCTTTCCTTGTTTCCAAGGAACAATTTATATTTCCTTTAATACGCTCGCACTAAGAGAAAACCGCTCGTAATCCCCTCGCGGGTGCCGTTTTTCACGAGCGCTTGTTTATTTCCCCGTCTCCCTGCTATCCCCATGGAAAATGATGGACTGGTTTTGGTAGTGTACTGCGGAAAAACAACAACAACTAAAACAAACATTACAAATCGAGGTCTAGAATTTAACACAAGGCCTAAAACTGGAACTGCTAGTGGTTCGAAGTCTCTTGATCCGCTCCTCAGAAAAGGAGGGATTTCTTACCTCTCTTTCTCCAGTGATCAGCATACGCTGGAGAAAGGGATAATTGCTTTGACCTCGCCCTTTTTTTATATTGAAACCACAATATCTGATCCCCATTTTATATTTTAACACCATTCTCCCACTTTAACTTGACCACACTAATTTACACGCTTTTAGTGCACGGAAATGATATATTTTCGTCAGTAAAATCAGCCTCAACACCTGCCAAAATTTAAACCTTTCAGTATTTACAAAATCATCATTTATTTCCCGACAGCAGATAAAACAGTTTATTGCTCGTTCTGTTTGATTGGCCGAGTAACAAAGATGGTTTTATGACGGAAGGCTCTTTCGCAGGTCACAGCAGTGATATGCAAATGACGACCCGAAAACCGGTCTTACGTGGCATTACCAACCTCGCTCTTACGAAAGACTGATATTTACATAATTCACCCGGCGATCTGTTGTGTTTTGGGCTCTGTTCGCGACACGGGTTAAACTTTTCGAGTTTTTAGGGATTTCGACGATTATGGTAAGCTGATCGGGAACACACAATTTCTTTCGATGGAGACATCTTCGCCACTTTACAATTTGGATTATTTTGGCGAAACCATGGAACAGAAAGATCGCAATTCTCATTGCTTTTCCGGTGAGTGAGAAAATATTAGCTTTCTTTTGCCATTTAGTTTCTTTATTTATCACATCGCCCTGTATCCTGGCTTATTTTCTCTGATTATTCGGAAAGAATTTCTAAGAAACCGAGAAGAAACTGAAATATTTTGGTGCGCGAATGTTTTGAATTAATTTTGTGCGGAGAATTCCATGTCGTCGTTGTGTTCTTATAAAAGTTTATTTCCTCCGTTCTGTATGACGTTTGGAAGAATTTTCTTGAGAAAATCTGCCATTTCTCAGTGTATTTGGCCGCTTTCCCTCGTGTTTACGTTTTTTTTTTTCATGAAAGAAAATAGAAGGGCGTTTTCTGAATGAATGGAGTCTTTCACACTGCTTTAGAAAGCGAATCAAGGAAATTGTGAAATGTTCTGATATTGACATTGGTGAAAAGAACTTTTAAAATGTCTAGTTATATCAATATTTTTATTAAACAAAAGCGCTACTGAGCCCTGAAGGTCGACCTTCGTTAGAAGACCATAAAATCTATTAAAACCACACTGTTAATTATTTTGTTTTCCACGGATCAACAGTTCGTTCCTCTGAGTAACACCCAAAAATTCTATTTCCGCTCCACTTGACTTCCGCTAGTGTAGACGATTACGTCACTTCCTACTTGGTTTAGGTGTTCTCTGGTGCAATACCCGTAACAAAGAATTTAAAATTTACAAGTCCCTACATTATGCTAGTCAGGAAGCTTGCCCTAAACACAGTGGCAACAAAGCTATTTCTCCAGGGCCATAGTGAGTCACCACAATTAAAAACGACAGCTGCCAGTGCCAATCAAAGTGTTTTATTAGAATGTCTGACGTTCCGGGCCGGCCGGAAGTGCTGCTTGTCAAGCGTAAGGCAAAATTCACGTTGGTTGATATGTACACAACACCTGCAACTATCCTGTCTGAAATTTTATCGAGTTTCCGCGCGATGCGTTTTTATTACGTCTTGCAAGCATTTTTCTCGTCTTAGTCTTTGTCACTTATTCTGACTAGCCTGCGTAACAGGCGTTATTTTTTCGCGTTTCTCAGGCGAGCAAAGGCAAGCGCGAAGCGAGCAACGAGTGCCAGCCAGACACCTGCGACGGTGGAAGGCACTCCTCGCACGCTTCGCGCGCTTCCCTTCGCTCGTCAGAAAACGCGAAAAAATTACTCCTGTTATGCAGGCTAATTCTGACAGATTAACAAGTCAAGTTCATAATTAAAGGTAATAAGATCATAAACCTTGTTTCAATATCTTTGTTTATACGCAAACACATTTAGTCCTTTATTCAGTATCGCATAAGAGGCGAAATCTTATTGGTCAGAGCGAGTAAACGATCCAAATGGTCTGAAAATATTTTCTCGGTCCATTGCAACTAATTATATAAATCTCCAAAGTCACGGTTCTAGTCATGGAATCCAACTCGGTTTTCCACAAATCGGATTCTTCGTGCGATAATAGATGGCATAAGAGAGGTGAGATCGCTTTACCTCTTTCTCTGAGGGTTTTTTTGTTTGCAGAAATCTCTGACGCAACAAGGTTGCAAAGCACAGTAAAGTACATAGCGCGAAAGACATTTAGTGACCTGCCGGTAAATGAGATTTGATCTTCGTGCGTTTGATTTTTTGCTTCGAAACTCAAATGTTGTCAACGGTTTATGAGGTCCTCGTTTAACACTAAGATATAGAGAACCTAAGAAAGTTACAAAAGTATTTGCTCAGGAATCTAAACTACCTTGATCATAATCATTAGGGTAACTCGAAATGACTTTTACTACTGGTCATGGACACTTTTTATTGATCTTTGAAACGTTCTACATGTCAAGAGCCACACTTTACGGTGACATTTTCCAATTTTCTAACACATGTATGTTTGGGGTATGTTACACAGTATCATTTGCGGTGATCAACGCAAGTGGGCGCAGAACATTGTCAGTAGAACATAGGTTAAGTCAACTTTCTTTGCTATGTTAATTATTGGCACTACGTCACCTGAAGGTGACGATGTGCTTCGGATCGAAGCGTGATTAAAAAGACATTTCAAAGAAATATTTAACGAGACGCCTTATTTAACTAACCAATATAATTAATGGAAGCCATTAAACTGTCTTTACCTTATCTATTTCTAGATCTCGAATTAGCGGCTGAGATAGGAAAAAATCTCTTAGAAAGAAACAAAGAACTGGAAATAATGCTGAAATCATCGCACCATTACTTAGAGGAACAGCATATCAAAAATGAGGTGTGTATAAGAAACAATTTTCAATTGTCTATGCCCGGCGCTAGAAAGAAAAAGGTGTGGCTTGCGTGCGTGTCCCTCTCGCGCGACTTTTCACGGTATCCGCCAAGTGGAGAGCTCAGTGTTCGCAGGCTAAAAAGGCGTAATTTAGTACCCCGGCTCTTCAGCTTCTTGTTTAGTGGGTGGTCGCTAGGAGAGACTCCCGTGAGATAGAAAAATTTGATTTTTTATTTGTCTAACAACTCGAAGTCTGTTGGTCCCTGTTTTTTAGGGAACGAATTGGCAGCCGCAGCTCAGCACGAGATTCAACCTCGTTCCCTTAATCCTTTCGTTTTTCAAAAAGTGGTGGTCGCATTTTAAGACCCGGGAGTATTTCATATCCCAGTAGCTTCCGTGATAAACGTAATTAACGTGTGTTACCATCAGAGTTAAGAAATTTTAACAGGGGTGAGAAACACATGGTTACGGAACAAGCCAGCGTGACGTCACGGCTACCATAGTACAAAAAAATGAAACGCCGGCCATGTTGGTGTACTAAAAAAGACTGGTGGGGATTGAACTCTCTTCGCATGTAAAAACTTTCTCTTTTTTCAAGAATTTGCATAGGAATAGTTGCTGACCACGCTAGTGGAAACGATCTATAGGGGTTAGGAAGAAAGTTATAAAACCACAATAATATTATTGTAAGGTAGCCGAACCTACTTCACGAATTTCTCTTAAATCCCCAGTTTCTTTCAAAGCAACTGGAAACAACACGAGAGTTACATGAAAGTCAAGTACGTGCCTGTGAACAGATGGAATCTACTGCCTTGGAACTACAGAAAACTAACAAAGAACTGCAGAGCGAAACAGCAGTAATGCGGAAACGTTACCAAACTGTTGTACAAACTGTGGAAAATTTGGAAAGCAAATGTGACGATTACAGGACACAGGTCGAAGAACTTCAAATAGAACGTATGCGATTGCAAAGAGAAATGGCGAGCTCTTTATCCCTTAAACTCACATGCAAAGAAAACGGCAGCTACGAGCTCGCGAGAGGCGAGGATGGAACTGACGAGACAGAAAAAGATGAAAAGGTTTTAAGCTTTAAGAAAGACATCGAAATTCTCAACGACAGGATTATGCAACTTAAAAGGCAGCATTCGACGGAGAAACGCCGTCGTGAAGAACTCGAGCTAGAGCTGTCGGACTTGATCCAAGAAAATCAACAGCTTGATAAAGAACTTTTCAACTTCGCGGAACAAGCGAGGCAGTGGCAGCAAAGCGCGTCTGAAGACTCGAGTCTCAGCGTTTTAGCATGTTCTCACTCGGGTCATCGTCGGCCACTTTCGGAAAGCACCGACGACGAGTCGTTTGTACTCCTGAACAGCGAACTTGATCGGCAGGTAAGCGCTATGTCAGATCAAAGCGAGGTTGAGATTTTGAACATTTCACAGGAGGTAAAATCCCCCCTTCAGGAGAACAGTACTTCGTTTTTATCAGAACTCGGAAGCCAATACCATGAGTTAGTTCGAAAGTACGACTCTCTTGTTGAAAGGTGTAAAAACGAAGGCATTGTCCATGAAACACCTCAGATTCCAACAGTACAGCGCGCGATTCAAACTTCGCCATTGGATGAGAAACCTACGACTGAAATTGGAGCGAGCGGCCCTCTACAAGACAGTGCGTCGGTCAGGGAGTACAAGAAACTCTTTGCGCAAATCTACTCCAAACTTCAAACATCTCAGTCTTGCAACCCAGCAGAAAAGGAGCTATAAATGGAATAGATCTCTAAAAAAACCTTCCTGACTTAAGGCTGGGCTGATTCGATCCGATATGATGACCTGACCATTAGTCTTTCCACCGTCACGTTATTGTAAAACTAAGTTGAGCAAGAGTGATGTTTTTTATTACTCCTTCTTTTTAATATATTTTTTATTTGGAAGGTAAAGGATAAGCATTAAGAGAACCAAATGACTGGCATAGCGTTCCTTATACATAAGCTCGGATGCCTCTGTTCCTTTAGGGGTGAATTTATGTAACACCCAAATCAACTGTCAGAACTTTGATCGTTTAAAGGAAAGGGCGGTGCTAATGAACACCTGATTTAAAGGCGAGAGGATTTTGTAGTAATGAATTGATGTTAGTTATGATAACTAAGATAGTACGCGCGTTCTGATTGGTTAAAACCCTATGGTTTACTGTGCCGGTAAACTCATAGAAAACTTTAAGTTATTTTATAAAAGCGATAGACCACACTTCTATGGGTTTACCGGCGTGATAACCCACTTGGGATGTTGGGAGAACACTCGAAAAGCTTGTAAATCACGAGCCGAAAACCATAGAAAGTGTGGTCTATTGCTTAAATAATTCATATCATTGGAGCCTTATAATTAATTATTAATAGCACCACAGAATTTTGAAAAACAAAAAAAGTGAAAATTACACAAACTATTCTTCAGTGCACTTTTCAATCCCCACAGGAATCCTCGCTGATGCAAAAATGAACAGTTTATCGGTCTTTGGCTTGTGGTTTTTTTAAGTAACGATATATCACATCAACCCCTCGCCTCAGGCTGATAACCCACACCGCAATACAATGACGTTTAATAACAAAAAACAAGTGTAAGTAATTCTTGAAATATCTGTTATAGAACACAATATTACTATAGTATTTATATATTTGTTAAAGATGAAAAGGGTATTTTCACTTGAAAATGCCCATGTAACAGAACTAACTCACGAAATATAATATAAGGGCAACCCCACTACAAGATTTAAATTATCCATATTTTTGTTACAATTATAATTATTTACAATTAATTAGTTTTGTTGGCTGTCGGACCAATAAACGTTTACTCACACACTCTGACACCATGTGTTCTTTCGAACAGCAGACTTTGCTTTGTCGTCCTCTTTACAGTAACAAAACTTTTACAAGTGTCTGTCTGTCTAAAGTCCGAAAACAATAGTTACACTTAGAAATTACACTTGTAAAAGTTTTATTAAATTGTCCCCAAGAAAGGAAAAGTGAGGGAAAGGGAAAAGGGGAAAGAAATGACCATCCACCAAAGAGCAAGCAACTGTTAGTATGAGTCAGCGATATTCCTAGTGATTATTGTAAACTACGTTGGGTGGAGTGGGAGCGGGGTGGTAGGCTTAGGTTTGGTCTTGTCCCTCCCCGAGGCTCGAACCATTCAAGGTAAACCTTTATATAGAGAGAAAACCGTTTACATAAAAACCCATAAAACAGCAATAAATCGGCCCGTGGACCACACAGGAGAGATGTAACACACATTTTAAGTAAGGTAAGCTGTTTTTTATTGAAATCCTTTCATTTTCGTAGGTTACAGAAACGATAGGTTTTTTTCCCATACAAATCCTTATATTTTGAATGTTACGCAACAATGCCGATGCTCATATTTCGAGCTTGCGCTACCTGTGATTGGACACTGGTTACATGTCCGCCGGAATAGTCATTAGTCCCTGGTTTTCTCGCTGCAGACAAGTTTCCAGTCTCACATATGAGTGTTACTACTGTATTGTCTCCTAGTTAATAATTTACGATATAATAGCGAGAAATAAGATTTGCGTCTGCACTTTATTTAAACTCATGAATTTCGGCTAATTCTTTTTTTTAAAAATATAAATATCATTAACATCTGTTAACGTTGCATTTGTCACTAATTTGTCTCTTTAGACACATTGCTTTGTACAATAAGCGATCAAACTTGTTTTGTACATACCATTTAGTCCTCCGTCCCTATGCAAGTAAAATAAGAAGAAACACAGGGAATAAAAACGGTACACTTTTTTCATCAACGCGAAATACACAGTGTTATCTTCTGACAGAGTCTATAGAGAGTAAAATTAACCCCTAAAATTAGGGCGCTTTCCAAACGTCAGAACTAGTCGGCCGGCCCAGTCATATTGAAAATGAAATATTCTTTTCTCTAAATTTTTACTTAAACCCATCACTGCCATTTATACCATTTAGAAATACTATAAACTGATCGGGCTGGATAGTCCTGATAGGTAGTGGAATTCTCCTCATGACTGGACTGGTCTGATCAGCTGGTTCTTACAAATGGTAAGCGCCCTATATTTTCAATCGCAGTACCCACGGCGGGTGTTGCTTATCGAATTACGCTGTAAAAGGGTGGTTCCGACTTTTGCCTCATTTGATGAGCAGTCTAAAGGAGTGGCCATTAAAACGAAAGCTTTAGTGTGGTACTTTCTAGTAGCCTGTGTATTCCGCCCTGAACGATATGACTGTTCACAGTCCCCTATTTTTCCGTAAGATCGTCAAGATAGGCGCCCGATTCTTACGATCTTACGAAAGGATAGGGGACTGTAAACAGTCTATGAAAGATGCTTCGAATGTTTTCGTCTGTAATGAAACCTTCGTGATGTATTTGCACTGATCACTTCTTTTAAGTTGACAAGAGCAAAGAAGACCCAAACGGGAAGAGCTAAACCCGGTTTGTGTTGCATGAAGCATCTAGGAGTATGGCTATCCCTCTCCTTCCCCCCCCCCCCTACTCCGGATGGGTATCCATTTATAGCCTTGGGTGGAGGTGGGGCAAAGTTTCTTATCTAACAGGTACAAACAACTTGACGACAATGCCTGAACCCGCTCCTACAAATCGCCCGGCCACTACGCCACCACGTCTTTTTAAGAGAGATGCGATTCTTCAGACCGGAATAGAACTCCTTATCAGCACACCTTGAAGAACACATTTTTGACCTTACATACTTCAATGGCCGTTTAAAATAAGGTCAAAAACGACGATTCACAGCACCTCGATCAGATTTTTAAATTGTTCAGTTTCCTAGAAGTACATGGTAAATTCCTCCTTCATATTGTTAAACTCTGTTTCTTCTTTCGTAATTGTATTCGCAGTTGATCTCACAGCAATAGACCACAGTCAGTCTACTCTAACCTCATACTGTTCTCGGGTCCTGTGTCGGAGAGGTTTAATCATTTGGTTACATTTTCGACTGACCACAGTGTGATTTAAAACTTTTAAAAATGTTACACGGTGTTTGTTTCCAAGACGTGTACTTCCTCTAAGCCAATCTGACCGCGATGACTCCACATTCGATAACGAGCGATATCTTTCCTTGTTACTATTCCAACAACCTGTCACAGGAAACAAGCGCATCAGATCATCATACAGTGGAACCCCGCTCTACAGACACCCACTTAATACGGACACCGGTTAATACGGACCACGGACAATTTCCTGTGTCCCAAGTCACAAACTCTTATATATCGTCAACCCCGCTTTACCGACGGATACTGGTTTCCCACGCACTTTCTATTTTCCTAGTCACAATCATATGCTAATTGTAGAGATTGAACACTGTTCAAATAATGACAGATTTCTATGGTTTAATACGATTTTTTTTTACTGTAAAAAAACAGCAGCAAAACAGCACGACATGTTTGATTTTGATAAGTCCGTCTTTCTTCTCGAGTTTGACCCTTGTATTGAAGCCTTTTAATAAAGTGTTCTGTCTCTGCTAACACGTTTTCTTTGGCTTTTTCCTACAATCATTGTTTCCGCCCAGGAACCTTCTTCCTCTTTGTCTGCTACATGAATACGGAGAACCGGATAATAGGGAAACTGTGGCATGCCCCCTTGGAGTTGTCCGTATTAACCGGGTTCTATTGTAATAGTTTGAAGCACCATAAAATAGAAACCTTCTTACGACCAGAAAACAAACTAAATAGAACCACAGTTTAGTTCCCAAAGGCAGACCACCCACCTTGTTGTTTTCATCTATCACCACGATGTGCCTTAGTCCCAAGGCCCTGAATAATCTAAACGCTCGTGTCAGAGAAGCATTCTGAAGAAACAAACAATCAAACAAATTTTAAAGGAGTTATATTAACCTCCCCTTGTGGGGTTAATTTAACTCCTTACCAATGGCGTTATTTTTTGGGGGAGTTATTTTAGTTTAAAGAACCCTTTTTGGGGATTAAAAATCACCCCAGATATTGAGGAGTTAAAATAACCCCCAAAAAGGAGTTATCCTGTACCTAAAAGTTTTACTCCAGTTTCAGAGTTAAAGTAACTCCAAAAAGAGTAAAAACAACAAAGGAGTAAAATTAACCCCAAGAACTGTTTTTCAGGAGTAAAAATGACCCCAAATTTGGAGTTAAAATAGGGGTTAAAGTAACCCCATAAATGGGGCTATCCTGCACCTAAAATCTTTACTCCGTTTTCGGAGTTATAATAAATACCTAAAAATTACTGTGAAAGGCCTACCCAAGGCACCTACGAATTTTCTTTATCACGAACCCATCTCTCCTGTCTTTATCAAAACGGTAGGGACTGTATGACTTTTGGTATCATTCTAACAAATTTTCCGTATCTGAGACGTGGTGCCTCGTTTCGTAGAGGTGTGCGTATTTTGAAGGTAGGGATTGAATGAATGTCACTCTTTAGGACAAAGCGAAATGTTCGTTATAGAGAGGTTCCCGTTCTAAAAATAGGGAGCTTAAGCAACGGTGTTTTTGAGCGACGGACGGAAGTGGACTTTTTGCGTCATTGGGCAGTGGTTTGGTTCAAACTCTCCTGTAAATCGTCTTAATAAGAGAAAAGAAACTTAGCAATACAAATTTGTTAGCACCAAAGCAGATAAAAAGGGAGAAGGCCTCACTTCCGGTTGACGTGCGTCGCTCAAAAACGTCTTTGCTTAAGCTCCCTAATATTCTGGAGGCGGGAAGTGCACGAACTTTGGCAAAGTGGGAGTACAGCCTCCTTTTGCCTTCTTGAGTGAGGAGGAAGAAAGGATGCTCTTCCTGAATCACGTCAAGCAAGCCTTCGAGGTCACCAAAGCTCAAACTTCTGGACTAGTCAACCTTGTCCTCTCTCGAAAAACTGGTTTTTTCGAGTGCAAGCATCCATTCATTGATAAACCGATGGCCATAACCGAGCCCGCCGTAGCAAGCGCACGGCTATTAGGCCTGGGTTCGACACTACATCCTAGGAACATGCCGCGCATGCTCAACAAAAATCTTACTCGATTCATTTTCTCGATTCATACAGAGTCTTTCTCAAGTACGACAAAATCGAGCAAGAGAAAGAAAGGTTCTACTGGCAGGCTGGAACTTTGGTAGCTTTGTAACAGTAAGAACTGTCTATAATTTTTAGATTTGTCGCAATAACAGATGAAGAGTTAACCTGGTCCCAGGCGAGAGAAATGACAATTAAAATTTGTCTTTGTGTTCTTAGCGCTAAAATGTTTGAAAATCCAGACGTTTCGGGACTACTGTCCCTTCATCAGTGGAAGATGCCGTTACACTGAACGCGCGTCATTTTATTCAAATGTGGCAACATTTGAAGCGCGCGCTGGAAGAGTTCGCTCAAATAAAATTGAAGTCAATGTTTATGCCGCGCGGCTGTAGAGTTTTGCATTTAAAAATTAGGCGGCCCTACGCTCTACGTCTGTCCCTGGTGTTGTGAAGACCCGCTCGAACAACAGCTACCATCATATCATCTGTTGTGTGACCGGGGGAGGAAAAATGTTTAGCAAAGGGTAGGTCAGCTTTCTTTGAGACAGATCTGAGGTGTTCGCAGAACCTGTCCCCAAGAAAAATGACAAGCCAAATAAAGAACACGTAGTTTCTTTTAGTTTTGTTTGCGACGCTAACTTATGGAAGAGTCTCAGGACAAAAAACAAATGGTATAACTAGGCATGCCGAGGATCCTACTGTGTTAAAATAATTTCAATGTGGAATTTCGAACACTTTTCTTAATTTGGTCGCTTAAAGAAAAATAAATCATAACTTACCGCATATAATGTGTAAGGACATGGGTTTAAATAAGGCCTCAGGTCCATATAACATTCTCTTTCCTTCTGAGATATACTAACGTTCTAGAGTAAAAGCAAAAACACAGTCACTAAACTCAATTGCTAAATGAGGTAGTTAGCGTGGTCGAGAAGTCAGAGCGCTGGAATTGGGGTTAGGACGTGGGCTATACGTACCCGAATAGGCGGAAATCTTGGGTAAGCATCCCTAAAGTCTTTCAGGGTTAATTTATTTTTACACCTCGGTGGGTTGCCTTCCGCGAACGTCTGTAGAAAAAACAGAAGCCAAGACAACATAAGAAAACTTTAGACGAAGTGGTTGTCAGAAGTTGGAAAATCGCGGTCATTGCTTAGAATGACTAGAAAGGTAATGTAATTTGCGCAGTGAAGCATTCTAATAAGTTGCGGGTGCGTTCACGTAACCTGCGGAATAACGGAGCAAAAATTTGGAATGTACCGCTCTCTTCTAGAATGAAAGCAATCAAAAATGCATACAAATATGTGATAGAGCGATACCCTGTACTTGATGTAAACCTCGACGCGCCGCTGAGAAAGGGCTGTGTTCTGTGCCTACGGCAATCTTTAATTGTGGTCATGAATTTTTAAGACGAAAGAACCACAACGACAGTAACAAGAACAAATTTTCAACCTCACCTTCGATTTAAGAAGAATAATAAGCTGTGATCTCAAGATTAAGCCACGATATGTCCCAAATGTTGCTTTACTGCTAGCACTTCCACTATCCTAACATGTTACAAAGAAAGACCGTCTTGTTAATGGCTACGTGCAAGCCAAGTAATTAACCACGGTTCATGTACATGTAAACATCTTATTATCCACTCCCTGAAAGACTACTATTTTGCATTGCTGACGTTCAATGTTTGCGAGGGGCTGAATTCAGAACCACAGTTAACTTAACCAGGACATGGGCTGTTAAAATTAGTGTTTTGCTGTCTTTTTTTAAAGACCCAATTTGGCATTTTATTTCAACCTCAAAAAAAAAAAAAGCACAATAAAAAATGTTTAAATTTGTCTTTGGCTTTCTACAACGTTTTTAATATATTTGCTCCTGTATGCAAGGCTTGGATTAAATGGCCGAGTTTGCCGAAACTTTTTGACACAATGCGCATGCGTAATATCAGAAACCGTAATTCAATGGTAAGTAATTGACTTAAGCCGCTGACAATAGTCGAATTGCAGTTAAGAGTTATTGATTTATCGATACACCGTGAATTTCACGCTTCAATAGACTTCGCGATGAAGAATACAAAAGAAAAAACACTAAATGGCTCCCACATGGATAAGATGGGCCTTCCGTAGTCATTTAAATAGGGACTTTGACAAGTACCAGCTGGGATTTCTGATCCCACATACTAAAGCCGGAACGAATGGGAGATACCTAGCGGGCCTCCTGATAAGGAACGGCTTGGTGAAATCCGAAGGGCTAGCCACCCCCAGTTTTTTTGTCCCTAGTTTATTATATGATGGCACGGAAGTTTTACAAACTGAAAACAGCAAAGTTAAGTAATCATTGCCGTGATTAAAAATTCAACGAAGAAATTATTGTTGCCGTAATTGACTCTGAAAACGCTACGCCGGGGACTGATTTGCGGAAATAAAGTTGCTCGGTCATAGCTTTTGCATTAATCTTTAAAAAGCGACATTCCTCTCTCTTTCGGACGGAGCTGTTTTTGGTGGTGGGGGTTTTTGTGTCAAGAATCGCTAAAAATGACAACGTTAGTTTCACGTAAACCATACCACTTCTGCCAATTTCATAACATCACAAAAAAAGGACAAAAAGTTTACCTCCTTGTCACTCGAGTCAGGGCAATCGACAACAGGAAAACCGTTGTGGTGTGAGCGTTTATCCTTTAACACGTCAACTATTCGGCCAACCTGACAGTAAATACAGTAATTGCAAGTAATCAAAGTCACTGAAAAGTCGCAAAGATAGTCCGTCTGTCTGCACACACATTCAAAATTGCACACATCAGCGATCGCAGATACTGATTTTTGTAAGCAAACTCAGGACTCAAGACTCAATTTCACATATTGTAGGGTGAAGCGATGTCACACAGGACGATGTATCGTAACGACTATTATCAGTGCACCCCAGCGTTAACAAAATTGTTACAACAAAGAGTGTAAAGATGGTGACGAACGGTCTACATGTGTGGTACCAACACTTCCCCACCAACCCTCCCCCCCCCTTAAAAAAAACTAATTTCATGATGCTAGTTTTAAAAATTACTTAATTCTGTATGCGAAGCAACATGAATCAGGGTCACTGAATGAGGTCTCTTGTTGGTCTCTTGTCTTGAACAGGGTAGCGAAATAAACGACATTTTTCGCCTCGGCGGTACATCTCTACCCAAACTTCCCCTGAGTTCCCCTCCGGGGATCTCCGGGGTTGATACTCCCCACATCCGATTCTGCACCACAGCACTAGACGTGAAAATAAAGCAATGAAACATAAAAAAACTCACACAAGGTACTTACCTTCTCCACTGTGTTAAAACAAACAACTTGTCTACTCATAATATCACTGAAAAAATGAACAAACAAAAATTGCGAATAAATTTATGTTAAACGAGAACTTACTGACAGACAAGAAAGGGAAAATATCAAAATCAAATGGGTACTTCAGAAGTACTTCCCACAAACAATGGACCGCGGTTACTGGTAATGAAGGTCTAACGCTTTTGTCTGTGGAAATCCTATTCTGTGACCATTCTAACAAAACCTCGTTTGACAGCACATTCGCACGATACATTACTACACATTACCGTAGTGTTTTTGTATTAGGCCCAGAGAAATTTGACATTTCTCCTTAAATTTTATTTTGGGAGCAAAGGATTTCATTCAGTGACTGGAAACTTTTGGCATGTTAATTTGATTGGGTTTACCTTTGATTCAAACGACTCGTTATCTACTAAATCAGAATTATCATGCTTCTGCCATGACCCCGTGCCGTGATGTTTTCGCCTCGATATCAACTCGGACAGAGTGTGCTTTTCCAAACAGAGTCTTGATAAGGTATTTTATGTGCAGAACACCAATCTACAACTGTGTTTTCGTTTAATTTTTTAAGCTAAAAATATCCTTCCCATCTCGTCGAAAAACGTTAAGCTGTATATATGTGGGGTTAATTTCCTTTTTTTCCTTATTTTTTTAATTTTGAACAATATTTAGCCAGGGGTGCCCAGTTTAGCGAGGCTGGTTTGAATGGGGCCCTGATGAAAAGAAAAAACAACACAAAAAACAATAACAGATAAAAAAATGGAACAACTAAGTAAAGAGAAAGTACTGGAGGCTCAATTTGGCTTGGATCTAAAGTGCCTTTTTAGGCCAAACCAAAACAAACTTGTTTAAATCATGCTCGCTCCTCAGGGTCAGCGGAAGCGTGTTCCAGATCTTGGCTCCGATTTTATTATGAAGTTCAAAGTATCCCTCATCAAAGTCGCCAGGACGTTTGGAAAGTGAATGATGGATTTCATTCGAAATCCGGTGTGCGAGCAAGGGGCCAGTAACAAAGTAGTGCTGTAGGATTACCTTGCATTCATTCCAACAGCCATTACAGGAGCCTCCCAGCCTAGTAATGGAACACCTTGTAACTTGACATGGATATCATATAAACCCTGAGGAGAGTAAGTAAATAATTCACATTTGATACCTTGTTTAGAGGCGGTGGAAAAGAAAAGAAGGGGAAAAGCCCTGGTAACAAGCGGAACGGATCTCGCCGAAGGCAAAAAGAGAAATGGGATACAAAGAAAGGCCGAAGGTAGCCTGTTCCAAGCGGCGTTCAGATAGTATGGAGTGGCGCGAGGTAAAGAAAGCAAGGACAAGTAGAGGGAAGAGCGTCGTGGGAACGCCTGTAGGACTCTCTTTCCTCTATCTCCCCTCCCTCGTTTTCATTTTTTTTTGCGTCCCATTTTAGTGGGCTCTCTATTAGAGACCCTTAGATTCAAGGACGAGGACGACTACGAGTACGAGATTTGACTTGAAGTTTTTTCGCGTCTTCCCAAAATATAGACTTCCCGGAAAGCTTTATTTTACCATTTTTCACCAGAAAAGAGTTAGCACTGTTACCTTAAGTGAAGGAGGTTATACCCTCTCCCGATCGCAAAATGATAAAACTTCTAACATTTGATAACTTGTTTCCGCAACTTCGACGTTCTCGCTAAAACTCGTAGTAGAGTGACGACGGCTACCACATGTTCGCGCCAAAATAACGCTGGCTCACGCGTGTGCACTACTTAGTATTGAGAAAATCTCGTACTCGTCTTAGAATCTAAAGGTCTCCATTATCTGAACGTCTGGAACAGGCTGGGCAAAAGGATAAGGAGTCGAGTAGAATGGATGCTAAGATGCTAGTGAATAACCTATTGTCCACTTGGGGACGACAAGTTGGTTTTTTCATAGCCTGGATGACAGAAGTTTGAAGTGGAAGAGGGACGTGGAATTCCAGGGGAACTCCTTTTCCTTTTCCCCCGTGCGCCCGAATCTCTCCCCGCTTCCGCTTCATTTTCCTTTGAAAGCCTGTCACAGGCTTGCTGTTTCAAGGACAATAGACAAATAGGATTTCATAAGCATTATCAACGCACACTTATGACTACAGTGAAGCAGAAGTGTGAGAAGAAATGAAGAATTGAAAAAAAATACATCCTGCTAGCTAAATTGGGGGAAAACTGAAGATACAAATGTTTCGTTTTTGTTGTAAATGCACATGCTCAAATTCTCACCTCGTTAAAGAAATCTCCGACCCATTTAGCGATCATAAGGACAAGCATTATTGGAATACCAAAGCTGATGTTTCCAGTCGCTTCCATCAAAATAACAGTCAGACTGATTGTCATTCGGACAACACCACCTGCAAGGAAAGCGAGAAAAGAGCAAAAAACCGCTAGGCAGCTTATAACGAAACACGCTTCTTGATCTGTGGTCAATAGAGGAGAGGCTGTTTTCCGTAAGGCTCAAGCAAGAAAGGTTTTGTGTATGCCTTACGGAAAAAAAATGTGGTACTACTGCGGCTATACACTACAAATGCATTTTTTTTACATTGGTTTGGTAAGAGATTTCGACTGGCTGCAGTCCTGACAACCTTGTGATCTAATACACAGCGTGGAGTATACTCGTAGAAAATACAGCGCACGAAGTTCGGACGAAACGTTTAGACGCATGTTAGAAGACTTGTCCAGTGGCGTGCTGAGTGGCATTATAGATGACCGTGCATGAACAGCCGCGAGAACAACTTCTTACTCAACATTCACGGCTGAATGCTTAACACAAATGGAATACAAACGAGCGACTGAACAAGAACGAGCGACAAGAAATGATGTCAACAATCACATTGGTGAACACCATTTACAGACCGGGCGAAGCATCAAATCGATTGGGACTCTGCGACATGCATTACGTATTTTACAGGCTACTATCAACGACTCACTGGCTGAAGCTGGCTCACTAACTTAGGACAAACGCCACTGAATCAAACTCAGCATTTACCGTCACTTACAAACGGACTCAAGTCGGCAAAACTGATAACGATAGAATGAATGGCCAACCCACAATTTGACTTAAAAATAAACGACAATTGTAAATTTGACAAAACGAGGATAGAAATGCATAAATCACATTTAGAGTCTTCATAGCCAATAACATTTCGGCTTAATTGACAGAAAACCAATACCATCGCGACTTACTGGCTAATCAGGTCTATAACCACACCATCAACTGACGTGATATAGTTCACTTTGACTGTGTAGGTGACTACCGCACAGGTTGTCAAAACGTCAGTCACTGTCAACAACAGTCCAGTTCCAGACTACACTCACGAGGACGTTAAAATTGCGAACATATTCTTAGAGTTACATAAGACAAACAGTCTACTTTGATTCCGTTTGTCAAGTGTTTGTGCAATACTTAACAGCTTACCAAGAGTTGCAGCCGCTCCAATCAAGGCATAACTTCCAGGTTCTCCCCAGGTTCCTTTAGGAAACCAGGTCCTCAAGGCTACCCCAAACAGCCGCCCCCAGGCCGCCCCAGTTAAGATGCATGGCACAAAAAGACCACTGGGAACAAACAAGCCGTAGGTCCAAGTGGCTAACAGGAAGTAGACTGGGGCGAAACCAGCTAGTGTAGTCACATGGTACGAACCTAATATGGAAATAGTCGTATCATAAAAAATATGAGAATACAGTCACCTCAGGTTATAACGAAACTAGGTAAGAGAAAATCTCATGCTAAAAAATTCGAACGTCTTTTCAGCCTGCAAAAGCCGTTTTAACTTTACAACGTCTAATCAAAGATCCAAGAGTTAACAGATTTGAAAAACAGCGCAATGAAACAGTAGAAACAAACACAAGTATGGGCAAGAACCCGCAATTAAAATTAAAAGTATGGCTTCGATATATCCCGCGTATATAATGACACTCTTTGAAATCTGACCTTGGGAGTTTGAAAAAAAAATACAAATGTGTTTCAAATTCAACATCAAAGGTTAAAAATCCCAGCTAGCACGAAGCGATCCCGTTGGCTATTCTGGCGTACCTTCGGGTAAATGGAAGAGGTTTTTAATTGACTCCTCGGGTGTGCTGAATACTAATGTTCCCATAGCACTGTATTCACCATCCTCACAGAAAAACTAGACAAAGGAAGAAAGTGAAATATAACTTGCATTAGCTTGCAGTATTGCACAAAATTAGTGTGAGAGAAATTCCTATTGATCTCAGGTTATTACGCCAAATTTACTGTCATATGGTTCAAGGCATTTTGAAACATAAGTGAAGCTAGAAACGAGAAAGCGGAGGGGAGTGAAGGAGAGAAGCTCTTTTTTCTGTGACAATGTACCTTAAATATAAGCGAGGACAGCATTAAGGTATGACAGAACAGTGGCAGTTTCGTTTGTTTCGTTCAAAATTATCAGAACGTTGTATGATTTTGATTTAAAAGAAGCTATTGACGTTCATGATTATTTTTATCACATTCGCTAAAGTTTCAGTTCGTAAAATCGCGAAAATTAAGTGACTTACATTCCAAAATTTACGACAAATTAAAATGCCGCTAAATAAGGATTTTCAAAATCGCTAAATTAACGTGTCGCCAAAATTTCATGAAATACGGTATATAGATAAGGCAAGGCTAAAGGCGAAGCTCTCGTTGATAAATTTATAGTAATAAATATTTATTTACTTCAACCAATAACTTGTAACCATTGCAAAGAAATCCGTTTGGAGTTGAGCCTGCGATCATTTGAAAACTAGTAACTTGTCAGTGGATAATTTCAAAAGAAGATGTACCATCGATGGGTCCACACCCGAGCCCGCGATATAGTTATGTGATACTGGTCAGCGGACACCCTGTTTTGACAGCTGTCAATTGACCACAACATGGATGTGCAATATCAGGTTGCAGGCTCTGACAGTAGCTAGAAAGTGTGAGCTTTCACAGTGGTTTCCCTGTGGTGCAGAAGGAAGGGTGGACGGAGGGACGTACGGTCACGTGACTACCAAAATTCATCGGACGGAAATGGAATAATAACCACATTTTCTTAACTATGGGGCTCTGCTTGTACGCGCGTGGAGCTCTGCGATTAGTAGCAGTACCTGCAGTGGTCTGGTTATGTTTGCGGCTCCTATGGGTTTGCAGTCATGGTAGAAGTAGATTAACACGAACGCAGAAGTAGCACTCAAAGTCGAAACTATCAGAGCTTCAATAACACGAACCCAGTTGCTCGTCACAAACCTGTATGGGAGAAAGCAAAAGGACTTTAAAGGAGCTGCTGTATCACGAAATTTATAAAAATTCAAACAGTGGGGACTGAGACTAAATTTAGTGAAATAACCGCGCAGAACATTAAAAGAATGTATAAATAACACACCAAATAAAAAATGAGGCAAGGATGGACAAACTTGAAGAAGACTGAAAAGGATTGCAATTGTGGTTCTTGAAAACCTGTTAGCCAACAGTTTTTCAAAGTTCATTTTTGTTGTTTCTAACGGTTGATATAATGCCTGGGAGACATTCACAAAAAACTGTAATTTTGTCACTCACTAATATTTTTTCAAGTTCTATTATATATAGCCAATAAGGACGCAAATTGGCCCCCCGGGGGTACTTCCTAGTAACAGGCTATTGGGGATGTGATGGATGGGGTCGCATTTTCACGACTGGATTGACTATAATGGGGTTGCAATTTCATTAGAGTTACTAGAATAGGATCGCACATTTTCGGGATTTGGGGAATCAGAAAATGGAGGTAGGTAGGGATCTAAAAATGGGACGATTTTTATTTCAGTAAGTTTAACCAAATGTGTCAATTTATTTCAGAATGACCCTGTTAAAAGGATTTATAAGATAGATGCAAGAACAGAAAGTGACTAAGTTGGGATCGCAAAAATTACATTTTCCCAAAAGTGACCAAATGTGCATGTCCTTTTCTCTTTTTTTCTTTCTTAATTTCTAATTTGTAAGTAAACGTAAGAAATGTTTTATAGAAAAAAAAAAAGTGACTAAGATGGGGTCTATATTTGGCCACAGAATAGACGATAATGGGGTAGGGGTTCTGAAAAGCCAGCGGCACACGCCCAGCAAAAATTAACTCAAGTAACTGCCGCACCCCCCCCCCCCCCGGCAATTTGATTTATAAACCAAAAAACCTTGCCTCCCAAGGGAAGGGGATAGGTCCTTTTAATCTATAAGGATATTTTCGAAGGGAAATTTTTTTATATTGCTAAACTCAAATTACTAAAACCGGCAGCGCCGCAGGTGCAAGCACTGAGAAACCATCCCCCCCCCCCCCCCCCCCGGAAATTGGCATTATTAACCAAATGAACTTGACGTCACAGGGAATGGGAATGGTCGTTTGATACTTACAGAGAATTTCTAGATGGAAATTTTGTATAGATTGCAAATCTACATTAGCTAAAACCGGCATGGCCGAGATCCGGAGGTTATTCCAAATGAAAGGTCGTAATTATTTTAGTAGCTTATCTCATCAAATTTACCCTGGGTACCAGAGACTTTTTCTCGCGTGTGACAAGGAGCTTCGTCGGCCGCAGGCCCACACGTCTTCGGCCTTTGGCGGGTCACTTTTAAGACTTGACCAAAACCAGAAACAGCGCACGAAAAGTCTCTGGCACCCAGGGTACATCAAATTAAACATGCTTACTTCATCCTGAAAATGGATAAATGGTGATTGATGGCGTTGAAAAGAGCCCCAAATAAACCACCTAAAAAACAACAACAGCAGCAATGAAAACTTATACTATATTTTTTAAAATAGAACGTGTTGGATAAATATGTTAACCCCTTGAAAACCACAGTCCGTCTGTACCACTTGTTTTCAGTATTTTGGAAAATGATATTGGGTCGTCTTAGCAATGCTTAATATTTGAACCGGTTCTTGGCAATAAAAGTTTTAACACTTAAGTCCCAAGAGCGACCAACATCAATTTTCTCTTAACAACAGAAATTCATCATCAAGAGAAGAGGTTGGGAGAGATAATAAAACGATCACCACATGGAAAATGCTTTGATCACGTATCAAATTCTCTCAACTTATTCTTCAAGAAAAAGTATGAAAACCAGTCTTGAGAATTTACATGTGTGGGTAATGGAGATTAAAATTTGACCCGCATTCATACTTATCGTACTCACCCAGAATTGCCATAACACAGAATAAAGGGAATTCATAACTGAAATAGGTCTGTCCCTAGGGATCAAACAGAAAACGGACCAGTCACTCACAGAACCCGTTTGCACGGGTCTGCACAAATTTTTGAACGGACGAATTTTTTAACCTGTGCAGCCCGTTTACACGGACTGTGCAAATTTTGTCACAGATTGCATGCAGTACTGTTTGCCGTTCAAAAACGTGCACGGTTTTGCAGGTTCCGTGTAAACGAAACGCGGATCTGTGCAAGTTTTTGTCCATTCAAAAATTTGTCCGGACCCTTGTAAATGGGGCTACAGTTACTCTATCCAAAATCAAAAGTTTTGATTTGTTTTCAACATTTTATAATCATCAAGCCGGATTTTTGAAAACGTCAGCAGAAACTATCTCCAAAGTTGCCAATACTGAAAAAAAAAGAGTGCAGCCATTGCTTTTTTTCTTCTCGTCCTTTCTTCCTCCTTGCTCTCTCTTTTTCTCGTTTCCTAGTGTGATTTTCGAGCTTGTTGAGCGCAAAAAACCTGCCTTTTAGCTCTTTTTCATTCAGCTGGCTGCAAGTTTCGCTTAAGGTTCGTTTTCAAAAAACTGCTAGATATATAAGTCTTCATAAAAAAGCTGATTTTTTTAACTGCATGCAGTGTTGCTTCGGATCTCTGTCTCACAGTAAATTTTGTATACGTAAAATACACGCTAAAATCTTGGCAAAAACGTAAGAGCATGTTGAAAGTCTATGTTTTTCTAAATCAAGGATACAACTGTATCTTCAATTTAGAAAAACAAAATCATTTCTAATCTAGGAATATTTTTGTTGCAAGTGAAACCCTCGAAGACCTGCCACGATGGACTTTTCAATACATACTGTAGTGTTCTTTCTACATCTTTTATAATATATCTCTAAGCATTGCAAGTGCGATCCCATTAGAAACAGTATGAGTATACTGACCTCAAAAGAGCCAAAATTGATCAGTCCAGGATTTGACAGATCCATTGGAGAACCATGGTAAATTGATAAAAGAACATTAAGAGTAAATGTTGATACCATCGAAGCAAAAAACATTCGCCACGTTAGGCTTTGATTCCAGAAGCTTGCTCCTTCTTCCAAACTGAAAAGAACTCCACCTGAAAAGAAACGGAGACATTTTAGAGCTCTAAAAAATATTGATAAAGTCGTTAGAGATTAAGAATCAAGTTACCGGCAAACGGCAGTTTGTACACCACATGACCAAGTTTTCCTTTTACTTGCCGTTTACTAGCTGTTCGTTATAATCTACACAAGATAAGAATGAGAAGCCTCATGCCCTTTTTATCAACAAGAAGTGCAAAAACAGTAATTTTTATGAAAGTGCTACGAAGCGCTCTCCCACAAATGAATTAAATGGCACTTTAAACACACTACTGATCTGCGTAGTATTTTCAAGGTTTGGCTAATACATAGTCCATATGCATCTAGCTGTGCTGCAAATTGAAAATGACAGCAAAGTCATGAATTATTCAAAATCATTAGCTTTTAAAGCAATGAACAAACTTAAACTTCAGTGCAAAACTATTTGAATGAGCCAAGGTTTCTTCAGTTTGTTCCTGAAAAAATTGTGTGCTTTAGCCTTTGTGTTGATAAAACATGTATCGGTGAAGTATACCATGACAGCCTGCTTAATAAGAACACCCAGATCAATAATACAGACACTGACACGTCCTGTTAGCGTCCACATCAAAGGAAAATTAACTATATAAAGAAAGGTCTTGAGAATACCGTATTTACACACTTAACCTTTTAAGTGCCAATAGTTACCAAGATCAATTTTCTCCTTACAATATCCATACATTATCAACAGATAAGTTATGGGAATTAATAAAATGACCACCCGAGTAAAAATGCCTTGATCTTTTATCAAATTCTCTCAACTCATTCTTTAAGGAAATGTATGGAGATCAGTTTGGAGAATTTGTATGTGGATACTGGGGCTTAAAGGGTTAATAAATGCCACAGATGGAAGCAAAATTACGATTAATAAATGCCACCCTCGGATAAACGACACACCCAATGGAGAGGCCGAGAAATGACTAAAATGATGAAAAGGCTTACCAACAGGAGCTCCAAACGCCGCTGACACTCCAGCTGCTGCGCCTCCAGAAACAAAATCTCTTTTTTCGTGGTCCTCACGAAAATAATGAAACAAGTGCAAGTCTTTGTTGAATGTTGTAGACCTTCCTTGAGACACACCTGCAGCAACAACTGCACCAGCATGAATCATTGGACCTTCCTTGCCACAAGCCAAGCCACCCGCCACTGAGAATATTACACCTACCACTTTGCAGAATAGGGTCTAATGAAGAACATGACGATACTTGTTAGCAATGATTTCAATGAGAGGGTCCCAGAGGGGGTACTCCCATATAACTGATGGGAATACCTGTAGGAAAATTAACATAATTATTAAACCCCTAAAGGAGACGAATTTGGGTAAGGCCCAAGTTTAAACTGACCCTTAAGGAGACCATACTAAAACAGACATATAAATAAGAGCTAGAGAAGTTTTTTTTGCACTAAAGATGTTGACATAGAATGCCTCATCAGATTTTTGTGTGGTAGGTGTCACAGCTTTTTTAGTAAATACTAATTACACCCCCAAGCAAGATGACAAGCATCCCTGTCACTTTTATATGGGAGTTATCCTTAAGGAGAGGGTATGGGTATTCTGCTAAAACAAAAATGAAATAAAGAGAGCACCACCACAATCCCCTCCACAAAGCTTGAATTTACAATGTAATGTACCTTACAAAAGAAGTTATAAGATTGCTCCCTCTGTTAGGTACTAATTATGCAATTATTATTGCGTCTTTCTATTCTACATACCTTAAGTCGTACCACATGAGGAACAAGTACTCCATTGAGATAACACTTGATTTGAGGAATGCCACTCCCGATTGCAACAGGCTGAAAAAATAAATCATATCAAAATAAAAACACTACAACATTATTGGAAGGTACGGTAAGACTCAAGAGGTACAACAGGTCACCAAAATAACTTGAAGAGCTAATGAAACTGGTTGTCAGGCTTCAACTTTATTGAATTTGGTGTTTAAATAGTTATCAAAGTGAGAATAAGAAAAAACAATATCATACAGAGAAGTCTAATCATTAATGGTAGTTTTACTGTAGCTATTATTATAGGTATCACCAATTAGTAGAGGCTAGTTTCTTCCAGCCTTGGCCAATTGAAACTGATATTATAAAGTTGATTGAGTGTTTGAGGCTCAATCCTGCCACACTCACGAGTATATTTACCAGTACACCATTCCACTGAGTTATTCCAGAAAAAATCCACACCTCTCGACAAAGTAAGATGGCGAGATATTTTGATAGTTGGCAAGGGTTTCTAGATGTTTTAACATCCCCTCCCCTTCAACATGAATTTCCAGCATTCAATCGACAATGGGTATTGGGATTTTTTATGGAATACTCCATTTTAAAAGCAGCTGTACCTCTCCATAAACAACCAACACAGTTGCAATAAGGACAAAGAGCACATCAAGCGCAACCCATAATGAGAAAGGAGCAGTCATACAGTCACCGCTCGTACACCAGTCAATATCTTAAGGGTTGCAGTTAAGTTCCTAATATTGATCTTTACATATTGAAAAAAAATGGGATAAATCTTTCATTAATTATTATTGTTAGTCAATCAACAAATACATTATTTTATTATTTTGTTATTACAAAATAATAATTATTTTTTGCATTTTTTCAGAATTAAAATAATTATTAATTTAGATTTATCCACCTCAACTTTAGCCTGTAATGCAGACATTTTTTTTGAACATGCAGCTACTTTAATAAAATTAATAACTTGCTGAAGTAACTACCACAATGAATTCCAAAAATAAATAAATAAATAAACGAGTTGGAGCTAATCAAAGGGGACAGTCTCTACATTCACTCTCCCCAATCTTCCTCTGTTTCCCAAATCAAAGATGACAGCAACAGGAAACTTAGCGTCTGCCCAACTAAAAAATATCCCTGCACTGGAGCTTAACTCAATCGGCAACATGAACCTTAACAACTGGTTGTCTGTCTGTGTGTATCAATAACTGTATTCCCTGTGCAACTCTGTAGTTACCTGTTAATGAACTATAATATTATTTTCAGTACAATGGGTTTTTCACATTTCTTTCTATGGATCAGGTTTTATTCCTTAACTCCATTGTAGTTCAATTTTGTTGATGCAAAGCTACCGGAAGCAAAATTAATATAAAAAGGATACATTCCTTTATAAGACTATACTTTTGGTCAGCTATGATTATTATTAAACAGTCAATTGAAAATGCAATAAGTCCAGTTATGAATCCTATGATAAACATGACCACCCATCTGTTGATGTTGATTTTCAGTCGTTCCTGTGTAAAAAAAAAAAACAACAACAACAGAAAGGACACAGCGCTATTGGAGGGGCCAATAAACCAAACTTGTTCTGTAGGCCCGGAGGGGAGGGGGAGAGCCCCTACCCCATTATAGTCTATTCTGTGGCCATTTATAGACCCCACCTTAGTCACTTTTGGGCAAATATGTAATTTTCGTGATCCCAGCTTAGTCACTTTCTATTTTTATGAATTGACCCATTTTTAGATTGAATGAAGAACACGTTAATTTTCATCCGCAGTACAAACGTTCTGGTATGTTTGCTAACCGTAAATATGAAGAACTGTCTTACCCCCAAAAATCTGAAAATGTGCGATTGCATTCTAGTAACTCCATTGAAAAGGCGACCCCATTATAGTCAATCCAGTTGTGAAAATGCGACCCCATCCAGCGGCACATCCCCATTAGCCTCTACCCTTATAAGGAAGTACCACCTCACCCCCACCCCCCCCACCCCAGTCTCTTATCTACTGACCAGAACACGATAGAGTAAATGAAATATAAGAAAAAATAATAGAAAGTTATATTACTGAACTAAACAATAAATAACAAAATACATAAAAAGTGTACATTATATAAGAAATAAGTTAATAGAGAAATAGTAAAAACGTATGGTATCAAAAAATAGTATCCCCCCCCCCCCACCCCCCAGGTCTGTAGGTAGCCAGACAAGGAAGTGTTAGCAAGAAGATGGCAAATTAGAGCTAGTAAGAATCAGTTTATTCATCAATTTCCACGACTGAAAATAGAATTCCATGGCTTTCTGAGGCCTAAAAATGAAATTATTAAACTTTCCAAGATTTCTACGTCCCATATGAACCCTGTCAATGGATTTTCCAGGGATAACAGGGTGGGGAAGTGGAGATTTGTAACTTCACTGGAACTTCCAGCAAACCCTCAAAAAAGGGGGTATGGATACTTTCTGGGACAAAATAATTCAGACTATTATTCTCAACTATACCGCTGAATCAGTTCTTACCTCTGCTGAATACGACTTCTGTTCCTTGAAGTAAAGAGTATTTTCTGCAGTATCATAATCTAAACTCTGTTGTAAGGTACACAAAAGAGGCAATTCAGATCCAAAAGAATTCTTATAGAATTGGCCATTAACATTTTGGCCATTCTTATCACAGTGGTTTTTTTTTTTTCAAAACAAAACAGAGAATCAAGTTCATTCAGAAACCAAACTGGAAGAGTAAATGTTGCATTGAGGAAAGTTACCACATTAGCTACCCATTCCAGTCCACTGGGAGGCCAATTTTATACCAAAATGAGTAATCGCTCCTTTAATTAGTTACGTGATGCTGTTGTGAGATTTCGTACTGGAATCAAATTCTTGCACAAGTGCAAAAACCAGGGTAAGGTTTCATTGACTATTATTACATTTTCATCTTAAAAGGTTGAGATATAAGGAAAAAATGTCAAGAAGTTGGTCATCTACTGCAGATGACATGGGCATGCCTCCTTAATGTCGTATAATTAAAATTCCTTGAGTGACTAGCTTTAAGCAAGTTGGAATCCCTCTTTCAAAACGGCTGAGGACATCCCTAATTTGTAATACAACTTTTAACAGCTGCTGTGCATGACTCCATGACTGTCTTGGGCATTTACAGTTTCCTCTAGAAAAGTATTTAAAATTGCCAGACACCCAGGTGAGGGAGTGGGAGGGGTTGGCGGCAGGAAGGGGAAGGGCAGGCTTAAATTTTACAGAGCAACACCTCAGCCTAAAACTTCATTATTTAAGGACTACAAGATTACACGTTTTATAGAAGTCTGCACAAAGCTGAAAACATTTTATTTGGTACACATGCTCACTTTGGGACCATCAGTCAAAACTGCCCGGAAGTTCTCCCGGGTCGATCCCCTGGATGGCTGCTGATAAGTGCATAATCATGATTACTCAATGATTACCCATCAATACTCATTGATGTCATTCATAACCAAGTTATAATGCCCGGAATTTAACATCTTGATCATTGGCATCAGCATACTTTAATGATTATATTTTTTTGGCTATGCACTAGTGTAAAATTCAAAACATGTGACACCGCGTGATGTTATCAATAGCTAAAACTGTGTGTCTTCAACAACAGCATTGAACCTATGGTTTGGAAATATATTATTTGCGATACCTCATATTTTGATGAGATCTTTTGAAGACTTCCTGGTTCTGACACTGAATTACATAGAGAGCCATTCTATAAAAAAGAGAGAGAAATAAAATCTGAGTTGGGTACTTTAATACCTAGGAAGCTGTTAATCTTGTTTCGAATATTGAAGACTATGAGACAACCTATTTGATTTGTCCTACTCACCTCGCTTGATACTGATCGTGAATTGTCCACAGCTTCTGACAAACGTCTTCTACGGGTTACTTGGTGTTGAACTCCAGGCTACGACCAAACACAAAGTAAGCTAATAAGCTCTAATAGCGTGTACGTTTTTGTGGGGGAATTACAAAGAGCGTCGCGAAAAGGAAGGGTATGACAACATGATCGGAGCTAAAACTTACAACTTCATTATCAAGAAGCGGAGAATTTTCTGACGGCATGTTAGTTAACCTGTTCAAAGGCTGTAATCGCGGCATCGAGAAAATACTCCAGTGCTCCAGACATATGTGTGACTTCGACTATTTCGATTTCCTCTGTCAGAACACTAGAGCCCAGTGCAACTCGCCACTTTAAAATCCACCACTTTCTTGATGCATTCTGGGATATTCAAAATGGCGGCGAGGACCGGCATCAGAGCACTGCGACTTTTGAGACCTTTCAAATCGACCACTTCTCAACCATACAGCAGTCTGAGGTACGATCCACTTCCCTAGCATTCAATTAAAATATCCAGCACTCTCTAATCATGTAAGTGACTTTTTTAATTTCCAGATGTACATGGTGTGTTTCTCTTCAAAGATGGCGGTTCAGTGGATGCACACGTTACGATTCCACCCTTGCACAGCCTCGGCCAGACGATGCTGTCAAGGAGTACCCAGACAAAATCAAGTCTATTGTAGATGAAATATCAAAACTTACACTTATAGAAGTCGCTGACTTGAATGAGCTACTCAAGGTGATGATAATTTATGTAAATAATTCGTAAGATTTGCGTATAACCCCACACATTAATTATGCATACAGTCTTCGACTTTATTCATATCAACTATTTGTGAGAAAAAGTATGAAATTGTTGCATACATAATAAATGTATGGAGTTATATGGAAATCTTACCAAATAATCTCAAATTTTGTAAGAACAATCTTTAAGTGATTTTTAAATAACCTTAAATGCCTTTAAAATCTGTCAAAAAGTATTTAGAAAACCTTAAGTGTGCTTACATATCAACAAATGTAACGTAGGGTGGTTATTATTATAAAAAGCCTTTTCATATCAAGGCATCCATGGTGAAACCTAGTCACCTAGCCACGTTCAGTGTAAAACGCACACTGCAGACTATTGTTTTCACCGTGCAAATGAGAACATCATAGTAATAGTCCCATTGCTTTTTAACCCTGAAAACGATAGTCCACAGTCAGTCTGCAGTCTGCCCCAAAATTAACCAGTTTTTCTCTCAGGTACAGTGTAGCTGAAAATTTTGAATCCATGAGTTTTGCTATGGTTCTATAGGGCTTATGGCCCTGTCCGAGTTTTCTTGTTTGTAATGAATGGAACCTGTGAATCTTCAGTGTGTTTCTGAACCTTACAACAAATAGACTGGTTATTACACTGTACCATTTCTTGAGCAAAATTCTCAGCCAAAGATTATAGTTTTGGGTTCTTTTAAAGGTCTTTAAAAACTGATCATATCTTTAAGATGTTTGCAGCTTAAATTGCAACCCTCCAATGGGCAACTATGTCCTGCAATTTGGTTGTCACTACAGTAATAGCCCGCGTATAAGAACCTGAATTTTTCAATTTAGCCTAAATAGGTTCTTATATAAATGGTACTTAAAACAAATTTAGGCTACCGAGGTTCTTAAAATAGGTTCTTATATTTTCATATGAATTTCATCTGAATATACTATATATATTATAAATATAATCTCATAATACAGTATAAATCATTTATTTGTACCATAGAGCAATGGCTATAGGCAGTTCAGTACAGGTACAGCATATGTCCTTAACAAAACATAACAAAGAAACTCATGTTGATACCAAATTCATAACAAGCTCAAGCAATGAGGAGAAATGAAAAACAAAATAGATGATGATCTTAATTCAGCAGTTTCTACCTATACACTTTTACAGCAACCCCACTGATAAGAACCTAACTTAAAATTTTAGCCTAAATAGGTTCTTATATGGAGGGGGCTTAAAATGAAAATTTTAGCCTAACAGGTTCTTAAAACCCAGGTTCTTATACGCGGGCTATTACTGTATTACAATCTGGTCATTTCTGATGACTTGAAGACTGTAAACTTTGCATCCTGCAAACACAATTGGTTCTATTCTATTCAAGTGCATAAAATTTGTGAGCATACACACATAAAAGTTATGCGGCAGGGGAAATCCAACTTTAGACCCTGAGTACGTTTCTATGGGACTGAACATAATCTACTATAAGGGCTGTGCTCTAGCAGCGGCCAGTGGGCCCTGGCACCTTACTTTTGCTCTTGGGCAATTAGGATATCTTAGTTTTCTCATAGAAATCCTGTGCTGGGAAATTCTGGATTACACAGGCTCAGAGAATAGGGCTCCCTTCAATTTTTCTTCAAACACAGGCTTGCAAAGCTTCACCAACTGTCCTAACCCATGTCAAAATAGAATCAAGCTCATTCTTGGAGATAAATCATTCCAAGTAGCAGCCCCTAGATTATGGAATACATTACCCTCTGAAATAAGAGCAATTAGCCTGGCTTATGGTCTTTTCAAAGGAGCAAGTTTAGATGTAATTGTTCAGGAAAGCATTTGCTTGTAACACCTAGTGCCTCTGATAGCATGATTACTTGTGTATTTTAGTGTTAGATTTAGTTTTTTATTGCAATTTTATATGTTTCTTTTCAGTTTTTTAGGTTTTTGAATTTATTTTGGGATTGTGTTGTATAACTTTGCTTGTTTATTTTATAGTTTGTACACAGATAGGTTAGATACTATAACACGGTTTGTGCGGATTAGTTACTTCAGATGATAAAGTAAGATAATGTAAGACAAAGAAGAGTAATTAAACTGCGCGAATGACACGATACCAGAATTTGTTTCTGTTGAACTGTTTAAGGTCCAAGAATATGCTAAAACAAAGTAAGTTGTGAAAATTTTCAAACATGACAGCTAAACCCAAGGTCATGGAAACTTAAAAAGGTCATTGAAAAAGTCTTGAAAAGTCATGGAATTTGAAGAACTCAAAAGAGTATGAACCCTGTATAAGTGTAAGTGCGCATTTGATCATATTCATATGCTAATTTGTGCCTCATAAGTAATAATTTATTACTGTTATTGTTACTACTATTTTTCTTCACATTAGACAACATTAAAAATTGAAGCTGCACCAATGATGCCAATGATGGGTGCAATGCCTATGTCTCCAGCTGCTGCTCCGGTGAGCCACTGTTTTTATTTGTTGCTAGGCAGTCTACAGAGATGCAGTCATTTTAAGAAAATGGCATAAGTTATTTGGAATAAGTGGTTCCCGAACAGAGAATGCCAAATGCGAAAAATGCCATCCACAACAAGACTTGGGCACAGTCAAACCCTGTCATAGAAAGAGTCTGTTGTAATGGGGTGTCCATATTAAGCAGCTCATGTTATTTTAGTCAAAAATACACCTGTATTTGAACAAAATACTAAAGAAATAAAGCAGGACATAAGCATTGGTAGAAGGGACCTGGATCCGCACGGGCAGTTATGGGTGGTTTAGGGGCGAATGGGTTAAAGGTTTTGATTAAATATGTGCCCACTTTACTAAACAAATAATGGCTTTATTTTTTAGGAAACAGAAGCAGAACCAGCAAAAGCAGAACCAACAGAGTTTACAGTCAAATTGACACAGTTTGATGCTGCAAGCAAAGTCAAGCTTATCAAAGAGATCAAAAATCTTGTTCAGGGTCTTAACTTGGTCCAAGTAAGTTTTTTTACAAGTACAGCAAACACTGTTATTGCAGTTTCCTCATCCTCATCATACTTTTTCCATGGAAATTCTTTTCCCATGCATGCTGGAATCAAAAACCCTGAGATTACTCATTTTTAGTTGGTTTTTGGTAAGTATCAGCATAGAAATACAAAAATAATTTTATAACTATTGCAATACAAATTTTGCCTTTGAAGTATGATGCCCATAAAGGAGTTCTCTCATAGCAGTTTATTAGTGAAATGGATATTTTTCCTACCCTGTAAATGTCTATTTCAAAAGGAAGTGAAAATTATGCAAACGATTCACAAGAGAGAAGAAGTTTCTCTTCCACTTAATTTATTGCAGAGTGTTATACATCTGTATTCATCATAAAAATAATGAGGTGGCTGTGAGGTGTAAATGTAAATGTCAAATTCAAAAGGAAGTGAAAATTATGCAAACAATATTCACAAGAGAGAAGAAGTTTCTATTCCACATAATTTATTGCGGAGTGTTATATACATCTGTATTCATCGTAAAAATAATGAGATGGCCGTGAGGTGGCTTTCTACCGTACTTTATTTTAAGGAGTTATGTCCTGGTTTCTTTGGACCTGTTATTTAAATGGAGTTTAGCTAAAGTTTAACTAAACCGCATTCTAAGCCATTTTCACTTTGCCCAATGCATGACATCCCTATTTACCAAGAAAACATGTTCACCAGAAACATTGAGGAACTTCAGTGTTATTCTCTGAAATCAATGTTTACTCAATATTTAATCTGGAAAAAAACCCTTCCAATTAAATTTCTTGCACCTGTAGACATTCCGGCTGCTAAAGATAAACATCCTATTGTTTCTTGCTAAAATTTAAGTATTAATTAAGGGAGGTCTAAAGATGAAATTTTTTTTATGCCAATTTTGTTAACAATCTGTCAATAAATTTTAGGCTAAGAAATTTGTGGAAGAACTTCCTCAAAATGTGAAGGAGAAAGCAAGCAAAGAGGAAGCTGAAGAAATCAAGAAGGTTTTGGAGTCAGCTGGAGGAACTGTGGAAATTGAAGTTTGATGAATTGTATAGTTAAATAAATTTGTTATTAAAATTTAGTTCAGAGATTTTGTGAACCACCTCTCTTACCAGTGACTGTAAACCTGACCAAACTATAATATGTCAAATTTCTGGGACTTCAGTATGACTGCACAATGTCTAAGCCTGTTCCAACCATCTCATTCTTACTATTATTAGAAGAAAAAACAGAGCTGGGTGCTAGGTTGGACTGGCGTCACTCTCACGCAACCCTGACTGCTTTCACTTTTTACATGCTTTTCATTAGCCTGTTCCAGGCGTTCAGATTGTGGGGACGGCCCAGAGAGATATATGAGCATGAAAAACGGCAAGGGGCTGCATTGCCCCATTCCTTCCAAATGGCAAGCAAAGCAAGGGTGGGGGATGATTCGAAGAAGCACAGAGCATGTGCAGAAGTGCTGTGCTCCCTTCTACTCAAGGTCGGTACACACTAGGCAAAAGGTTGCAGCAACATGTTGCGGCTACATGTTGCAGTGACAAATCGCTTGTTTCTTCAACTAGTTGCCCAACCTTTATACAGAGTGATCTGTTGTTGTGACATGTTACAGCAACTTGTTGCCTAGCATGTTGCAACCATCCCTCAAGAAGCCAAGGTTCATAAATTCATTGCGCATGCAGCGTGTAGATCATAGCAGCCTGCAAACTAGGGTGGCCCTCATATATTTCTGTGGGTATGTTTCTTTGGGATCATGCAGATCACTCGGAACATAGCACATTGAAGGAACCGACAAATTCACCCTATACAGTCGACTCTCTCTTAACGGACACCTGTATTAGATGGACATCTCTGTAAAACGGACTGTTAGAGTTGGTCCCTGCCTTTCTTTACTCCTTTTATTTGACTCTCTATAAGATGGACACTTAGTGCTGGTCCCAAAGGTGTCTATCTTAGAGAGAGTTGACTGTACATGATTGGATAAATCTGGTGGTGTCCACAATAATGTCATCAAGAAACATACTTGGTCTGTTGTTTTTGTGGCCATTTTGGTGATCAAGGAAATGCTTTTGGCCATGAATCTCTCTGGCAGAAGTATTTTACAGGGAATATTGAAGCAATTTGGACTAGAAGTTTACAATTACTAAGATCAAAAATTGAGGACAAAGATTTGTCAGTGTGTCTCACTTTGCGAAAAGTTTGCTTCTGTTGCTGGTTATGTGTTTACAAGTTTCAGTTGGGCTTTTTACCATAAAAACCTTGCTTTTTCCCCTAATATCTATCTTTGAATTGATGATACACCAAGGCAAGCCACAATATACTTGGCCCTTTTCCCACTAATGGATCAAAGCTCTGTACATCTATGGAGAGTGGAATTTGCATGCAAATTCGCATTTTTGCAAAATAAACTGAACTGAACTGAATGTCCGAGACTGAAATAATGCTAACTAAGCAGTGTGCAAAGAAAGTAGTGTCCGATAGCCCAGGGCTAGTGGATTTTACTATCGGGCGACAGGCAAGTGATGTTTTTGAGGAATTTGAATAACAGAAGAACTGTGAAATAAATTCTGCTCATCAAAAAGCTTTTGGGGCTAGTTGAAATGATGTCTGGGCTAGTAAATGCTAGCTTCAGGTTGCCCGAATGGCAAGCTGTAAAAATGACTTTCTTCGCACCCTGCTAAGCTCTGCAAAATGCATTACAGAATCAAATACGACAATGAAACAAGAGAAAAGGAGACAAGAGAGAAAGACAAAGGATTCACAACAGGATATCTGTGGCTGGTCTAACTTGAGTGCCACACCAAGTATCACAAGGGTTTGTGAGACACATATTTCTAGCATCATTAACTAACACATCCGAAAATAAGGGACTGAGGATGAAGCAGGGAGGAAAACAATCTCCAAACAACTTGGCTCTTGTGTGGGGTTGTGTGATACTGAGGATTCTTCCAAACCACAGACACAGAAAGATCAAAACAATAGGTTGGTAATAAAGTTTAAACATATTTACTAGTTATTCATATCATTTCCATCTCAAGTAGTAAAGAATTCAAAATAAATCAACTAATTACACGCACACCTAAAGCTTTTATGAGTCCTTATGCAGCCGTAGTGCTCTGTAAGATCACACATCAAAAGCTTTATGATCCAGAACCTCAACCACATAGCTTGAAAATTACAGTATTTTATGTTTTGTTAACCTTGCAAAAGTATAATTATCATAGTTTTCAACATAACAAGGTCATATATCACTCTCTTCAGAAATAACGATTGCGTTTGTGTGATGGTGACTCCATAACAATGTCGGCTGAACATGCAGACCGCTTTCTCCCCTCCCTTGCTTCACTGTCGCCAAAGTTTGCATCTGAATGACTCCTGCGACGAGGACTGTGATAAGAACCTAGGCCTCCACTGGTAGCAAAAAAAGAATTTGCATTGATCTCTGGTCGAACAGCAATAGAATCAAAAGGTGAACCATAGCACTGCACACCAGTTTCAACACTATCAGAGTCTATTTCAGAGGGCAAAACCATTGAATTTGATCCTAAAGTTGTTGCAGTCACAGTTTGTCTTGCATCGTGAGACCGTCTGGGAGGAGAGCGACCTGCCAAATAAGACAACAGTTCCTCACGAAGAATAATTTTCTTTTTCTTCTTTGCCCAAGAAAGAACATCTCTGCTACGCTTTTGGTAACCAGACTGAAATCCCAGTTCCATGCCACGCTTGTAAGAATCAGCTCCATCTGCAAGAAAAAAATATACCATAAGCTATGTCACAGAAACCCTGAATAAACTAAGGTTTATTCTCACAGGATTCAATGTTGCTCAGTGACAGTATTCTTGTCGCCAATTTAATGTTGCATCAAGCAAAAGTTTGACAAATACATGTGCTTAATAAGAAAACTTAAAGCCAAATCAGGATGTGTGTTCAGCTCCTCTAACATCTCACTGCAGAATTGACAGTGCTTTATTTTGAATTCTGATTTTGTGACTTGCAAGGATTTTGTGAGTGTCTGCTCAATAGACATCTCGCTGTATATCTAAGTGGAAAGGGCAATGGACTGAAAGATCTGACTATTTAAACAAAACTTTGTTTCCCAGAAACAAATAAAATGCCAACCAATTTATATCCCATTTTCCAACTTAATGATGTTTTGTTAAGTCACATTGATGCCTGACTAACAGCCAACGAAAAAGGAAAAGAAACACAGATTTAATTACAGAGACAAAACCCTATAAAAACATATGCTTGCCATGTATCCACGTATTTGCAACATTAAGTTAATTGATTATCGACGCAACGCATTAAAGTTACATCATTCATTAGAACAAGCGCTGCACAAAGTGTCCACCGTTAATACAAAGGTCGAGTGCTCATAGCAAAAAAATTACAAAATAATCGCACAATTTCAGATTAGTAACTTGTTTCCTTAAACATTAATGCAAAGGGATAGTAAATTTGACTAAAAGGAGACGAAGTTGCGACTCGATTATGCGAAAACCAAATCACTGAAGGTCTCCTTCGGATTGAAGACGAACTAAGAATAGAGCTATTGGCGAAGAATGAGGAACAAAAAAGATCAAGAAATCTCATACAAAACACGGAATTTGTATATTCAAGATTTGTAGTCAAATTAATATGCTTTTATATTGTTGTAAAAGGGAAATTGCGCAGAGAGGACCGCCCATGCATGCGCAAAATGCCTTGTTTCGCTATGGTTGGAAGTGCTAGACATTTTTACGTTATAGTCACTTAATGAACGTTAAAAGCACCTTTGTAGAGAAGCGTTATCGTGTTTGCCGTATCTTGAAACGGGCTCCATAAGCGATCACTGGTTTGATTACGAGTGTGTCGTTCTGAAAGAAACAATATACATGTACAAGATTCACATTCGATTTTAAAAATATGTGTTGACGCAGTAAACTTCACGGAAATGAAACGGCCAAAAGATAAGTAAAAGAAAACTGCTTACCTTTATAAAGCTGAGCACAAGCTGTTGCTGCGTTCTGAAACAAATTTCTTAACCGCTGCAAAGCCTGCTCTTTTTCAAATGTTGATCTCTCGTCGACATCTTCTTGCGACTCGAGGTCTTCAATACATTGTTTCTCCCAATTTGTAAAGCCCCAAGGTTCGTTTCCTCCTTCAAAATCTTCCCTTTCTCTTTCATCCATTATTTCTAACCATGCGTTGCTTTTAAATCTTTATTTCACAAGTAACAAGCTGGAAAACTCACATCAGTCTCGCAAGCCGACTGCCACAACTATCGCCATGTTTTCATCTCCAAAAGACGAACGAAGCAAAGAGAGGTTACCAAGCTACAAGTTCAAGTTCTACCGAGCATGCGTTTCCACATTGTTCCTTTTTATTAGGGTACCACCCACGGGAACTATGGGACGAGACGTTCTCGTGTAAGTGATTTTACTGAAGTACAGCTCCTTAATTTAACTCCTTAGTACCTGTAAAATAATGCCCTTTCTGCGGGTTATTAGTGGCCTTTCAAAGAGTGGATTCTACTACAAACCAAGAAATCTATTAAACTGGACTGCTTGCTTTGGCAGGTAAGTTGAGCAAGCTACCACTTGCGTAACCAAGCATAACCTATCTTAGCAAAAACTGCCTGGACTTTGTAAACTAGCTAGATTGATTATTTTTAATTTTTACTTAATTGTATTCAACATACAATGTTACAAGCATGTTTATACTTAATTTTTTTTTTTTTTTTTATCAGAATGTACATATATTTTCACTGTACATGTATTTTTTTCTCGGGGATATTAGCGCTTATGTTCTGCTCAGTCAATTCCAAGCGTGCCCATCGTTCCCCCCCCCCCCCCCCCCCCCTCTCACACCTCACTCTTCTGATTACCCTATAATTTCTCAAATAAACCACACACACTTTAACACCCCTCACTCATCAACACCCACAAATCTCACACCCTAAAAACACCCTTTCAATCAACCCCCCCCAACTTAATCCCCTCCATCCCCCCCCCCCCCCACCTCCTTCTAATCACTAAACTTCGGAGTTACCGTAAAATTCCCAAAATAAGCCCCTGCATATATAAGCCCCTCCAAATATAAGCCCCCCAAACTCGTAACTCAAAAAACCCTCCTTTAAATCGCCCCTCCAAATATAAGCCCCCCGGGGGGCTTGTACTTGGAAATTGCCCTCAAGACAAAGTAAAACAAGGCCAAAACGGTAAATTTCCTTCCATTTATAAGGCTAGCCCAGTCGATTTTGAAACGCAAATTTCCCTCGGTAGATAAGCCCTTCCAAAAATAAGCCCCTCAAAAAGGGCCTTTGAAAAATATAAGTCCCGAGGCTTATTTTCGGAATTTTACGGTATTCAGCGTCCTGCATTCAGCATTTGGTGTTTATCATTCTGCAAAATACCCCTGCCATGAAGAAGACCAGGCCAATGGCTTAATGTCACTGAAAATACTGCATCACAGGCAACATGATCTTACCAGTATTTTAAAGTCCCTGGTTTAAGTGATACTAAATCTTTGCATTTTAGACGGTCACTAATGGAACTGTATTTTATTTAGTGTGAATAAGACTGACGGCATATTTGATTTACCTTTTATCAGCAGGAAGTTGACTCAAATCAGACATGCATCATCTGCTGTGTCCCCTGGCCATAGGATCTCTGCAATAACTACTAACAATGATTCTGTGTCTGTCAGTTGGACAGATGGAAGCACTGCTGATTTTCACCACATCTGGCTGCGAGATCATTGCCGGTGTCCTCAGTGTTATAATTCTACCACACATCAGAAAGAGTTTAATATAGTGGATATACCCCTTGACATTAAACCTTTTGATGTGTCCTTGAATGGTCCTAACAGCTTGTCAATCAAATGGCCAGACAGTCATGAAACTGATTTTGATGCTGAATGGTTAAAACAGAATTGCTATGGGAAGCAAGGTGCCTTTGCGGTAACCAGACAAGCAGAACAGAAGCAAAAGCATTTCTTGTGGGACAAAAACAGCATTGAAACTAACCTACCTTGTCCTCTTCAATATGGCAAGATCACTTCTGACGATGATGAGCTCAATACACTCTTTTTTCGGATTGTTAAGTATGGCTTTGCATTTGTAGAGGATACACCCACCACTGTTGATGCTGTAGAAAATGTGTCTAAACTGTTAGGTGGTTTTGTCAAGGAAACACACTATGGCAAAATGTGGGAATTTTCAAATGAGGTGATGGAACATGCAGACACTGCATACACTTCAGATTACCTCCGTGGACACGTCGATAGCACCTATTTCTCCCACCCTGCTGGACTTCAGTTGTTGCATTGTGTGGGGCATGAAGGAACAGGCGGACTGAATTTGCTAGTGGATGGTTTCTTCGCAGCAGAAAAGCTGAGACAAGAAGACAAGGCGTCCTTTGAAATCCTGTCATCCACGATTGCCCGCTTTCACTACAAGGATGAAGACCTTCATTTGAAAGCACATGGGCCAATCATTGAAATAGATCCATTTGATGGATCTTTGTCCCAGATAAGGTTTAATAATTATGATATGGATATCATGGATTGGTTGAAATATGATGAAGTTACTCAGTTTTACAAGGCTTTAAGAGCATACAGTGCTATCACGTGTGCCCCTGAGAATCAATTCTGGTTCAAGTTGGTTCCTGGTTTGTTGTTGATTATGGGTAACTGGCGGGTTCTCCACGGAAGGTCATCATTTACTGGAAGGCGGTCCATGCAAGGGTGCTATATCAATGGAGATGACTTCTTTGGAAAATACAGAGCAAAAGTATTGGCTCTAAAGAAGACTTAACAAGACAGCAGGAAATAGAAATTAAATGGACTCATTCCGAGCGTAAGTGACATTGTAAAAGTAATCAAATCCATTTTACCGGTAGATTACAGCAACATACAAATTAAATGTGCTGTCGTTCTTAGGATGAGTGTGAGTGATAATATTATCTCCTATAAAATAATGGACAGTATACAGGAATCCTCTGCCTTATAGGTGTATATTTCTCAGACAGCAAGTACATAAAAGGATGGGGATTACACAAGTTAAAATTAAGAAAAAAGAGCAGAATTCAATTTACAATGACAAGTGACAATCAATGACAATGAATCTTTTATGAAAACATTAATTTTCAAGATTATTTATTGTAAACTTGTAGCAATTGCCCAAGATTCAATTAACCATTGTTTGGTTTTGATACAGGTTTTCAGGTGTCCATTTCGGAAGAAATCAAGCCGAGTAGTTTTAATATTCTATTCGGGGACCAAGTTCTCAAAAGAAGTAAATGCATTATAACTTATTTTCAGTTTTTTAAGGCCTTGTAGCGGTTCCTATGAGTGTGTTCTTCTAATAATAAAATAACTAGTTTGTCTAGCTTCAGTTTATTCTCAACTGCATTAAAAAAAAACAATCAACCAACCCAGTTAACTTGCAAAGACAAGAGAAACCTCAATATTAATGGTGTTTCCATGGATTTGACTATGGATTGTTTTCATTTTGCATGGATAACATAGCTCAGCTGATCCACTAACTGTAGATAGCATTCATTTTGACATTGCTTTTACTTGGTAGTAATTTGCCCCTGACTCTTTTTCCTTGATTTCTCAAGAAACCAATTTGTTGAACCATGTAAACTTAGTTTAGTGGGTTATTCTCAAAATAAGGCAGATGGGTTCTAAAAAGAACTCTGTCAGTACCTGGTACCCTTGTCAACTGCTTACAGTGTGTGTTGCACTTGCTGAACACAAATTGAATATTCTGCAAACCATCTTGTATTTATCCTTTATTTGTGGTACTATATTTTTCTGATTTTGTTTTTAATATTTATAGTGTCTTCTATCTGACTTAGAATGGTGCTCGATTTTTTAAAAATTTTAAGTTGGACAAAACAGACAAGTTACATGTACATGCCTGCCTCAATAAATTGAGTGTCTCTGGCTTACACTTACAATTATCCGCATCATCTGGAATATTGGAAGTGATGTATATAGCCAGCCAACCTGTGACTTGAATGCAAGATTACTATAGTTCAAGCTGAAGAAGTATGTTATAACAATTTCACGATCAATATGTGCCTTTTTTGTTCTAATATATTCTGCATTCAAGTTTGGTATTGGCCAACTGTCTGCAACCTGTCAGTGATCTGTCAGTTTACTGTTGATCTACATTTGACCGACATTTGGTTGGGGCTGGGAGCTCTTCTTGATAAGGAGCATGCAAGACAACAGAAGGGGAACTCCCTTGCGAAAGCTGGGCTTTGAAGGCAAACAATCTGAACCTGGCAAAAGTTTAACACTCAGTTGACTCTAGGCAAGTACCTACGTGATTCTTAAACAGTCAGCTCTTAGTTATTTTGAAAGAGCTACCCAAATTTGAATTGAATTTGCATGATCTGTCTACAATTTTTGTATGACATCACACTAATATTACTCCTTTGAACACTAGCCTAATTGAAAAAATAATGTTGGTGCTTTGTTCTGAATACCTTAAGTGACATCAAAATCTACAATTAACATCTACACCCTTAAATACTTCCTTGGAGACCCAGGGGTAGTCAGTTGGGTCTCTCCCAAGGTGAACCTTTTCAAGCACCAGCAAAAGAGCCATGCTTGAAAACTTTCATGACTCAATTTCTCCCAACCCAACTGACGGCTCCTTAGTCTCCGAGCGAGGATGCTCTAAATAAGATGACAAGTCACAGCTTTCACAAGGGAGCTGCCCTCCCTGAACTGACAAAAGGAGAAAGTGACACTCAAATTTTGAAAATGGCTATGTCACGATATTTCCCTTTTTTTTCAAAAGCTAAAACAAATCTAATCTCATGACATGGCCCCCTGCCAAAAGTCTAGAATCTCCTATGGTAAAAGATGGGATATTGTACTGAACTTCTAGTTTATATCTTGGAGTCAATCATTGGTCCAGGGTGATTTAAAGCCTCATTCCTTTTCTTGACAGCATCAAGTATTTTTCTTCTTGGGCCAAGAGGAAGCCCTATGTCTTTTAAATCATCATTAGAACATAATGTCAAAGTATTCAGATCAATGCTTTCATTGATCAGCAAGGTTGAGAACTGATCTAGATTGAGGGCAGCCATAAAGGTGACCAGCGATTTAGAGTCTGTGGATTCAGCTCCCATGTCTGACTGCGAATATGTGTCTTCAAGTTCCATGGATTTTAAGCTTCGGATATCATTGAATGATGAGCTCAGGTGACTACTGCTGTTGCTAGTGTGGCTTGCAACGCTGCCATTCCTCAACTTGACAGAATTCTTTGGCACATAATGAACATGAGTGGTAACATTGCCTTTATCGTCAAATTTTTTCACTACATGACCATAGGCAAGATCTGATTCATCAACCTCATAAGGATCAGTGGAATCTAATACCAAATTCTCCTGTTGGTTCTCAGCTGCCTTAAGTTCCAGCTGATCTAAGAGTGATGGAGACCTTGATGACATATCCTCAAACAGGCCAGAATCATCTAATGACCTTTGACGGAGTATTCTTGGCTCTTTGTCAGAGCTTCGCAAAGAGTTGAATTTTGACCGCAATGCACCTATCATTCTTAAGCTTTTAGTTCCAGACTGAAAGGTCCCAGATGAGTAAGATTTGACACTCTTCCCGTCAGACAAGTCCAATTCTGAGGTACTGCCAATTAATTCCGAGAATGCCTTCTCGGTATGATATTGGGATTTTGTGGTACCATTTCCAGTCCAAGTTCCTTTCCTACCATTAATCTCTGACTTGCTTCTTTCTCTTGTTTCCTGTGCAATCTTTTTTTCATACGCATTTTCCCTGGACTGGAAAATCTTGTCTTGTTTCTTGACCCTTTTCATCATGTCCTTTTTGGCATGTCTTCTTTGTTTCTCTACCTCTTTGCTATTGCGCATCATGTGAATAGCAATTAGACCATCCAAGTGACGCACACATTCCATGTGTCCATGGAGGGCAGCCTCCTCGAGTGGGGTACGCCCTTCGTTGTCAAGAGCCCAGATATTTGCACCGAAGTTTGTAAGGAAGCTAAGACAGTTGAGTTGTCCACAACTGGCAGCTATGTGAACTGCAGTGGCACCATCATGGCTAGGTCTGTTGGGATCGCCCCTGTAATCAACACAAAAATACTTCAGTCAAGAAATATCAGTCCCTGAAAATAACTGAAAACTTGGATATTTTAATTGATAGTTTTGAATACTCTGTTCTCCTGAATTTCACCATGCCACTCTTACAGGTGTCAGTAGTGGATCAAACATTTTGATGGGGAGTCCATCTTAAATACACAATTTGTATTCAAGGCTGTCTGATTTTTCTATTGTAGAGAGGGATGAAAACTCCAAAGTTTTGAAATCCAAGGGGTTCCAGTATATTAAATCAATTAATGTGGAGACGAACAATTTCCATGTGATCCAAATGCAAAGGAAATCTCCAGGGACTACCAGCTGCTGCTAGAGCACAGCTCTGTGGTACTTGACCTGAAAAAGGGGTGTCTGGAGTATGAATGACACGGTATTCTGGGATACACTGTCAGTAAGGTGTGGGGTAAGTGTAATCCCCCAGAGATAAACTCCTCTTGACATCTCTTCAATAAATTGGCATATGGAATTTATTGTCGTAGGTTAGTCTATCAAACAGAGGAGCCATTATGCAAATTCTTGAAGCCCAAAGAGTTTTTTCTAACTGGTAAATTATTAATAAGTACCTTGGGATCGCCAGCAATTCAAATACCAAATTCTATCACTTAAGCCTATAGATAACTTTATGGATAACAATGATGTCATTTAATGGCCTAGGGTTTCTTAACATGAGCTAATGTCAATGCAGGTTTTAAAGGTCCTGTTAAGTTCAAAGGTATTTTATTCGATCTTCCAAGTATGAATGAAGTTTTAACAATTTTATCTATACTTTCGTAAAAAATCATTGGAAAAACCATATATATATTTTTTGCTTCCAGGTCTGTTAAGACTTCCTGCTATTTTATAAATTAGGTGAAATTTGGTATGCGTTTTCACGCCCCTTTGATTTTTTTCAGTTAAGTTAACCTATTTCCGCAAAGCCGGTTTTTAAAAATTCTTCAGAACAAGATTGGAAAGTTGTTAATATTAGGGTTGAAAACATTTCCCTTGATTGAGGCCCGAATTAACTCACCGACCCTGTTTATTTTTACTGCCTTACTTCACACTTCCCATGTCTCACTGAAAAGTAATCTTAAGTACATAATACGTTAAATTGCACTGTCAACCGTGAGAAAATTAGGTGAAGAATGATCCTCGCAGTTGTGAACGCAATTTAGAAGCCTGAAAAAAAAATCAGGACTTGTTCCAGGATTTGTTTAAAATAAGCACTTACATTTGTCACATTTTTTAAAATTGTTTCACAGTCAAAATCGTCGAGTCCATTATTTAATGCTTTTAGAATGGGAAAGGCAATTACGTAGCCTATTTACAAAATTTAACCGCGACAGTAAGAAACGGATAATCAAATATATCTTACCTATAATTTACACGTACATAGAATGAGCTTGGCAAGTAAGCTTTATAAAGCTGAATACACGAAGAGCAAATTAAAAACGCACCGTGCAGTTTTTTGTAGGCAGGTGCCATGCATGCAAGTTTGAGCTTTAATTTACCCTTAATCCTGTATTGCAAAACAAAAAATAGTTAAGAATACTTTACGTTAAAGATGATCGTTCTTTCAGCCCAGCTATAAAAGCTCATTCAACACGACAAATTTCTATTCGCTTTTAGCTTTAAAATTTATGCGTTTGCGGTTTTGTTCCTCTTCATTTCAGATCATCTACATAAAACTTAGCTTACCCCTTTCCGACTAGCAGTCTCAGAGCCTCAACATTTCCACAACTTGCGGCATAGTGTACGGGAGACATTCCATCCTCATCCCTTCGATTTGCATCTCGTTTTGTAGCTGTTTTTAAAAGTTCAAGAACGCTATCGCGGGCTGCTTTATGATATATATCACCCATGATTTCTAGTTGAGCAGAGACGCTGTCAGCGAAGAAGATTTTGATTCTGTTTCCTGCTCATTTTTGTAATATAAGACCCCGGAGCAAATATCTACGACACAAGTGACCTTCTAATATCGTTCAGCCTGTGTTTCGCCGAAAAGTAAACTTGTAAAGAATATCATTTCGACACCGAGTATCTGTTTTCATCGCTTCCCTGCCTACTTAAATTAATTCATTTATCCCACAGTGCTTAGAGGGCTTAGGCAGTAGGCGTTGAAAAACAAAGGAATGAATTTTACGGAACAGCCGGAGCCCTTTGTTTCTTTGTATTCGTTTTTGATAGTTATAATCATTTTTTGTCTTTTTGAAAATTAACAATGCGTGACATTATCAAGTTTACTTGATGCAGTTATGTATCATACACATGTATAAAATCTGAATGGTAAGCTGCTAAACTTCATGGTCTGCTGTCGTGTTAGATAGGGTTTGCAGGATAGGGGAGTTAACGGACGCCGTGTTTGAGGAAATGGGTGTTAAAACAATACTTCCTTCAAGTGATACCTTCCAGTGATACGGTATAATAATCATTATGATGGCTATGATGTTTCCAAGTGTTTACAGAATCGAAGGGATTAAACACGCGAGGAACGAAACGTGCGTGTGTTAGTGAGTCAGCTTTTTAAAATGACGAGGGCAGCGCCTCCCCCGTCTCGCGCCTTCCGTTGCGCGTGGTCATTTGATGTCTCGCGCGTTTCGCTCTACGGGCTAAGAAAAAAGAGAGACTATGCGCCGCATTCTAAAACAATCAATCCTTTGCAGCAGTGTTATAGTAAGACGTAAAGACAATTAGTTTGTGTTGGGGTACAGTCTATTGCCTAATTTATTTTTATTTTATTTTATCAGTAATGAGTAATATCAAAAACTCATAATGAGTTTCTGGTAATATTTAAAAATATTTCTGATAAAACATCACTCCCAATAAAATGTACAGAGAAAGTAGCTTGACAGAAAAAAGGACTCCTTTAAAATGTGTTTTAAATTTCACTTTAACCCCTTGACTAAAAGAGACTCCATCAGTGTTCAACAGGTTTTTATTTTCCTTTAGTTCTTCTCCAACCCATATTAGTGATTGGCATATATCTTATTTTTCCGGGTTGTGAAGGTAAGGAAATGCGAAATCATGCAATGAAAAAAAGAGCAAATGAAAAAGTAAAAACACAAATGACTTGAGTTTACATGCAACCTTTCGAAATGACAGGTGAGGATCTAAGGATTCTATTTTTTTTTTTTTTTTTTTTTTTTTGGAGACGAGGAAGAAGAAGAACAAGTGGAGTGCACAGGTATTCAAAGTTTCCCTCCCTCCGATATCCGCCCGTGCATGGAGGAGTGTGGAGAGAGAATATGCTTGTTCATATTATGATCGGAAGCTTCCAGCTCATCAGTGAAAAACAGTGAAAAGCCCTGGGAACGAGGTTGCCTAGGGATGGGATATGTCTTTGGCAATGATTTGGTGCTAGCCATAGTTAAGCAGTGTCTCGGTTTACTGTGCTTACAGCTACAAAAGGCTTAATTTCTTGATATAAACATCAATAGATTAAAGATATAGAGCCATCCGCAGTCTTTGCCAGTCATTTTACTGAACTTTGAAGTTTTTCGGAAGGAGTTTTTTTGTTCAGCTTGAGCGGTTACCGTCCCAACCAATACGACAGCTCTTCACTTGGTTTTTTTTGTCCAATTCAACTGACGATCGGAATGCTTGACAAACTAAAATACCAGAGTGCACAACGAAGAAAAGTGAAAGGAGAGAGGTCTCTATCGAAAATCATGGGATTTAGCCACACGCTTCACAAATGACGGTACTGGGTCTTCTTCCTTTCAATGCAGCTGTGCTGTTTTTGTCCTGTTTGTTTGTTGGCCAACCTGCATGTCCAATATTTCAGCCAGTTCACTTGCTGTTAGGGTTTGCTCTGCACCCGGACCCCCTTCAACGATCACTACCTTGGTTACCAGGTCGGTGGGCTCCAAGGTCCCCTTTTTCGGCTTTGCAAGAGCCGTCTGTATTTTTTCCTCCGGGTAGTTCACGATGTATTCTTTCGTAACAAGAATTTGCTTCTGCATTTTGGAGATGTTGAATATAGATTAACGTAACACGTTCTCTAACAAGGGAAAATGCCACTTGAAAACTAGTACCTCAGCTGCGACGAAATTCTCCCAAATCGGTGTTTTGGTATTGATTGCAATTGGGAAAGCTGAATTTCAACTCAAAGAATGTAAAGTTTCCAGACAAGGAAATACTAGAATTGTTTGCCAGCGGCTTATACATTAACGTTGTTAAAATATGTGGCATGTTTCAAAATGACCCTTTCTGATTGGCTGAATTTTAAGGCACCTGTTCTTCTGGCGGTGATATCAAATGGTCTGTTTATAAGCTTTGAATGACTTGATAACTGTCCAAGGAAGGTCTAATTACTGTTATTGTAAACAGTATACCACATCTAAAGCTTTCACACCTAGCTTGAACACGTAAATAGAGATTATAGCCAGGCATTCTGCAATGTCGCAATTTTAAGATAGCTTCTTTCCGGCTTTCCAATCACGTGGCGTACTAGAGAATTTTCTTGTAAGCCACATCTAAGGCCTCATGCCCAGCCAGCCATTTAAACCCTTCTTGTGGGGAAAGAGAGACCATAGAGTAGTGACTTGTTTTTGTCTCGATTCATCTTACGCTTTGGAGGAGACGTCTTGTCTTACAATAGCTTCTTTCTCGATTCTTTCGGCCTTTTGGGATAAGCTGTGTACTTTAAAAGAGTTTGTTTATAAAATATTTCGTGATATATTCTCTTTCCAATATTATTAATAAACTGAACAGGACACCTATGCGCTCATTTGCGGTGTCTACAACAATTTGGAATGGACTCCCTGAGGACCTTCCTTAGTTTTCTTCCTTAGTTCGGATAATCCTTAGTTTTCCTCCTTGAGGGAATCTCTAGATAACCTTTCTTTCAGAGTAAATAGTGGAAGAAAGGATGACTCGGTCCCCTACTCAGTTTCGATATCACTTTAGCTCTGACCCAGTAATGTGGACTGATTTATTATGATACAGCCCTTGAAGCAATTCTACAAAACCAGACTTGAGTAAAATATAATAACTTGAACTTTAATGATCTGGAATAATTAGATACATATTCTCTCTATATTTTAACTTCATAACTTAAAACTTCCATCCTAAGCATTCGCTCACACTCACTCACTTAAGAACGAATGAAAACTGCTCCTTTCAAAAAAGCATTGAGATGCAAAACCTTACAAAATGGGCTACAATTCTAATCAATCGGATTTTGTTCGTTTTAAACTTGTTCAAACAATGAAATGCTTCAGTTTTATTTGACTTTTTTGAGTTGAATTTTGTTTTTCAGAATTGTTTTCGGTGAAGTTACAGAGGGCGCTGAGTTCGCTTTTATGGTATTAGAAATTTTGCAGTCGCAATACATTCATATAACTTATTGTTCAGAGGCAAGAGAATAGAAAACATTTCATCAGGGGCATACTAATTACAACACATCTTGCAAATGTAAAATGTACGTATAGCAAGGTTTAAGATGTTTAGCGCTGTGCAGTGCAGCAGAATATCTGGCAGCAAAATATCATCTACGTTTTAAGCGAGAGAGCTAGTCGTTATGCACAGTCAACGGTGGATACTCTGTTTCATCATCCAATCTAAGGTTTCCAATCCCTTGCTGGTCAGTAAAGGCCGAGGCGGCTTGGGAAAAATCCCCCGCGCCTTCTCTCCCTAAGGGAGGAGAGTTTTGACTGGTTTGGGAAGAGGCCCGGGTTCGTGTATCTTGGGAATCGTCCTCTTTGTTTGAAGGCGAAGAACTGGGATCTGAGGGAGCGCTTTCCTCTTCCTGTTGGGAGATGGGATAATTAGTACTACAGTATTATCGATCCTAATTAGTGGAGGCGTGTGTGGCTGAGCGGTTAACACCTCGAACTCTGGATCTGGAAGTCAGGGGTTCAAGCCTTGCCCGTCGCGTTGTTTCCTCAGACAAGGAACTTTACTCCACTTTGCCTCTCTTCACCAAGGTGCATAAATGGGTACCGGCGACACACTGCTGGCGGGGTAACCCTGCGATGGACTAGCATCCCGTCCAGGGGGAGGAGCAATACTCCTAGGCTTGCTTCATGCTACGGAAACCGGAAATAAGCTCCGGCCGCCGTGTGGACCTTTGGATGTGTGCGGCTTTAACAACCTACCTTACCTAATATCAGCCCTAAAAGTGGCACGTCAACAGATCGCATTTGTAGTCTGGAATGGAAAGAAAGCTCTTGCCACATAGCGATCTGAAATGGGGTGTTAGCGCCCATGCACAAGTCTTGCAATGAGTCATAAATTTACTAGGTTCGGCGCGGAAGGATAGCCATCCTCATATTTGAAGGAATAGACCAACTTATTAACGATATCAGAGTTAACCAGTTTGATTTTGATATCAGTGAAGAGGAAGACGAGAGCAAAAACTTTAAGTATAGTTACTTACCAGAGGTTTATCGGGTCCTTCCCCCTGACCAATTAATCTAAACACGATAACACAGTATAAGATGACTTCCAAAATTACAACAACTGTCAATCCCCTTTACTATCTCACATACATTTTTTGCGTCTTGGGCTAAAGTGACAGAAGTAACTATGAAAAGTGTAGAGAAAAAAATTCATGTAAACCAGCACAATGAAATTGATGGACGTAGTACCTGTGTTGCTTGAGCAGTGTGCAGTCCCCTCCCTCCTCGGGGTCAATATTGTAAATGTAAAGATAACCATCTGCACTTGAAACAAGCAGTCGAGGGAGCTTTCCAATCCTACGGAGAGGGGTGGGGTGGATCAAAATTAGTCACCATAGCTGCTGAACAAGTTTGGCCTCTGTGTTCTTGAAAGTCAGCATTACTAAAAATATTATGAGCACTGAAAATACTTACATTGCTATTGCACAGACGTTTCGTAGACCTAGTGTGAAACAGCAAGAGTCAGATATTTTATTCTGTAATTAAGTATATTCATATGTGAAACATCTGTAAAAAGGAAGTATAAGTGCAATAGGCAACAGAGACAACTTGAACCGACTAGCTACAATGGGTCCGTGCTGTTAAACGAGAGTTCAAATTTGAATATTACACAAGGCCAAAGAAGAAGAAAAAGATATAATTTCCATCATAATGCAAACGGGAAACAAAGAGATCAAGGGTCGCACACATAGCATCCCGGACACCGTCAGGTTCTAGACACACAGCGATTGAAAAGACTTTTGTCATGCAAGGCCTCATTTAGGACGCAAGTTACGTCTACTGCAAGGATTAGCGATATCGCCTCGAAAGCGAATGGTGTAACGGTGTTACGGATCAAACTAGACTGCCAGCAGTCTCTTATTTTTCTCATTTCAAAGTTAGTAGAGTAACACGAGCGCGAAACACTGAAGAAAAGAAGCGAGCGACAAGCGCGTCAGTTTTTGAAAACAATTTCCACAGGCGTTCCCTCCCCTCTCCCTCTTCCTCATTTTTTGCTCCTCCCGCCAATTCGCGCCACTTTCCACTATCTGAACGCCGGAAACAGGCCAGATTCTTGTTATCTAAGTTCAAACAGACCTTAGACATTACTTCATGTACTTTCAAAAGATAATTCAATTTTCAAGGACTTTGCTTTCACACCATTAGCATCAAGTAAATTCTAGTTCTTAACTTATTTGGTGTTTTGCAATTTAATGTTCAAATTGCGTCTATTCTCTGAGCTGTTCTAGTTTGAGTGTTAAGACCTGAGCGAGCCAAGTCAGTATTATTATAAAGACGATGAAACACTGAAAAAAGAAGCAATGTTGATCACTTCGCGACCTATTTCTCATTTGTTTATATCAACGTGAGAGAAGGCTACGCGGATAGGTAAGGCTTCTCTTGCAGTTACCCAACACTTGACGAACACATAAAACTGTGGCTTGTTAGTTTAACTTGGACTCGTTACAATAAGCAACGAACTACCTGCACAGCAACATAAATTACAAAATGTGACAAGAAGTAGTCTGCTACTGAACAATTAACCGAAACCCTTACCTGCCTGTGGTAACCTCACACTGGCAAACGCTCTCTCTTGATTAAAAACCTCAGCCATCTAAAGACATACCAGGAACAGATTGGTAACGTTCTAGTTACTAAGAGTAACTTACCTTATAAGGTAAGGTAAAAGGTGAAAACTGAAGTCCTATGAAACAGTAACCCCCTTTCTGACTGTTACTTATGTCAGTCAATTCCAAATCTTATCACGATTACATGCTTCGTCAGGCAATCACCTACACATTTGACATCTTCAAAACGTTTTGCTGTTTAACACTTCTTTAACTGACTAATAACTGAGTGATCTGTAGGTTGCGCCCGCAATGCATTATTTCAAACTGTGTTGCATGCGAGGGTGAGTTTGTCGTTATTTTCTTTAAAAAATGTTCAACAAAACAATATTAGATTCGGGTTTTGTGGTACCAGCATCTCGGCTTCCGGCCTTGGGTGATATCACTTACCAGTATGTACTGCACCTCGATCGGCTTTGCTATGGATATCACATAAACATCATCCAAAATTTATTGTCTAAAACTACGACGGAAACCCAGCCACTCCTGTAAGTGCACACTGAGAACAAGACACAGTTTCTGGTTGTCATCGAGGGTAACCTACTCACATGAACTGGAAGATAACTGCTAGGAGAAAGTGCTTTACCAAAATAACCCATCAAACCACCAGCTTCATCTGTAGGTCTGCAAGTACATGAAAAGCAATAAATAAAAACCATGCTCATTTACTGAAACTCAAGGTACACTCATCAATTCTTATTGGAATCTTAAAAAAAAAAGGTTCACAAAATGTGTGTCAGATAACAAAGCCTACAAAAATATTGTCAAATGAAACAATACGCTACAAGCTGCTAACACAGGTAACCCGCTCCTTATTGGCGTTTTTCTAGTTTTTTTTTTTCAAGTATGTTATTGTTATTTAGTTTAAGTGTCAACATTCATTTAACCACTGAGTAAAATCCAAATTTATGATTATTGTAAAAGGGGAAGCGTTTCTGATTTTACGAACTTTCAGACACAAGAAATCATTTCAACAATATCACCCTGGTAGAGTTTTTTTGACCCCAAACCAGCCAACGGATATAAACGTGTAAAAAAGTACACAAAATCCTTGGCGTGGCTAAGTAAGTTGCTGATTATGTTACTTACTCCTTCTTTGGCGCTTCAAGTTTGAAAATATGTACTGTCTCTGTGTTGCTTGATGCACACAAGAACAATGAGTCATGGCTGAAAGCCAGTGAGTTAATGGTCACACATCTGGACAAACCAAACAAAAATATGCAAAATAAGAACGTTTTCCTATCTGGCTCAGCTTGCAAAAGAAGCAAAAATTAAAGTTCTGTCAAACTGAATGGGACCTGGGTGCAACATAGGATATTAATTTTTTACCTTTGTCACATGATTGCTGTACAGTGCAACAGCTCCCCCCCCCCACCCTCTCCCCCAACCTGTTAGCCAGTCAAAACATTATTTGGTTCATATATACGTTCATTTTTATTTACTAACTGTACTTAGTAGGAATCATATTGCTAGTGTGAGCATTTTACTCTGAGCTGTTTACTATGCTTATACTGTTGGTAGCCTGCGTAGCAGGCGTCGAAAGGGGTAGGGGGTAGGGGATAGGGAGGAAGGGAAAAAGGGGAGGGGGATTTCTCCCTCCCCCCTCCCCCTCCCCTTTTTGCGCCTGCCACGCAGGCTATACTGTTGGCAAAGTCAAGATCTATGAAAGTGTTGAAAACAATGTACCGTTTTACTCCTCGTCGAAATTCATAAAGCTTTACTCCATCTGGAATTGAAAATACTCTAATGACTGTTCCCTGTTAAGGCAAATGAGAGTACAAACGTTGACAATGGTCAAAGTTTATGGAACTTTGTTCTTGCTTCACAGGGGCGGATCCAGGATTTTTTTTAGGAGGGGGTGCACTCGTCTCTTGCTCTACTTCGACACCAATAAACTACTTAGTTTTTTTTTTTTTTTGCAGAATACCAGTTGTATTAGAAAACGGCAGGTTATCTCAGGGGGGGGGTGCGCACCCCCTGCACCCTCCCCCTAGATCCGCCCCTGCTTCATGCTCAGCTGGGAGATACCTGAAGCACTATATTTTTTTTTAAGACAGCATAGGTCATACAGATGGGGCTAGATTTAACAGTCCCCGAGAAGTTAAACATGTCCATTTTCCTAATGATTTCGTAAAAAGTCACGTAAGCTACCATAACACTGGGCAATGTATACCTCATGTGTCAAAATTGATGAAAAATTTTGTTACACAGTTGTAACACCAGGGGTACATTTGTACCAAAAAATGCCAAGTGCATAAAATACCCATGAAATGAACATTTTTGTTGCAGTAACCATTCCGAAGAACGTAGAACGTAGAACTTGGTTGTACAAGTACTTCATACACTCAAGGCTCAAAAATTGTTGCGTCCACAGCTGTTTTTAGTGTCGTCATGTAATGCTCCTCCCTACAGCGTTGCGTGACAACACTAAAAATGGCTGTGTAGCAGACTTTAGTAGTCCAGGACAGGAAAATGTTCTTGCTGAGCAACTAAGATTTAAAGCCGCTCACATGCCAAATGGGGAAGGGTCAAAGCAAATCAAAATGAGAATTAATTTATGTGAGAGCTGCTTGTCCAAAGGACAAACTGGAATTCAATTTTTTAAGCTCTGGTACTGTTGTTTGTTACAAAAAGTGCTTTAAAACAAGGGGTGATAAATCTGGGCAATTTTTTATGCATCTTGAATTGTCTTAAAATCACTGGACAATAATGCCCAGTCATGATAACAGCATCTTAAGTTCTCATATAGGGCACAAATAAGAAGGATTATTTCTTGATGCTATATATGGGAATGTACATTAAATGTACAACCAAATTTTGGTTGATTAACTTTTCAGAACACCTCCTTGTGCTCTCTAGATACTTCATACAATGCCGAATTAAATACATGTTTGATTAGTCTTATTTTCAGCTGTGAAGTTGACGACATATTCCACACATCAGCATCAAAAACTTTGAAAGAAAAAATACAGGACAATTTAGATATTTTCAAACTTGCCTTTTCTGATGCAGTTGACAGTTTGGTGCCAGCACTGTTAAATGCCATGGCGGCAACAGGAGAATCATGAGCAGGAATCATGGTTACTGCTCTCTGGAAACAAACAATATTAGGATTTTAACCAATTTGATGCCCCCAAGATAAATGCTTGTCCGGGCGATTTTATCTCTTACAATTTGTCAATTTTCTTGTTAGTAACAGGAGTGTGAATGACAATTTTAGAAACTGAAAGACTTGCTGAAAATTTCAAAGTCATACTTGTGCTCAATCTTGTGCTCATAGTCATAACTAAAGAACATTGACAAGTCACAACTCTAAAGGTGAAAAATGTCCTTAGCCTTCTTTCAAGAGATTTTGAATAACAACATCTATCACAACAGTCAAACCAGAGATTTATTTATATATTACAACTTATTTCACTGATGAATCTTGCTTCAAAGGGCATTACTTACCAGGTTAACACAGTCGAAAATCTGAACTTCCCCAATCTAAAGAAAAAAGAACAGAATCATTATCTGCTCTATGGTTTATTAACCTCAAATTTAAAAAAGCAAACAAAATGACAAGGTAATACAGTTCAACCCTCGCAATATCGTGAAGTGGCCACTTAATACAGGTTGGCTGCTCAATAGAGGTTTGTCATAAATCAACATATTAAGTATCTCCACTGAATTTATTCAGTGTGACGGTGCCGGTTAGTGGCCGCTCTTGGGGTGGTTCCCGCTTCCAGGGTTGCCATGGATACCTCCTCTCTGCTTATCGCATTTGGCCCCCTACTATCCTTTAAGGCACCTGCTCCCAATCTCATAATTAGCGATGAGTTTAATAGGTTCAACTGTAAGTAACACAGAGTCTAAACTTTACCTGATTACTTCCAGGATAAGCGAGGTAACAGTTATCTGAGTTGACTGAGAGAGCACAGAGGCCTGAAACAAAAAGAATAATTATTTACGTAATGTCATACTCATACAACTGCAAGGAAGCCTGATATCCCATCCCACATAGATGTTACAGGTCAAAATTAAATTCAAGTTAAAATTTTTTAACCTAGCTTGATTCGATTCTCTACTTTCTTTGTCTCCTAGCCCTAATTCATGAATAATTAGAGGCCACTTGCCTGGTACCCCATTAGAGTGGCCTCTTAATGGAAGTTCAACTGTACATATGGTTGAAGTATTTATGGATAACAGAGTCGAGAACATGGTGGGTACAAACCTGATGGATTAGGTGGTGTATCTCTTATCGTGTGTAGAACCTAGGTAAAAAAACAAACAACAACAACAACCACTTGAATTGTGTACTGTGATAATCATAAATGGGCCAGCTTACTAAGAACAGGTTTTATGGGAGATATTTACATGTATGTTACATATTAACCTGATCAGCATGGCATGAGACCTAATGAGTCATCCTAGATTTACATGAAATTCCATCCATCGTCATGATCATGGCATAGAGTAGAGCTTTATGCAACCTACTACTACTTCAGGATCAAAGATAAGAAAGGCCAGGTTGTATAAAACGTACTTAAGATGAGTGGGTTCTTAAGTTCTAGAACAATAACCTATTGTTTTGAAACAATACTTGTGACTTCCATCTTAAGAGGTTTTCTGCACCACAGCCTGGGCAATTTTTCAGATTCTTCCCTGGGCCAGGTTGTTCAAAGCTAGGTTAAGATAACCCAGATTTGGTGTGAAGTTAGATTTCAGATATGAAAGCTTAATAAGAAAAGTCAGTTTAAATCTTCTTGTCTACAATTTGATGATTGGTTGCTCTAAAAATAGAGAAAATTATCTGAGAAAGTGCTTTTGAACAAAAGAAAAGGAAACCCCCATTAAAATGTAACCCAGGTTAGCACTAAATGGCCTTCGAACAACTTGGCCCTGGAGACTACCATACAGACATCTGTTTCAATGATGGTCAAAGGATAATGTCGAAGATGATGATCATAATAGAGCAGTTTTCATTTGAGTGTCGAAAAGTAATTGGTTTTGCACTTTCTACGCGATGCGATTGGCTTAAAAGATTCGCGCCACCTTTTCATCCAATCAGAAGTAAAACCAAAGCCAATTGTGACGCGCTCGCATGCATTTTGCGTCAGCCACATGTAATTACTTCGAGTTTTGATTGGTTCAATGTATTGTCTGTGTCCTATGTGATTGGCCAGAGTAATTACTTTGGTTTTGGTTTTACGACACTCAAACGAAAACCACTCTATCATGATTAAGGTAGTTTATTACATGAGAGAGACACCCAAGAGAATATAAGAATGAACTACAAGTGGGATAGTTTTGAAATTTGTTTTTCTTCTAATTAATTAGGTCTTAAGTAACATATAGAAGTTATTTTCAACTTTCAGCTAACATAGGTTAATTTGTTACAATAACATAATATAATATGTTTGGACTTAACAATGGTAATGTAAACACACCTTCATATCCCTAATGTTGTGAATATATAAACTCTCTTCAAGTACTACAAGCAGCCTCTGCAAAAATACAAAAAACAACATCAATAATTGTGCAATAACTGATGAACAAAACCATAATAATTTCCAAACACGCAAGGCTGTCCTCTAAAGGAACCTTAAAAGAAGCACAGCACTCTGATCTTGTAAAATCTAGGCTGACCAGTATATTATTTTCATGTAAAAACTAAAATTTTTTAGTCACCTGAGAACAAAGGTTGGGTGGAAGGGGCTCTGCTAAAGCACAGCCCTAAAATATCATATCATGCATGCAGTATGTGTGTGTGCTTCAGGTAGCATGCATGGAATTTTTGAGCCCCAAAATCTCACTATAACTATCATTAAAATAACAATTGATAATGACGAAGTCTACCATACAGTTTTTTTTCTCTGCATCCACCTAATCATTTTTCTCTCTTAAAATTATTAAATTTTTTTATTCTTTTTATTCTTTTTTACACAACACACCTCGAATAACCTTTGCTACTTGCAGGTTGTGTTTTAATTTATTTATTTGTGTAACCAAGATTTTGTCATAAATAAATAGTGTTGTTGTATCCAGAAGTATCACTCAAAGAGCGTACTTTCTACAGTTTGTAAGATCTATATAACTTAATTAAAAGTCCTTTACTTACCACTCTATTGAGTCTGACAGCTAAGATTGTGTTGGGGTAACTGTAATTGCATATTTCTGTGCCTTTCTGTGTAAAGACAATAGAGAGTGGAATCACATAAGAAACAAGTTTCTAGATGTATGGCAGTCAAAAGGTGGACCCTTATTACAGTTACATAGCACTTTGAACTTTCAACAATAATAAGACAATACTGACTGTCAGTCATATGACTGTACTGACAAATTTAAATACATATCATTTTCTGCTTCCTTTTCAAAACTACATGTATGTCTATAAAATGTTCATCTGAGACAGTTTGAGTTTTTTTTTTCATTTTTTGTCAGTTAGTTGTTTTCATTAACTGTCATGGGGAAATATTCTTATCAATTTAGTGTTAAGATGGCATGGATGTCTCAAACAGTGTGTGAAACTTGGTGGTGTACTGTGGTCTACAAAAAGTGGTACACATGTGATCTTCGTTTATAACTGAAAAAGCTCATTGACTCCAAGTTAAAGAAACAAGGAAGGGATATTATTAAACAAAGTGTTATATTTGCACCAGAAAATAAGGTCTCTTGTCTTAAACAGGGTAGTAAAATGAACAAACTTTTTTTTGAAACAAGGAAAGTTGGCTTGCGCTTATTCACAATTATTGCTTAGCTTGCAACATAGTAACTGAACATTTTTTCTTTAAGTTGTATGGGGAAAGTATATTATACACAATAACTGACTGTCCAGTCCCCGAGCCATGGATGATCTATAACCAGTCTCAAATGTTTTAATTCCCAAAATCTCACTTCCTATTCAAAATCCTTTTTTTAAAGAAATAAGTCAGATGTCACACTACAACCCAGCATCTTGAAAAATCTAATGTGGACCTCTCTTTTTACAATGCAACCAAGATTCATATGCTTATTTTACCTTAAAATGACAAACTTTGAGTTTCCTGGGTGCAGATAAACTGACAATAGCTACCAGACTACTGGAAAATAATCTTTCTACTATACAGATGTCTTCTGTTTCTCCTGTGATAAAGAATATAAAATTTAAACTTGTACCTGCTTATCTACTGTAGTAATAACTTACATTGTATATTTCAAACCAGTCAATCACCAAGTTTATAACCTTTTTTAACCCCTTAAGCCCTAAGAGTGATCAGCATCAAATTTCTCCTTGTAATATCAATGCTTCATAAAATTAAAACAAAGTGGTCATGAGAGTTACAAACATGATCACACAAGATGAATTTACTTGATATTTTATCAACTTCTCCCAATTACTTCAGTAGGAAATGAAATTAATATCTAAAACAGAAATTGCTTTCTTTCAAAAAAGGTACATGCAAGTGAGAAAAATGAGGCCCTGTTAGGGTAATATTCTGAAAAGAGACATGGCCATGCAACAACAACGTAAGACATTTGAAATGGTGGCAAATGACACAAAGATGGCTTGAAACTGCGACAGCAACAAAGAAAAGCACAAATACAATAGCAAAATACTGACAGGGACAAGGCATGAAAGCATCTAACGATGAAGTTAAATTATCTTTATATCATGGAAACAATAAGGTCACACAAAAGTCAGAGAGTCAAAGGACGCGACCTGCATCGACATCCTTTGTGAGCCCGCAAATAGTCATGGGATCCACGATTTTACGACTGGACCCTTAACAATAGGCACCGTTCCATAATGTTACTATATTAAGGGTTAGTGAACAGGGCTAGGCTTATGTCAGCAAGTGGAAGGGAACTCCTCAAGATAAGTTTCATGAAGAAGTTTACGGGTTAAGTTTGGTGGTTCTGAAAAGGGAATTACGGACCCTCCCTATAGGGTAGCACAACTCAGTTGAACTGGGTCTGGCATAGGTTATATGTTCAGGCATATCTCAAACCAAACATTCCTTAATCCTAAACCCCGCCCCCACCTGGAAGAAAATGTGTTCTGTGGTTTGCAACAGAAACTGTTGAACTGTGTATCTTTTATGAAATAACCTCTGGAACAATAGATTGTTTTACTATTTTCAGCATAAGGATAAATTTGTAAATCAAAAACACAGTTTGTCACTACAAAGCTCATTTTATTTTAGCCTGTGAAAACAGTTGGCATTGTGCAACTCCGCCACTAGTTTCCCCGCGAAATGACATCTGAGCAACAAATGCAGAAATTCCATACTAATTACGCATGACTACCCAGATCTGGGTCGTGTTTCTGATTGGCTGAAGTAAATAAACCTCGTGGCATGATCAATCAGAAGCACTACCCAGATCTGGATAGTGATGCGTCAGCAGTATGGAATTTCTGTGTTCATTTCTCAGATGTCATTTCATGGGGAAACCAGTAGTGGCGTCTCAAAATATTGGTAATTCAAATGGAAATTTTATTTTCATCACTGACAGGGTAAAAAAAAGATCCCTGCATTGAACTCTTTACACACAATTCAGGATCAAACCTAAATCCTGATCACGGATTACAAGACTCAGATGAGCAGAAAATTATGGAGAAATAAATACCGGATGAGTTATGAAAATATAGTTCTCAAATTATCAGAGATAAGACACCTAAATCTTATAAGCAGCTACATTATTAGATTAGAAACCAGAATATTCCAAAAAAAGATTCAAATGCGATTCAAATTAATAAAAAAAAAACTGTTATAATCAACTTACTCTTAAACAGTACATTGACAATGTTTTCAAAAGGAACTGTTAACTTCTTTTGAAAAATAACTGCTTCGAAAAAAGAGGAAAGGGGGAATCAGTGGCAAATTATTTTATCATATCCTTCCAAAAAACTAAAGAACAATGACATGAACGACAATAACAATAAACCTCTCTAAAATCAGCTGACCGTTTTCAGTCAAAGTTCGCAGGATTTCCTGACTGAGCGTAAATGGGTTTTCCTTTATCATTAAAGCTAACTCATTAAATCAACCCTGTTAAAAGTAAATGTTACCGCGGTCAGGGTAAAGCGAAGCTTAGTGGTTTCACAATAGTAATTAGGAAAACTGAAAATACCTTAAGCTTTGAACTCAAATAAGATGACGACATACTACTGTGGCTTATGTATGCGTGCCCTTGAAAATTAAACCTTTGCTTTTCTTTCGTTCCTGTAGCCTAATAGGAATAACACAACACTTACCATATTCGTAAATTTCTTCTAACTTCTCCACTGAGTTTAAGGAGAACAGTTTGTAGCCGGATTTTGACCCAACTGCAAGAGAGCTGGAAAAGAATTTTTCCTTCAGAACGTGAATGCAAAACAACAACTCAAACCCGAAGACATCTTTTTGCCTCATCTACCTGCAATCTTGATTAAAGTTGACGCATAGTAAGTTTCCCGTTGGATCCCCGCCATAAGCAGCAAGATTCATCGGTAAAAATGAGACGTTTCTCCCTGGTTTTCCACAATAATTATGAACCAACTGCAAACGAAAAATTATCAACAATAACAAACCTACGGTTAATGACATGCGCATAGCTGAGTAAGCAATTTTACATTTTACCCGCAATGCACTCCGTACTTTTGGCGGGATACGGTAATGCTGAGCATCGTCGCGACCAAGCATGCAAGTGACACAGTCACGAGACCGCGCGCGTTTTTTTTTTCGCGTTTTTTAGGCAAGCGAAGGCAAGCGCGAAGCGAGCGAGGACCGGTCATACACGTACAACGGGGAGCCTTTCTCGAGAAAGGGGTCGGCTAGCGGCCGCACACATCTGTTATGCCAGTGCCAGGATGGCTACCAGCATTTTTCCAGAGATACGCACAATTTTCCAAATTTCCCTCCTTCCCCCTCTACAACGCCTTCAGATCCCTTCTCGGCTGTGGAAATCAGCACGATGGGATTAAGACCGGGGGAGGGACTCCGCATATGAAATGGGTGGGGATGCTCGTATAAATTTCGGATTTTGGTCTCACTTAGAGTGTTCTGGGCAAAACGCCATCATATTTAGCCGTGAAGGTCTCGTTTAGGGTTGTAAGCGAAAAAAACATAAGAATATATATTTGATATGTATATTTTTGATGCCTTTTATTTACTCCATGCATATAATCCAAGTTTTCTCATTTGTCTCTTTTAGGGGTCAAAAAAAGCTTAGGCCACTCCCAGATCGGTCTCCTTTAGGGGTTTAATTCAAAATTTCCGACGAGCACCCCCACCCCTTTCATATGTGGAGTCCCCCCTGGGGAACTAAGACTTTGACCCGCGTAAACTTCCAAATAAAAAGGTTATATTGCAGGGGTTTCATTTCAGACCGGACGCCGGACGCAACGTCCGGTTGTTTGACATGTAACGTCCGGTAGTTCACACACGAAATAATTATTTTTTTAAGTGTGAAAATCGGTTTTTTCCATTCATTAACCAAAGGAAGACTTGACCCTTATTTTACTCACTTAGTAATGTAATGCTAGAGAAGCCACGACCGGAAATACGTCTGCGCTTCGCAGGCTAATGTAATGCATACAATCGAAAAAAAGAGGGATAATTCCTGTCATAATTTCGGTTACCCAATTCCGATCCAGGGAACGCAGGAAATTGCATTTTAGAGAGTCCAATTTTACAAATTTCCCGGGGGGCATGCCTCCGGACCCCCCTACGAGTTCGTGCCTCCGGCACTCAACGTTCGCGCCAGCGGTGCCAACTGTTGAAGTCCGCCAGCTGAACCACTGCATCCGATACTTCCAAATGCTACCGAAACCCCTGATATTGTAGTACTAGTCGCTAACATTGCATCTGGGCGCCCCAAGAGGTAGTTATCAACAAGCGTACGAAACACGAGAAACAGACCCATGAGTCTTAAAAAAGCAACAAAACTAGCAAAACTTTTGCGTTAGTCTATCTTTTTTCAGGTTCTTATTCATTGATGGGAAAAAATAAAAGGCATTCAATAAGACAAACTGACATTAGAAACTTCAATATTTTATTAGTTACCTCTTTGCTTGAAAAACAAAACCTTTTTTTACACCGGTAAATGTACCATTAGATTCAGTCCTATTTTATAACAGATATTCATTTCGGTGTAGCATAGGGTAGCACGCGTTTAAAACGAAAGGGGGGTAATAGAAAATCGAAAGTGCGAGAAGGAAAGGGACGGGAGACGGTTTTTCTTCTCAAATCCGCCCCTGACTTCTAGCGTGGTTTTATGAGCAAGTTTAAAGAGGGTAGTCCTTGTGTTTACTTTCGTCTCTGAAAAAGGAAAGAGTTGATTACTTGAAGATGTTCGTCACCTTTACAATTTTTTGCAAAAAGCGCCACATACTCCGGTTTCAAACAATAACAACTTTTCAGAGGCTCAAAACAAAAAAGTACATCAATGTATAGAACAGTTGAAATCATACCCTTCGTTTCGAAGGTACTTGCCTTGATCCTTGCTCATTTTCAAGACCGCTGCTAACCTGAGATCAGGCTCAATTTTCGTTTCGCTTTGTAATAACATTCCGGCGGGCAAGGCGAAACGACAGCGGTAGCCGTTAGAGAGAATGTATGAGAACCGCTCAAATTGGGCCTGATCTCAGGGACCGCTGCCAGCATTGCGCGAATCTGCGTGTCCTTCTCATTTCAGTTAAGTGTCTTGCGCGAACTAAATTTACTGCTCCGTACAATTCCAAGCCAATAAGCTTTAGACGTAATATATCAAACATGAGATGCAGTGTTTCATCACCAGATGAAACACCGAGAAGAGAGTTGAAAATACGACGCGCAGCGGAGTATTTTTGACGAACTTCGAGGTGTTTCATCTGGTGATGAAACACTGTGTCGAATGTTTGATATTTCTTCTCAAACAAATTCATTTTTGAAGGAGAAATTAAGGATGCAAATACTAAGCAGTGTTTCATCCGATTTCCAAACACTCATTAAACATTAATTTCCTTTGTATTTTCTTAATGAATTATTAATGAGTTTGAGAATGTCGTATGAAGAATGGCTATTTTCAAGGAATGCTTGTTGAGGTCAACATCGTCGTCCAGGGGGAATTTTAAACATTCTGCTTCTTTAATTTCCATGTTCAGTATATTAACCATAACGCCAAATATACAAATTTACTTCTCCATGAAACCTTTCACTCCCAAGGCTGCCAAGGTTGACAAAAAAAATCATAATTTAATAAAAAAAAAAATAGACAAATTTCACTTAGTAAACCATTGGAAAACAAACACCGCTATCCGAAAACACAACCGGAGACGTTTCGTCTGAATGACCACACCATAGAATTTCGAGCACGGGATGACAAGGTAGAACTTCTTTACATTTATCGATAATGGGCTTTGAGAGTGAAAGCGTTCTAAGATAATCTTAGTAGTTGATAACAATGAATTGAAATTAGTTTTAAAAAAATAGACAAATTTCACTTAGTAAACCATTGGAAAACAAACACCGCTATCCGAAAACACAACCGGAGACGTTTCGTCTGAATGACCACACCATAGAATTTCGAGCACGGGATGACAAGGTAGAACTTCTTTACATTTATCGATAATGGGCTTTGAGAGTGAAAGCGTTCTAAGATAATCTTAGTAGTTGATAACAATGAATTGAAATTAGTTTTAAAAAAATAGACAAATTTCACTTAGTAAACCATTGGAAAACAAACACCGCTATCCGAAAACACAACCGGAGACGTTTCGTCTGAATGACCACACCATAGAATTTCGAGCACGGGATGACAAGGTAGAACTTCTTTACATTTATCGATAATGGGCTTTGAGAGTGAAAGCGTTCTAAGATAATCTTAGTAGTTGATAACAATGAATTGAAATTAGTTTTAAAAAAATAGACAAATTTCACTTAGTAAACCATTGGAAAACAAACACCGCTATCCGAAAACACAACCGGAGACGTTTCGTCTGAATGACCACACCATAGAATTTCGAGCACGGGATGACAAGGTAGAACTTCTTTACATTTATCGATAATGGGCTTTGAGAGTGAAAGCGTTCTAAGATAATCTTAGTAGTTGATAACAATGAATTGAAATTAGTTTTATGGCTTCCTGCAGTGGATTATTTAGATCGTTCTGATTCGCAAGATCCACCCTTGACACCTCGCGCAGCCATGCTTAGCCTCAAGGATAGGGGTCAAATTTGACTTCTTAGAACAACCTTGGTTACTTCATGATATCACTAGTTTGGCTCTGTCGCACTAAACAAGTTTTCTAACAACTTGTCTCGCAATTTTGTAGCCACACAAGTTGCAAGAAAAATTGCCTAGCAGTCCCCATTTTGAAGTTGTGGGAGAAACTACGTCGTTGTGGTGTTGGATTGCACTATGGCGCTGTTTTAAGGACAATAGAGGATGTTAGCATCGATAACGAGTACGAGTTCTAGAACGAGATCAGTGATTTTGCGTACTGCGTATCCGTTCTGCGCATCTCCACGTTTTCAAGTCGTCCTGTCAAGTTGCACTACGACGAGTTCTCACCAAAAACTCAAAGTGGGTAGAACGACTGGGAAGAGCTGGTTTTCAAAGGTAAATTCCGATCGTTTAATGCAGTTTCTTTTCGTTTCTAGCCTCTCTTTATCATCTTGAACATTCCTTATATTATGTTTTATGTAAAATACTGCTTTTGAAGTCGAGGAAAAGCAACCGAACGCGATATTTCCTACACAGTTCTATAAACTCGAACTCGGTGTTATCGCTAACATAGAAAGCTGAGAAAACGACTTCGAGTACGAGTACGGCTTGAAGTCGTTCTCGTACTCGTACTCGTTGTTGATGCTAACATCCTCTAATATCACATTTTTGTCAGCTATTACTACCTGGCGCGGGAAACTGGGTCCAAATTAACCCGCCACAACAGTCCCATAGTGCAGTTCGAGACAGTCTCAGTCTTACGCGGCGCAACCTTGAAATGACCCATAACAACGATTTCGCTGCAAAAATCATTACGCACATGACCGAGAATCAAGTTCTCCTTTTCGCCAACGATTACTGCAACGTAAATTATGTTCATTCAGGACTCGCAACGACCAGGGTTGTCATTAAGAGCCGGGGCCGGGGATTTTCCGCGGCTACTAAGAGAGTGGCCCCTGGCAACTTTTATTGGATAATAGAACGAAAATAGAACCAAAAGAAATCCCTAGCCGTTTGATCCCCCGCCTACTTGTTGTATTTACCCGGCAACTTGAAATCTTAGTGACAACCCTGAACGACGCAACAAAATTGCGCGAAAAATTTTAACAACACTGTTTCGTAAACAGGACCTACACGGAAAGGCTCAAAAAAGAGTCATAATGTATTAGTTCTGCTTTGTTGTCACTGGACAAATTTGAAGTTAGTACTTTCTATTATAATAGAGAAAACATCTCTTAACCAAAATTAAAACAAACTACTTCATTAAAATGATTACAACAACCTTATAAAAGATGTCGTGCTCAACAGAAGGCGTTCAAAAAATTCAGCCCATAAAGGAAGCTCTCAGGAGTGGGGGTGGGGGAAACGAGGCCTTCTTGCTCCTATTCCACCCTCCATCCCCGCCTTCTACGCAAACGTTCTTAGGATTTCGTCACGCGTTCCTTCGGAAGATTGCGTGACGAGCCAAAGATCGTCTGCATGGGAAGCTACCCCCAATCCCCTGCGTTCTCGAGAGCTTTTTGCCTCGCTCTCAGGTTACAGAAATGAAAATATGATAGAGGTGAGGTCATCTTGCGCAGCCCTACTGTCATAGGCTAATACAAGTTTTGGCACTTCAGTCAGAGATAATGCTAATCACGAGTCCGGCATGATCAGTTTAAAATGCGCTTAGCTCTACATAACTTCTCTTCCTTTGTATCTGCTATGCCAAGTAATTGTCATCTTTAAGAGTAGTTTCAAATGGCGCAGCAGATAATCACTTGGGTTCCTTCAAAGCACTGAAACATCGCAGGGTACAGGAGAGAGAGCTGTTTAAGCAAACCACCTTTGTACAGTACAGTAAGTAGTGTCTTTCCATTTACGACCGGATAAGTTTTAACACTTTTCCAATGCCGATGGTCTTTCCTGGAAACAGAAAGAGAAGAAATGTTATAAAAACCTTCATAGAAGGCTCGTGGCCGAGCGGTTAGATCGCTGGACTTGTAATTCGGAGGTCCCGAGTCCCGTCCTGACCACTCGCTGAATTTGTTATTATTAGGGAAATCCCCAGATTTTTATACTCATAATGACATCTCTCTCCTTGTAAACAGCCAACTGGTTTGTCTCCTGTCAGTTGGGATTTTAAGCTTTGTCGTGTTTATTTGATCTACTTGTTTCAGTCATTTATTGACCTATTATTATCCTTTTACGCTGTTAACACCGACTATCCCACAAAGGGCGTTATCCCAGGCGAAAATGAAGAGAGGCAAGCGCTCTCACCACCGCACTACCATTGCTACCCCGATGAAAACTGTAAATTCTACAATAACTAAGCGACTTCTCGAGCGCTGATTGGTCGAGAATTATGGTCTATGAGAGCACAGACCATTTATATGACGTAATGATTTCTGTCTCTCGCAATTTTTTTATGGTGTACGCTTTTTAAGCCCATAAAAATGGCTTTAAAATCTTTAAAACTTTGCTGTGAAACCACTCGCCTGCGACTCGTGATTCCACTTGAGTTCTGACATTCTGACGTAATTTCTATGGTCTATAAGAGCGTAGACTATGGAAAATTGTTGTCGCTTTGTTAAATATCGAGTTTGCCGAGTTTAAGATTGGAAGTCCTGATTGAATGAAGTAAACAATAGTTGTTAACTTTCAAGTCATTCTCACCTTCATCTCTGAGCGTAAATCTCCCCATTTGTGGAAAGTCGGAAAACTTCTCTATGCACACAATTCCGGATGTTTGTAGCCGAGCTACTGCGACTTGATCTTGCTTAATAAATCTTGGCCTTTGCTTCATTCTCTTTCCTGTTTTCCTATCAACTAAGTCTATTAATGTCTAAAGAAAAAAGATAAATACAACAAACTTCGTCTGAGATTCACACGGAAGATGAGGTTTCATTTGCTAACATAAGTTAATGAAATAAAAGAGATCCAAAAGGCTAACCCTAAAAATAAGATTTACAAAGAAAGCATTTGCTCCCTTTTTACATTTTATCTCATTGTGTTAGCCAATCTACCAGACATTACAAAAGCAGATCCGGAAGGTTTTGAAGAGGGTGGACCATACTTCATCATTCATCGCCATTCACATGTTTTCTAGAGAACTTAGAAAGCAGCAAATTTCCGCTAATCTCATATCTTGTAAGCTAGTTTGAACCCTCCTAAATCAGGAGGTTCGGAAATAAATGGTACTTACTCCCGCTATAAAAAGGTTAGGGAAAATATTTTCATAAAACATAATTATACTGAAAGTACCGCCTCACCTCAAAAACAACTTCTTCTATGACGTTATGGATATGAAGGACAGCACGATATCCTGCGCAAATGATGGACTTGTGTTCAAGTATCACCACCTGTCAACAATTCGCAAAAAAAAAAAAGGCGGATGAAATAAGAGATTATTTCTGACAACTCAAGTTTTTTGGTTCGCACATCCTAAAATAACTTTAGAACAGACACAAGATGAAACCAGGTTTTCTGCATACAAAGCTGTAATGGCCATCTTGACTTTGCGAAAGAGACTGGGTTGGTGTTGTGTCGAATTGCACTTTATGATTGTTTGGTCTAGATCGAATTGAAATATGGGACTGACCCAGTTTGCCTGTAGAGCGTTTTCAACATGACTTCGCGTCCGCCATATTGGTGTATCAAAACATTAAATCGGCGGCCATGTTGGTGTTCCAAACCAGTCCTGTGGGAGTTGAACTTTCTTTTGTTCCAATAAACTAGCATTGTTGCTGACCACGTAAGTGAGAACGCTCTATAAGGGTGGATTCCAAAGTCGCGTAATTTTTACCGGCATATGCGCGTAAAATTTACGTGCGGAAATAAAAATAGAGGCGATGTATGAAAGGCCGCGCATAAACGTAAAAGTGGAGCGAGTTTCAGGTTTTGAGTTTGCGCCTCTCTCCTCCGCAGAGGCTTCTTTGTGTTGTGGGGAGGCTGGGGAGAAAGAAAAAGAGAGAGCGCTGGGTATGATGGGAAGGGGAAAAAGAGAAGAGCTTTTTCCCGCCATTTCCCTCTTCCCATCGTCCCCCGCACGCTTTCTATTTTTTTCGATTATTGCTATTTTTATAGGGATACCTAGCAGGAGCCTCTGCGAAGGAGAGAGCGTTCACGCGATACCTTTCACACTTGGATACCAGAGTGGAAAATGGTGGAGAAAGTCTATAACAACTGATATCATACCTGGGCTTCAAATGTTTTCACTGTGTGGCATAAGTTTTCTGGCGAACAGAGCACAAATCCAGGTGAAATATCCTACAAAAAAAGGTTGAAGGGGTAATATTCAGAAGTTTTAACTTTGGAAAATGAGTCAAGGTCACCCAAGGCAAAAAAACGTCCAAAAAACGCCGTTTTTTGAAAGTCTTGTCAACTCTCTAGGCCCAGAGCAGTATTTCACGGTAAAAACCGAAAGAATGTTTGTGCCTATCAGTATCAATCATTTTAAAACTAATAAAATCGAGATCTTCAATATAAGCATGGCAAAAATAACACAACTTTCTGGGACTCGAAGCTCCCACACATTCAAGAAGGAGGCCTATGGTCTTCCCTGGGAAGCCTCCTTTTCAGTGCACCTGCATGTTTAAATGTTGTGTCATAAGTGTATCACAATGAACATTAGAAATGAAATCTTGCCCTCTTTAAATTACCTACTATTCTACCCACCGAAAAAATCATGCTTGTAACTCACCTCTTCTTCAATTCCCCTTAATTTGACTTTAACATTATCTCCAGCAATCGCTTCTGTTTTATCTTCTTCATCAAATATGATTCCTAAAACTTCAACTGGAACCTGTGCAGAAAGCCATACTGACTCAGTGTGTAATAAAATGTTGTTTGAAAACAATGTAATATCATTTCATACTTGCCTAAATCTACATGTACATCATAAGTAAGTAAGTAAGTAACAACTTTATTTAATGAGGGTAGCGCATGACAGTAAAAACTGCTGAACTAGTGGCCCTCAAATCTTTCCCATCTTTCTCTGCTTATCGCAGATGGGACTGATTAGCAGTATGTTAGCCTGCAAGCAATCTCTCCGGGCGTTCTGGCTGCGGGAGGAAAGGGAGGGAGAGCTTTCAACTCTGTCTCTGGAATTTGAATATCTGCATCAAAAAAGTTGATACAAAATGCTGATTGGTGGAGACATTGGTAATGATGTCACTACTCTTGGCACATGCTTAAACGTGTTTTTCAATGTTTACTTACATTCGCCCTGTCCTGTTCCTGCTTTGGGCTGATTAGAGGAAATCTGACAGCTCAGTTGATAGGGAGCCATAGGGAAATTAGAGGTGAAACTCAAAATTCCAGAGACGTCGTTGCAAGCTCTCCTTCCTTTTCCCGCAGAGAGCCCCAGAGAGCTTGCTCACAGGCTAGCAGTATGCAGGATAAGTGCAGTACATACATGTAGTCTTTCTCATCAAAAGTCATTGCATACCTCCGGAGGCAGTATCTTGGCTTAGTGGTCAGAGCATTAGACTATAGTAATCTGGCCAATCCAAGCCATTTCGAATTGATTCAAACACGGTAATTTTCGCATGAATTTAATTCATAAAATTCCAATTGGGATCATTAGAAGTGGGGCATCTAAACTATGCCTTAGATTTCTTGGGTTCTAATCTTCAGTCACGCTTGTAAAACACCAATTTTTGGTTGCCTCCTCCTGGTTTTTAATCCTGTTGTATTCCACTTGCGATATTTGATCAAAATTAATAAGTGGAGTACCTGCAAACTAGCTGGAGCATTCCAATATTAACAAAACATGTACTATCTCTTATAACCAAGACGTACCAGAAGACCACGTTTGAATTGCATTGGGTGACCCAATGGTCCAACATATGCCTTTTGGGGTTTAAAGTGAGTATTGTAATTGACACGTGACATTTAGTTGACCTTACGTAAAATACTTGACAAAGACAAAAAGGTCATTGTTTGCTTGCTCTACTACCACACTTAAACCTTGCTTTAAATTTTTTTATAAGCAAAAAAGTTTTAAAATGAATACAATAAAACATAACAGCATCTTTTTCATTACCTTGTTGGGCATCAGTATCAGTGAATCCCCTTTGGAAAGTTTTCCTGATTCTATTTTACCAAGTACTACAGTCCCCATATCCTGCAAAGTAACACAGTACTTCATGTGAGTCATCTGAGAGTAAAAGTGGCTTTACAGTGGACGGGCTTTCTTACGGGCTTTGTCTCAAAACGTTTATCTGAAGAATCTGGGCAATGGCATTAGAAAAAAAAGCTTCAAGACCCTGCTACATGCTGCAACTTGTGAGCAGTAAAGAGGTAAAAAGAGTTTCAGCAAGTTCAAAATAATGGTTTAAATTTGTTCTGGTTGATTTACCAGACGTAGCATGTAACAAGTTTTCTGAAGGAGTTTCTCTTCATTTTATCATCACTATGACCAATATCACAAGGGTAAAAGGAAGTCTGTTTGCAATATAACATTCACATCAGAAATTCAAAAGCTTGCAGAAACTTACTTTTGTATTAATGAAGTTTCAGCACATAACAAAGAAGGCCCTAACGTCATTGCCGATCCTTAGCAGGTAGTGAAAAACAAGGCTGTGTAATAATGCATTCTAAAATAACACACTGTACACACCTTATATCTTTCAGAGAGGGGTACTCTAAGGGGTCCATCAACTGCACGTGACATTGACGGCAACTCATCTATATATTCCAGGAAAGATTTACCACTGTAAAATAAGTTAAACAAAGTATGTGATTAGTACAGATACAACAATGACCAAACTCCACAAAAATCAATAAAATAAATAAAGAGATGACTTTATTATACAAGGGTGATAAAAATTACCAATGACCTTGTTTTTCTCATTTCTTTTTTCATATTTTTGCCCTCCTACAATTTACATATAAGTTTGCAAAATCTAGTTTTGACTCCTTTTAATGACTAATTAAAGAAGAAATTCAAACTTATACACCGTATTCACAAATGGCGGACACGCGGGAAAAAACTGGTGCCTAGTCATGAAAGCGAGGCGTTGGAGGATAAACAAAAATTACAAATGAAGACTTTCAGTGAACTTCCAGAGTGTTTAGCACAGATTCCACCTAAAATAACTTTGTATGGACTTCTTTTTAAATACGGTTACGTGGGATGTCTTCTGCTTTTAATGTTTAGTAATGATTTGCTGTTTGCAATCAAAAGGGACGCGTATATCTGCAAGGAAACAGGATGATTTTGTAGGTTTTCGAGTCGGTTTCCGAAGCATCAGAAGCTCGACAGGTGGACGATGACTGGAGAAAAGCGGCAAACATGTTGGCCCAAACTTCACATTGAAACCGAGTACGAAAGCCAGCTCACTGTAATTCGGTGAAACAGAAATATAAACAAATCTTGGTGGCAAGAAAAAAGAAATAAGCGACAGATACATGGCCTACTTGTTAACGCAAGAGACGTCTGCCGTTGAACAAAACAGTTCAAGTCGAGATGGAAAAAAGGAAGACAGGAAAGAAGAGGTGACTGAGGTTTCGATGAAGTTATGTTTGATTTTTGTTTGCCAGGACGTTATTCTCTGGTCTTTATCAACGAAGGACATCAATTATAACTATTTTTTTTATTATAAATGCAGGAGCGATCGAGTGGAGTACGCTCAAAATTTCAACTTGTTACTCGGCAGACTCGGTAAGCCAGACACATCATTTCAGCGAGTAATTTCGTATTTCTTATCGTTGGCTGTTAAGAGTTTTAACTTTATGTTCCATTATATTTTAAAGTTGAAGAATACATAAATAAATAAAATGATGGTCTTCTTAAACGGATCCAGACTCGAATTTAATTATTCGAAACAGAAGCTTGCCATGTTCAGTCCTGACACAAACATTGCCTTAAAAGTTTAACCTAGTAAAATGTAAGCTTTATACCACTTTTTTTTACCAAGAGCTCTCTGAGATAATGCCCTAAAGGAGACCAGGCAAATAGCAAGCCATAAGATTCACACACTACAGCTTCTAATTTTGATAAAATTATTTTTAATTATTTCGCAATGACAACGAAATCATGAGATTTTTGCTAAGCTCTGCCAACGTACCTCTAACAATTCGCTCCAAAGCGACGGAATTAATATGATCCAAAGGAAGTTGTAAATACAGACATACATATATACATAGATATGTATAAGATGTCACTAACATGAATGAATGAGCCTCGTGAATGAATCTTTCACCCGCTCTCAGCTTGACCTGTTTTCAGTGGCCATATATCCGTCGCTTATTTCTCTTTTTCTCGCCACCAATATCTGTTTTTATTTCTGTTTTACAGAATTGTAGTGATCTGGCTTTCGTATTCGGTTACAGTGTGAAGCTGGGCCAACATGTTTGCCGCTTTTCTCAAGCCATCGCCCACTTGTCGTGTCCTGCTTCTGATGCTTCGGAAACCTACAAAATCATCCTGTTTCCTTGCAGATATACGCGTCCCTTTTGACTGCAAACAGCAAATCATTACTAAACATTAAAAGCAGAAGACATCCCACGTAACTGTATTTAAAAAGAAGTCCGTACAAAGTTATTTTAGGTGGAATCCGTGCTAAACACTCTGGAAGTTCACTGAAAGTCTTCATTTGCAATTTTTGTTTATCCTCCAACGCCTCGCTTTCATGACTAGGCACCAGTTTTTTCCCGCGTGTCCGCCATTTGTGAATACGGTGTATTCATTTTGGTAAAACCCTGAAAAACAAACAAAGCCACACAAAATACCGCAAAAGCAAATAAACATTTCATGGTGCTCCAGTAGTGACATTAAGTAGCTAAAGGTTTTCTCCTATGCACTAAAAACCCAGCAAACCAAACCAATCGCAAAACAAGGAAGAACCTCAGATGCCAGGTACAGATATACTGTTTGCACTCTCTGCTTTGGAAAATCTTCTGCTACAGGGGTACTTACCATTTACTTCGGAAAATCAGAAATTCTGGTTGGAAAATCAAAATTAATGGTTCATGCCATTCCTTTTGGGAAGCTTCAGAAAAATCAATTTTTCTATTCTTTTAGTCTGTTCAGCTGATTTGGATGTACTTTGTAGCGCGTAGTTCTCCAACCACTTCAAATTCTATAGCTTTATGTTTACGCACAGAATTTCCCCTCGGGGTCAGGGTTAGTGTAAATGGTAAGCATCCCAGATGTTTTATTTGAATGTTGTTTCCCAACAGAGCTGATAAATTAAGTCAAATTTAATAAAAGCTGCTTGGGAAGCCTGCTGTTTCACCTACCTAAACCACTGACATTGGGAAGGATCTAATCTTTGTCGAAGATTGGCCCCTGTTAATCCAGAACATGGCATATAGTGGATGTCTGTAAAAAAAAAAAGTCATGCACTTGATATGTTTTTTTCATCAACTGGAAAAGCAGAAAAAACCGGAGCCCCAGATGGGATTCAAACCCATGACCCTCCGTGATCTAGTCGGATGTTCTAACCACTGAGCTACTGGAGACTAGATGGCGAGCAAGGGTGAAATGTGGGTCTTTGACTAGAACGGCATCACGCAGTCACATAGTCAAACCAGGGCTCACCACCAAGCACTCGTCATTCACTCACCATCAAAATCGCAAAACACATGGACAACAACAGCAATGTATCATATCACTTAGTATTATATTGACAGTGCCAAAGTATAAATTGCAGCGATGTGCTATTGATGATATTTTTACTTCACGATGCCCTTGGTTGTAGCCCCTGTCACAGGCAAAACTGACACAATGTTTTTCAGTATGGCTGTTATCACTTCACAAACAAATTACAACGTGGAGTGCCTCTACTTAGATTAAGACAAACCTGTCTTTGGGTTAAAGCCAACTTTCTTTAAAAAGGGTGTCAGTTTTGTCTTGATTTCCTCATACCTGGACAACAAAAATTTGAAAATGGTGAAATTCAAAAGTTATGCATATATCATGGTATGGGTTTAAATCAAATTCAGGTCAAAATTTTTTAACCTAGGTTAATTCAAAATTCCCTAGGTCTCCTAGCTCTAATTATTTGTAAAAGATGGATAGGAGACAAAGGAACTTGAAAATAACCCTAGGTTAAAAAAAGTTTGACCTCTAAAATATACAAGTATTAACCACGAATAATTTGTTTGTTTAGAGTATAGGAAGAAAAAGCAGTGGAGGCACTACTGCAAGAACATTATGTCAAAATATTAAGGTGCTCAGGCTGTCACAGGCTCCTACCCAGACAGCTGGCTACTGAAGCGAGCGTCAACTAGGGAGAGGGAGAAAAACCCTTCCCAACTTTCCTTTCTCTCTTATTGGTCACAATATACACCATGTTCATGTAGTCCAATGGGAGCCTGTTGGCAGGCTGAGGGCTTGCAAAAACTTTCATGAACTGATGCAATGAATGCATTTATGCACTGACAATGCTAGTGACTCTATATAAATTTACGACAGTTACTAATTGGCAGAAACTTGAGAGGCAAGAACTATACTTGCATGCTTTGGCGAGCCTTGAACATCCACTAAAGACAACATGTTGCAGACACAGAGTTCTGACAAAACTTGCCATAAACATTGAAACAGTGCCTCAAATAAAAGTTGACTGCATTTTATTGGACACTACATTGAGAAGTCAAGACCAAGTTTTCTGGCAAAGGTTCTATTTTGGAACCCAACTCAAGTGATTTACCGTTGAATATGTTTAAACTTGTGATGCATGAACAACTAAAATCAAGTTCCCAGTCTTTACGAAATTCTTATACTGGCTAAGGCAGGATTTGTACAAACACTGTAAAAATCTTAGTCAGAATGCCCCCTGGCCTTCCCAAAATCCTAAGGAGAACACTGAGTTACAATGGATCATGAAAAACTAACCTTGACTCAGCCCACTCCACAGTAGGATCATCCATTTTATTTACAAGGACAACCAGATGTTTTACTCCAGCTGTTTTCGCCAACATAGCATGCTCCCTGAAAGCACAAAGAGTGAGAGTTTAGTTATTAACAATAATTCAGACCATATTAGGCAATATGCTTACACTGTAAAAGATAACTTCACTAACTCTTGGACTACAAAATTCTTTTTCCTCAAAGACATTTTTGTGACTCACTGTGAATGCAGCCTATACATGCAAACTTTTACAGCCTTCCTACCTTGTCTGTCCTCCTTTTTCAAATCCAGTTTCAAATTCTCCTTTCCTGGCAGAAATAACCTGAGGAAAAACCACCAAATTCCAATGCCATATATAAAAAATGATACATGTATGAAGATCAAAACCACAAGGTGTGTATTTTGTAGATCAAAATTATATCCAGGTAAAAAATTTTTAAATCCACGTTGATCATCGATTTTTCTTTGTCTCCTTACCCTCATTACATTAATCATGGTCATAAAAAATTGGGTTAGGAGACAAAGGATTCTTTTGCAGATCTGCTAGTTCTGGAATAGAAATTTCTCTGGAAAGTGAAGAAAATTTTCCATACAAGTCACAAGCCTGCTACCTCAAAATACTTGAAAACAGACTCAGAATAAAGATGGCGTGAACAATGAAACAATTCTTGCAATTTTCAAGAAAAAGAATGATCATCGGGCCGGACCAAGGAGGCTTCAAATTTCAATAGACCTTTCCATGTTTTTTTTGCAACTTTTGACATGGACAAGTTATGGACAAATCCATTGTCTCCACTGAAAAGAGTGCCTTTAAATTAGTACAACTGCCAGGTTTGACGGTGATTTGTTGAAAACTAACAAAGATATACAGTTGTGGCCAATCAAAGTCACAAAATGTTACAGATGTTTGTATGGTGGGGAGACAAACCTGTTCCCCATCATACAGAGGTCTGTAAATTTTCACAACTATGCAGAGCTACACTGTGTATCTTCGCTCATTTAAGGTGTATCACTTTCATACTTGGCTAGTTTGCTACTTTCCAGTGGTGTTGACTGGTCTTCCCTAACTGTACTAAAGCATTTCTACTGAGCAGCATGAGTGTACAAACTTACTAGCACTCCCAGATCAGCTTGACAGGCTCCACTAATCATGTTTGGTACAAAGCTCTTATGCCCAGGTGCATCCAACAATGTGAAGTGTTTATTGGGAGTGTCAAATGCTGCTCTTCCAACTTCTACTGTTTTACCCTTAAAAACACCAATTGGGAAAACACTCAACCATTTAGCTCAATTTGATCCACATTCACTTTTGTAAAACAATAGTTCATTCTAAGATTGTTTATAGTTCTGCCTTCAGCATTGTGTTCAGTGTACAATACCTTATCTCTTTCTTCTTGGTTTGTGTCTAATGCCCATGATAGATACCTACAGACAAAAAGGTATTTTACTACTGCCAGAGTGCATAAATCATGCATGACTGATGTAAATAATTATCATAACTGTACGCAGTAATTCAGAATATAAACGATCAAGTTTTCCCACAAACTGGTTTGATCACATTTACGTAGTATGGGTTAGGCAGATGAAAGTAAGAAAGTTTAAAACAACTTTTCAATTATAAAGTACCCTTGGACAGAAGGGAACACTTCCAAAAAATCCTATCAGACATCCAGAAGAGAGTTTTATCGGATGGCAGACTCAGTAGAGTATTAATTTTGCGGTAAGATGATATCAAATTGTGACGGATAATACCTCTAATTAAGAGGTCATCAAAGTCTAGTTACATGTAATCAGGAAAGTTGCAAAGATTTAAAGTTGCCGCATACACTGTATATGCAACTGGTAGGCAGGAACAGGTAGGACGTTTTTTTGGTACTATTTCCCTTTGTTTGCTATGAGAGAAGCAGGTGATGCTTGTAGTAGCCCACGGGAATTTCCAGCTCCAGCCCTTGTGTAATAGCAAGAAAACATTTCTGTCAACAGCTTTTGCTTGACCTACCATGTCTCTCTGTTTTTTTCTTTAGCTTCTCTTTCATATTTTTCAAGTGTTCTTTTGTCTACCTGTCCTGTCAGATACCTACAAGTATGACAACAAAATTTGAAACATATCAATGCTGACCATATCAGACAGGTTTAAAAACATGTCCAACAGTAAAAACAGGGACAGATGTTGACACACTTTCACCCACAAAAATGAAACACCTACCAACTTGACATGGAAAAAACACATCACCATGAAGTCTTACTATTACTGGACATTGTATTTTGTTCCATGCAGTGATAAGATAGATATGAAATAAAAGGGTCATATTTCTTATTTTATTTTGTACACAGTGCTGACACAACGCTGTTGTGTGAAATTTGTAGGAAACGCCTAAGTCTAAGGGAGGACCTCCTACTGCTAAGAAGATGGAAAACAAAATACCAAAGACAAATGTCTTGACACAACAGATACACTGTAACTTACATAACATGACCACCAATTGTTGATTTTCCAGCATCTAAAGAAAAAATAAATAAGATCAGTTTGCTTCTGTTTTGTGTGACGATGATGAAGTATGTTTCTTACATGTTCCAAAGAAATAGAACAGTTATGGTTAAAACAAAACTCTTACCAACATGACCAATAAATATAATATTAACATGTTCCCTCTTGTCTTCTTCTTCAACTTCTTGTTTAGAGCTGGCCTTCTTCACCTCAGGTTTGGCTTCTTCCTTCTCTGCTTCCTCTTTCACTTCAGTATCATCTGTTTCATTATTTTCTGCAACAACAAAGCATTTTCTTAAAAATTTGGAAGTGTCTGGATATGTTGTAAGAAAAGGTGACCAAGTGCAGGTATAATAAGATTATTGTCCCAATTGAAACCTGGTACTGTTGTCCTCAATAGACGAGTAAAACTCTTACTATGTTACAAGATAAGACACTTCATGTTTGAAACTCAAAATACAGGCTTATAGCAACATCCACAGCGGCTTTGACACAATGGAAGTTCAAAGTACATTGTTGATAAACAGCGGTACTTTTTTACAACAAGATCAAACACTGGGAAACTTTTCTTAGCACTGACAATTACTTTCTTAAAGACTGACAGTGTACTGGTTTTTGTCCTTAGACAGACCAGTGATACCTTATCATCACTTATTTTTGTGAGACTTTATTTTCAAGATTTAAAAAATGTAATGAAATTTAAGTCCTACAAAAAAAAGGTGCCACGAAAATTGAAGACACAAAATTTAGCGATCTACAGCGCGCCTGTATATAAAAACCTTTATTTAAGTTTTCCATCTGCAAGAAGTTACGTATGAGTAGGAGGGCTCAAGTTACAGGTCAACCCATGTCCTTATTCCTCATCATCTGACTCATCTTTCTAAATTAGTTCCTGTAACACTTCCTCAGAACAGGCTTCAAATTTGCCATCAAAATTTACAACTTTGCATTTGGTTGAAGTTCAGAAACAAATGGAGTTGGGAAACAGTACTGATCACATTGAGGTCTATTTAGGGCCATCTGTGCTGAAGCCCTTACATGCCGCCTGGCTGGTGAGCTTTTACAACCACTTGACAGGCAGTGTGGGAAAGCTGCACATTGCAAAACGATGGAGCAAAGCGCAAATATCTGTTGTGGTTTAAATTTTTCCTTGGTTTAAAACTTTTCAAACCAGTTTATAATTTTTGTTTTTCTTTGTCTCTGATTATGGTACTTGATTTTAGACAAAGGAAAGTAAAAATTAAACTGGTTTGAAAAATTTTAAACCAAGGAAAAATTTGAACCACAACATAACCAAACTTACTTAAGGGGAAACAACCTTATCGCCTGAAAATAAGTTAAATAGTGCCTTATCAGTGTACTTATAAAAGATGTTTAGTCATGTTGCTGACGTTGTTGAACATTTAAGCCAGTTGCTTGTTGCATCTCTATTCCATTATGGTTAAATAAAATGCAGAAATGGAAGTCCTAAAGACGAGCACCAGTGTACTTGATTAGCGAAATTCAATTACCTTGAAAAACAGTGATTCATCAAAATTGTGAAATTTAAGTCCCACAAAATATTTCTATTCCAAATTCGGGAAATTAAAGTTGCACAAAAATAAGTGATAGTAAGGTAAGTTACTGACTTCCTGGTAGACACAGCCAAAAAGAAACTTACCCTCTTGATCCATATTTCGAGCTGACTGATTGTTTGAGGGTTCTGCATTTTCACTTGGAACACCTAGGGAAAACATTGAATACAAAAAATCAGATTGATCTGAATCCAGGGTTATAGTCAGCTGTCTAGGTGAAATAGAATTTCCTAAAGATGTGAGATGATCACAGGGGCTTAAAAAGCTTTGGTGGGTAAGATCTGGATATTTTCTAAATCAAAACAAATACCAGGGTTGTCATTAAGAGCCGAGGACCGGGGATTTTCTCCGGCTACTAAGGGAGTGGCCCCCGGCTACTTTTATTGTAAAATAGAAGAAAAATAGAACCAAAAGAAATCCCTAGCTGTTTGATTCCCTGCCTACTTGTTGTATTTACCTGGCAACTTGAAATCTTAGTGACAACCCTGAAATACATAAGCTTACCCTCCTGGACCTGTTGATCTTGTTCAGTAATTTCTGGCTTGGCATCACCATTGGTGGATGGTGCAACTATTAGTAACAAACAATAACAACATAATTGAGTAAAGAGACAACTTTCGAAAAAAGATTGAAAATAACATATGTGTTCCTTAGACTGCCCCAGGTCAGCAAACGCTCACTTCAGCACCCAGGCTACCTATTCAACTTTAAGGTGAAAGGGATGATGGGGGCAAGGAAGGAACTAATTTCATCATTCAAAGTTAAGGTTAGGATACCCTACATTTGGTGTTATATTTCTTACCATCCTGGGGAAAAGAGGGGGTAGGGAAGAGGAGAGGTGACTTCATTTAGTTTTGAAGTAGGTAGATTTATTGTTTTAATGGGTGGCTCAGTTAACCATCTTCAACTAAAGAACCAGAAGAAAACCCAGCAAAGTTGCCAGCCAGAAACCTGAAGTAGGTGGTGATATTTGCTGACATGGGGTTTTAGATCATGAGGGCACTTGCTAAATGCTAATTTTAGTATTTACAACATTGTGTGGTTCCAGAATAAACTAAACATCCCTTAAAGGAACAATGGTAAATTCCAAAGGAGAGAGGCCAAAATTGGAAAAAAACCTTAAATTTTTAGAGGGACAGGGAAGAGTTTAGCCTCCCATGCAGACGTTTTTAGGGGAGCTTGTTTTTTATCCCTTCCCACAAACACCTGCCTTACCGAAGACAACATTCCTTTCCCATTGTTTTATTTGCGTGGAAAGTGACCAATCAACAGTTGTCCAATAAAATGTTGACAGGTTAAAAGCGACTAAAACGTGACCCTAGAGTTACCATTTTCCTTCTTTTCTTTCCTTTGATAAGGTTATGCAGTGCAAGGAGTATTCTAAAATTTGACTAACTCTATTTTTGCCGCTCTGAAACTAACATCTATTAGAAGTCAGGCAGCTTTCCTAGTGTTTCTTGCAGGTCGAGTAATTATCAGATTACCTCGTGGTCAAGGTCAACTTTCCAGAATTTGGAAAGTGCAATGTGATTCGCTAAGCATGGGAAAGGAATGTTGTCTTCAGTTGAGCAGGCGTTTGTGGGGAGGGATGAAAAACAAGCTCCCCTAAAAACGCCTGCATGGGGGCTGGGAAGAGTTGAGCTAAAACCCTCCATTGGTGGAGTAAGACTATGGAACAACACATTTTCACGACAAGAAGGAAGACAATTTCATAACAATCAAGAATCTTCTATAGAGACTGTTTCCTAAATTCTCATTACCTTCATTCTTGATTAATCAGTGATATCATTAGGAGAAATTAGACACTCATCGACAACAGGGATAACATTGGTACAAGTAATGAACAATGATTATGATCATTTTTTTAATAGATACAGAGATACAAAGAAGAAAATCGAAAGCTAACCCTTTTTAACACTGCGGAAGATCTTTACAAAGTTGAAAAATTATTTCGGATTCGTTATTTCAGTCTAAAACTTACAACAGTAAGCTTATCATTTGGCTTAGCTTACTAAGCTTATAGTTTCGAACTTCCAAACACAACAGTCAGCTTTCACCAAAATTTAATGCCGTCACATTTTCGGCGGAAAATGAGGCTAAAATAATATCAAAATTCACCAAGTAAATAAAGAATAAAATCTTACCATCGGCCGCCTGAGTTTTCAGAAACGAAGGAACAAATACCGGGGCATTCACGTTTGGAACGAAAGGTTTTGCGTTCACGTTGAGTGAATGAAGTTTTTCAGAAAGATCGCTTGCTTCTTCACTAGTGTCTCCGGGACCAGGATCATCTAAAGAGTCCCACGAATCTGGAGCGTTAGCGTCTGAATCCATTTCTCGATCGTGGTTTGCTAACGAAATCGTGATATTTACTGAAAAAAAGTTAACCACGAGAAATGGTGCAATTTTCACGCCGGTTTGACGACATGGAGCATGCCTGGTGAAATCCGCTGACACTATATAGCGCGCTAGCGCACAATGTTATACGAGTGTTCATCTTCATTTCCATCATTTACGCTCAATAGCTTCCTTTCTCCTTCATCTTCCTTTCTTTTCCCCCATTAGCTTCCATTCTCCTTCATCTTCCTTTATTTACCACCATTAGCTTCCATTTCTCTTCATATTCCATCATTTACCCTCAATAGCTTCCATTCTCCTTCATCTGCAGTCATTTCCCCGCATTAGCTTCCAATCTCCTTCATCTTCCTTTATTCTCCCCCCCCCCCGGGAGGGTATTTAGGATTTAGGAATTTCTGGGTGGGGATGTGCCGCTGAGACCCTGGAGCCCTTAACCTATACCAGAGCTAGCTCGGCTGAATTTTGCTACCCTATACTTGAGTAAACTCCCCAAATCCCCCCTATCCTAGAGTAGCTGTTTTCCAGAAACTACTAAGGTCACTAGCACAGTCTAGCCAAAACAAAACCACCACAATCCCTAGTCTAGATAAAATCTTCAACCAACTAATCAGTGTCCTGAAAAATGATACCCTATTCTAGACCAAACGCTCTGATTTATATACCCTACCATAGAGTAAATTGCTTGAAAACCATAGTCCATCCCCGGGATTTTCCCCCATTAGCCTCCATTCTCCTTCATCTTCCTTTATCTACCACCATAGCTTTTATTTTCTGGTGGTAGATGTACACTCTTAACATTTTCCGAAAATACCACCGTGCGTTATAGATATATATAGTGGATGCATATACATATATGTCATTCTCACATGAAGTATATGCCGTTCACGGACAGGACACGGACTTACATTTGAAACATATAACTAATACTAATCAAAATATTAGCACGGAAAAATCATTTTCTCAGTAGTATCTTGTTTTTGTTAGTTCAAGGAAGCGTTTTGGTCTTGGGGTACCTTTGGCCGGTCAAGCAGCTGCCTCTTAATGGCCAGTGCTCTTCTTGAACATTAACGCTCTTGGGGTTAAACCTGACAACTCGGCCACGCTTGCAAAGCCAACTGGTTTACCTCCAGCCGGTTGGCATCCTTAACTCTTTTTCATTCCCTGAAAAGCCCTATGATAACATTGTAAATATTTTTTAAAAATCTATATTTTTTCCCCTTCATCTGTTGTCAGTCTAACCCCGGGCATCTAACCCTTGTAACTGGACGGATAGCGACAGCTGATAGTGGTCTCTTCGATGTAACCTTCGATCAGAGCGTTTTAACATGAAGGGCTTGGTCGCGCGCAGGCTACCTTCTTACGCCGACCTTCGATTCTTTATGCAATTAAATGAAAAGCGAACAAAGTCCCTTCAGAATTCTATGCAGCTCCCTTGGCCCCCATATAACAATTTCATGAAATAGCACTAAGGGCGAGTGTTAATGCCAGAGCCTTGCGCGTTTTTCACCTAAACATGCTAAATCATATCTTTTTTTCTTTCACATGAAATCGACTTTTCGTGCCTCTACATTCGTCCTGATCTCAGTGAAACAGCGCGTGCGATCTGGCGAAATATTGCGCGCGAGCTGCATGTTCTATGACGAAACAAACGATTTGCCAGAGAAAAGACAGATCTTCTCAGATGGATTGAGACGTCTGGACGTCTAACGACAAAGATGGAAATACAAAGATTCGTCTTGAACTGCCTCTTCCGAGTGGCAGTTATTGTCATGTTGTTTCGTTATGTTGCGCTGAGCATGGTAAAAACACTGCAAAGCATAGCAAGAAAGATCTGTGTTAACGTTCAGCAGGAGTTAAATGTATTTCGCGAGTTTCGCGAAGACAGAAATTCGCCCGTATGGGACGAAGGACGTCTGTTTGAAAGTTTTATGAAAGGAGAGGACTACATTGTGTGCGCTCAGAGCAAGAGGAAAAATAGCCTCTTTCCTCCTCCAGTCAAGACCTGGAAAGGATTTTCGATTTCAGGTGCCCCGTTAACTCAGGAGCGTTTTCTAGAATTAAACGTTTTCCTTGGAAGTCAACTGTCTACTTATTTAAAAACAAGAAGTGAACAGGAAAGTCAGGACAGCACCCAGCTTGTTTCCTGCGAGAAAGATTTCCGTCAGCAAGCAACCAAAGACTCGGCTACGGGAGATGGAACGAAATCTCGGGCGGTAAACGGAAAGAAAGTTCGCTCCGAAGTTAAGGTTACAAAAATTACACCGCTGAGCGAAATAATGGCAGTCATGGCGAGAGTGAAAAATAGGAAGAAAACAAGACGGATTAAAAGCTCTACCTTTGCTAACAAAGCAATTAAAAGAAATTATTCTGATGTAGATGATTCTTTCGGGGAAAAAGAATCAGTCAATCCAACTGTTAAGAGGCGAAGATATACAAAGGTTGCGGAAAGAAAAAAGACAAAGATGTCAGAAGGGTGGAGTCAGCCAAGAAAGGATTCCCGACGCCGCAGGGAAAAGGCGTTTAAAGAGAAACGACAAGATTCAGATTCAAACAACGCAAGAAATCAGCAATCATCGGAGGCAGAGATAAGGCCTCTTTCACCCTTTTTTGAACATTCAAAGAAAAGGAAAGCTAACCAAAAGGAGGCAGGAAATATTAAAAAGATGATGAGTGATAAACGTCCTCTGCCAGTCGCTTCTGTAAATCAACCTGTAACTGAAGAATCTATGGACTACAAAGAGGAGCTGTTATCGGCTTCAGCTTCTATTACAGAAGTCGTGTCTCTCATGGAGCAACTCTTCATTTCGAAGAGTAAATCCACAGAACCTGCTGATCACGTCGTGGGACCCCATCAACAAGAGTTGCCTGTTGTGGAGGCTTGCTACGTTTCTGATTACCCGCCAGATAATGGTGATGAAAGTGATGATGCAGAATACAATTTGTCAAATGAGCTTAAGAGTTTGCCAGAGCAAGCTGCTGACCACGTCCTGGGACCCTATGAACAAGGGTTGCCTTTTGCGGAGGCTTGCCACGTTTCTGATTACCCGGACTCAGATAATACTAATGAAAGTGATAATGCAGAATACCATTTGTTCGCTGAGCTTAAGAGTTTGCCAGAGCAAGCTGCTGACTACGTCGTGGGACCCTATGAACAAGAGTTGCCTTTTGCGGAGGCTTGCTACGTTTCTGATTATATGGATTCAGATAACGGTGATGAAAGTGATAATGCAGAATACGATTTGTTCCCTGAGCTAAAGAGTTTGCCAGAGCAAGTTTTAATGCTCATGTCGATGCTACAGTAGAACTTTATCTCGGTTGTTAGTGACTTGTTAACAGTGCAATTAACACCATGGACTTCTTTTCAGTTAAGGCTATGCCCCGAAAGAATACCTCAATTTCGTTTACTTACTCAGAGGTCACACAATCAACGGAGAACAGGAACGTTCTTATTCTCTCATTCGTTAAAATTATGGTATTTATAACCGACATTTTTGTTTCGAGCTAATGTAACGCTGTAGTTTGAAAAAAAATTTACAGTGGGATGGGGAAGGGAGATTAAGTATTAAAAGCATGTTTAGTGAAATGAAAGTATTAAGCCTTACTAGCACAACTCCTCCAGTTCAATTCATTTGTTTATAAATCATATGTTTAAAAAGCCATGCGCAGTTGGCAATGAAGGCTGGCACTTAGTGAAAAAAAGCAACTGAAATATAAGTCTTGTGAAGAGTGTAAACTTCTACTCGCGCACTGAAAGTGCCGAGGAGTAGTCTAGACTCTTTACGATCGACGCAAATCAGCGGCAAGAACGCGACATCAGAGATCGAAGAAAGCCCATCGACAAAACGCGCCGCGTTCGCCCGTGTAATGAACGAAAATACATTTGAGCGCTGTTTCTGACGTAATACAGTAAAAACCCGCAACTAAGAACCTAAAAATTAAGAACCTGTTAGCCTAAAATTGGTCATTTATACCCCCTATAAACAAGAACCTATTTAGCCTAAGAAATTTAAAACAGGTTCTTATTTTCTAAAATTGAGTGCAAGATATGTAGACTTAGAAAGCATACTAACTACTTTTTCTCCAGGATTAAGAACCCATTTTAAGAACCTAAATAGCCTAAAATTCTGTTAACTACCATTTATATAAGAACCTGTTTAGGCTAACCCCTAAAAATGTAGGTTCTTAGTTGCAGGTTTTTACTGTAGTCAAAGCGTGGTGATTCGAGAAAACTTATTCCGGGCTATTCAATGTATTTCCATCCCAGAAAAAGGTCCCTAAATCAGTTAATACACAGTCTTAATTTGATCTTTTGAAGTTTATTAAATGATGTTTAAATTAAGTTAAAAGTTAACTCATACTTAGTATGAAAACATTTCACGTCCACCTTAACCAAGTCACAGAGCAACGGAAGCTGGTGAACTGAACAATCTCTGCGGTCACGGTTTAAAACCAGATTAACTCGAACAATGCCATAACGTAAGAGGTTTTTTTAACAGACTTCTTTAAAATACAACCGTTCTTCTTTGATTTCTTCCCCTATTAACGTTTTAATTAAGAATTTATTGTTGTTTCGATCCCCTGATGTTCTTTTTTTTTAAAACTATATTGTTCCTTTTTTTATATAAATTAAACAATTAATTTATCTCAAGTTCCCTCTTCTCTGTATGTAACAATTTCTTTTTGCTTCCCTCCTCCGTTTTGACTTCAATTATTTCCCTCATCAGAGTCAGTTGTCTTCAAATCTCGCACAATTAGCGAGAAGGCGTCCATTACGACTTTTCCGTCTTGAATCTTCGGCAACTTTCGCATTCCCGACTACTCCTCGACTTCTTCGGATACAGTATCTTCGTCATATTCTCTCAGTTCCTCTCGACTGTGAGTGTGATTTGCTCCTTTTAGTCGGCATAGATGTTCATTTTCTACGCGTAGAAAATTCCAGATGAATCGTCTGTGAAGAGAGCAAGGAGTTAGTTAAGCAAAGTGTAAAGCAATGGCTCATAATTGACACACGAATATGGGTAATGCAGTGTTTGTTGTTGGTTATCGAATCAGATGCTACTACAGTGAGGAAGGTGCAACGGGTAACGGGCAATGGACAACGGGAAAGAAGGAACGAGCACGCGAACCAAGTTAGGTTTTGTTCCCACTTTTTCATTTCCCGTTCCTTGGGTTCCTTGGTGCCATCCACACGTATCCGGACATTCTTGAAACCACATCTCTTTTTACCCGGACTCGTACGTGTAGAAACAACCTCATTCCCAGGGTTCTCTTTTACCCGTCCCGAGGGAACGAGGGAGAGAGAGAGAGAGAGAGTCTCTCGACGGGTAGGAGTGAGAACCTGGGAACGAGGTTGGTGTAGAAAGAGCCTAAAAACCAATCTGGAGAGCGGTTTCAAAAAGAAACTAGGAAGTTTTAGCATCGACGACTGCGACGGCAGCGAAAACGTCGTCACTTTGTCGCGTTTATTCCAATTCGTTTATTCTAATTCGCTGCCGTAGCCTTTGCAGTTTGTCAGAAGCTCCCTATTAACTAACAGGCCCAGCTTGACATGAGCTAATGGCGGCGGTTACAAATAACTCAGGTGGCCTTACCTGAAGACTTCTAATACAGCTAGTAACGCAGTCAAAATTTCCGAGTGGAAAAGACCCGCTTCTCCGACGGAAATAGTCAGAATCCACGAAAGACGAAGGAACAAGTCACTAACTAGAGCGAAGTAATAGAATCCCTGTAAGAAAAAAAAAACAATACGAGACGTGACTTTCTTAATTAATTCCGCCGAAATCGATCACTGTAAAGAGATTAAAAAGCAAACGTTTTTTCCGTTAGAGACTAGGGAGCTTAAGCAAAGGAGTTTTGAGCAACGCACGTAGACGGGAAGTGAGATCTTTGACACTAGCAAATTTGCATCGCTAAGTGTCTTTACTGTTATAATAACGACGATTTGCCTGAAAATTTTGGCAAAACCACTGCCCAAGGATGCAAAAAGTCCACTTCCGGTCGACGTACATTGTTCAAAAATGCCTTTGGTTAAGCTCCCTAAGGCTACTTTACATTATTTTAGTTGTTGTTATCATTTTTTTGGTTATTTATTGGCCTGCGTAGTACGCGCTTGGAAGTAGTGGGCACAAGAAAAAAAGGACGCGCGAGAAGGAGACCCTCGCGTGTCTCCCTCGCGCGCGCCCGCTCTCTCTTTCGCCCACTACTTCCAAGCGCTAGTTATTTATTCACAACTGTCAGTCCTTACCAAGTTTTTAAAGAGCAGCTTTGCTCTCAGAAATCCATGATTTGGCTCCATCAAACCCCAGTCCATCTTCACATCCCAAATGTACGTGTAAACTGTGCTTACGAGTGCTGAAAAGATCCAGGAAAAGAAATAGAAGTCCACTTGTTGTTTTCCGGAGTTCTCTGTTGACAACAAAGGACGACTTGTCAGCTAAAGTTACAACACCATTTTTTTATGGCAAAGTTATCCCAGAGCTATCACATACAGTTACCTTTGTTAGTTGTCGCCACTGTTGAAAAAAAGACGACAAAAAATGTCGTGGAGTATTTTCCAGCATTGGCGAGATGTGGGAACTTCTGTTTGGTATCATCATATCGGCGCAGACTCTGCGCGAAGCGCCACCAAGCAGGGAGGCAAGCAAGCAGCGGTCTCAATCCATATTGCTTGCTACCACATTGGCTACGATCTAAGAAAAGTAGAGAAGAGAAAAGAAAATATCAGATTGTAGACGAGATGAGATCGAGAACACTCGGAACGAGGTTGGTCGAGACGCCAACCGCAACTGGAATCTTGCATATGAATTCTCTGATATGTAACTCTACATACAGTTTTTGCACTGATTTTCAGTTTTCTCTTTATAGCTTTAGGCTTTGTCCACACTAATCCGTTTTCAAAAGTATGCATTTTCGTTGTCATCGAAAACGCATCGATCGATTCGCGTCCACACTACCGTTTTGATGCGTTTTCGACTGTCCACACTAAAACGTTCGAAAACGATAGAATTGCACTTTGTGACGTAAGTTGAACTATACGCGAATGCTACAGACACACGCACCCAAGATACTTTCTGTCATCGTTTGATGCATTTCGACCTTTTTCGACCGTCCACTTTAATACGATATGTATACGTTTTCGTTTCGATCCATTTTCAAGAGAGTTTTAAAATCATGCGTTTTCAATGAAAACGCTCAGCGTATTAGTGAGGACGGTAGATCTCAACGCTTCGAAATGTATGCATTTTCAAACGAAAATGAATCGCCTGTTTCATTAAAATAGTGATAAAAGAAAAAATTCATGATTTTAAATATTTACCTTGAACCGAGTAGAAATCTAAGGCATAGAAACACGCAAGGTACTCCATGTCCAATATGGCTACCACTAGACTATTTAGCTGATCTGCTAGCCAGAAGTCTGCAAATGCTACATGGTGGAACGGCGCCGTCAAAACCCTCCACTGCCAAAAATAATTAAACAACGATAAACAATTAAATACCCAAACCAAAACTCGAATCATACTTAATTTTTTGTTATCTCGCAAGACTGGATCATTCGGGTCACGTGACACGACCGCCCCACGAGGTGTGTTGAAGGAATTCGCCCTTTTCTTTTCATAAAGAATGAAATAACCGTCGTACCTCCATGTGACCACCTCCCAGAAGAGACCAAGATATTTGAGAGAAATAGTAGTTTTGACTAGTAATAACTAAATGTTAACGAGTGCGGGCGACGGGGCGGTAGGAATTGGAATCACGATCGCTTTGTTCGATAGGTAAGAACTAGACAAAGTGCCGTAGACTGCTAATTTCTTCCTTTTTTTTTGAGCCACAATCTCTCCTCCTTTTTACCATTAATTTACGTAATTTTACTTTTTCACTCGCCGCGCTTGGCTCTGATGAACGAAGGGCAACCGATCGCGGTCTGAAAGTGTCGCGACCGAATCTAATTTTTGAAAACGCGCCAAAGCAAAACAAACCACAAATATAACTACTGTTGAAAACAATTTTAAGATAAAACGCACTTACCAAGGCTTTAAGAAGCCAGAATCTGCAGTGTCTAAAATTAAAGTTCAGGGTGTTGATAAGGAAAACTGCAAACATGCAGGTCAATGTTATAGGATGAACGTAATGAGCAATTCCAAACTGATTGGAGAAAAGGAAAACAACAGCACTTGCACCCCACGCAACGGCGAAAAAGATTCCAAGCTGTTCAGAAAGAAGAGAAGAAGAAAAAAAGCGTTAAAAAACAAAAGGCCTATAGTTTTGTACGCGCACTGAAGCGGGTGAAATTGATATGCTATTATTTTAGTCAAAAAAGTCTTGGACAAGTTTATTCCTTTATGGTCTCAATTTAATAATATTCATTCTGATTTTCTCTTAGTCCTTTATAAGAAACATTTGAGGGATACGTATGTTAGTTTTAATTTGCCCGAGTCGCGCATGACTTCAGTTCAGCTGGGATGTCACCTATGTTAACGCTATGTTAGAAAGATTATGTTAAGGTCTGTTAACGAAAAAAATTACTTAAAAACATGATGAATTCTTAACTACAGTGAGCACTTAATCTACACCTTGTCACCAAAATTGGACAAAGTCTCATATGTTTACATTAATCCGGATAAATCTGAACCACAGAAATCACATGATTATCGCCACGTCAACGTTTCCAAAAAGGTCTGTTTTCAAAATGTTTTGTACCCTGCGAGCAACCTCTCTAGGGGAAGCGGGCACGGAGGGGGGGGGGGGGGGGGGGGTACTAATTTCCCCCCCTGTTAACCAAAATTGAAAAAACTGTTAATTTTTTAAATAAAAACGGAAAAAAATCAACCCCGAAGAACAAAATATTTTCCCCCCCCCAAAGGTTCAAAAAGGGTTTTTTTTTAAAGTTTTGTGGCCCCCGGGGGGCACGCCCCGGGGGGGGGGGGGGGGGGGGGGGGGGGGGGGGGGCGACAATACTCTCCACTTTTCACCCCTCCGCGCCACCAGCCCGAAGAGAGCTTGCTCGAAGTGTTTTGCGTCCATACTGAACCGCAAAGTCGACATTTTCAAATGATTTATTCATTTTCAAGACGGTGTGTTTGAAAAAATTACACGGATACGCTGGAATACACCACTGAAGCTCGCAAAAAGGTGTTTACTTAGCTTGAACGTTATATCTGGCTTGATCAGGAGTCCCCCCCCCCTCCCCTGCGGTCTATAACTTACTTCTAACACGCGAAGAGGGCACAATTTATTCTTGAAATCACAGATGTGAGCGTGATTGATGCCTACAGATTGCCATCCGTAAAGATTGATTCCAAATAGAAAGAATTCCAGGACAAAGAGAAACAGGCCTCTGTACATACGGAACGCAGGCTCCCACTGGATATCATTGTCTGCTTTTATGGCTGTAGAGGTGAATAAAATTGGAAGCTAAGAATTTAAAGAGCACTTCTCAACTGATATAGTTCATTAGAGCGCATGGTGGCAAAAATAAGATTTGAATTTCTCTAATTTTCATGAACCAGGAAAGACAAAAACTAATATAAATGTTTTTTAAAAAGTAAAAGAAAGGTTTTAAAGCGACCATGCCGCAAAAAAAAGATGCAGTTATCTTTATATTACTTAGTTGAAAATATAAACTGAAAATTTCCATCTTATAAACATAAAATATTATTCTTGTAGCATTTTTTTGACAAAGGTTTGAGCAGAAAAAGTCGTCTTCAAAACGATCGAAAAACTATTAGCTAACTTCGGAATTTGCTTTGTTTTTTGACACAGCAGCAAATCTCATTTTTGAAAACGTATCCCCGTCAACGGAACCCATGTGGATAGGGGCGTCCTTCCAGTGTCAACAGCTGGTTTTTTGTCGGCTTGACGTAATCATAGGTATACAGGAGACTGGTTAGATCTGTTTATGAAAGCCGGCAAACATCAAACTTGAGAACAACGGTGCTGTAAGTAGCTTATGTTGGAAGCCCCCTGGCCGTGCACAATCCTTTTGTTCACAAACTGTGACTGAATAAATTAATGCGATGTTTCTATTGGTCAGTAAATTTAAAATGATAGGAAAGCTATTGATCATGAAAGTTGTGCACGGTCAGGTCCAAAAAAGCTAAAAAACATATAACAAAGGAGTCTAATGGGTTTCATAACCATTCCACTTTAATAACTATGGCGTAATTGCTCGGGCAAATTCGATTTAAGAGGCAACTCGTCGGGGGTGTGGCTCAGTAGTAGAGCGTCCGCTTCGCATGCGGAAGGTCCGGGGTTCGAATCCCCGCACCTCCAAAGTACTTTTTCTTTTTATAAGCGATCAACTTAAATTTACATCCGACTGAATTAAACTAATTCCGGCCATCAAAGTGTCTTTAACTCGTTCGAAAAAATTCGAGTAAAAAAATAGACTGCACGTCTATGCTTTCCATCGGTTTCTTTTTCCTCACCTGCGATCACCAGCACGGCAAAAAGAACGAAGAACATGCCACTCAGAAGGCCAAGTCGAAATATCAGCCAGATTTTGTAATCCTGATAATAAGAAAGTAACCTTCGTAAGTAGAGTCAAACCTCCCGTTTAAACACTCCCCCCCCTCCCAAAAGAGGGCCAAGTGTCCAATATTAGTCACGTGGTTCATTAGGTATCTTTGGATCAAGGGACCTAAGTAGAGGTTCGATGGTTTAAGTAACGAAAAGCCCGTCAATCTCTATCTGACTTTTGCAGTTGCTACGTTTCAGTCTTGTTTCAGTCATGCTCTTTGAGTCTCCCTTTCTTTGGAAAAAAAGACTGTTTAACCGGCTGATTTTCCTAAAAGGACGACATGGGTGGATTTGGGTATTTTTCTTAACAGGGGCCCACCTTGCATTGTGCACCCGGGAAAAGCCAATAGTTCCCATTCTTTCGTGCCGCGTGACACATTTGTTTCTACCACGAATACCCACGTCGTTATTATACGCGTAATTCACGTGACATTCAACAAGAAAAAAAATGAAGAACGAGATTTGAAATAGTCGTCCCTTGTGACAAGTGATAAACTGATGTTGATCACATCCCATAGTTGAAAGGCACATGAAACGCAAGTCTTATTTTTAAGCTATGAGATGAAGGTTGTTAGCGAAGCTTCGGGCTTTCTTCGGTGGCTTATTTCAATTTCGTGGCAGGTATCTGAACACTTTAAAAAATTGCTCGGATTTCTTTAGGGTGGTCTGGACCCATCAAACATCCGCCCCCCCTCCCCTGGATCAGCCACTGGAATAGTTTTCCGTCCCTTTCTTTGCAATGCGTTCTGAAATTAAAGAGGCAATGAATAATCTGGGTACTGATTCTCTTGGAACATTTTTAACAGCTGCTATAATTCGGCCTGATCTTGGGTTGAGTGGACGGTGGACTGAACAAAGAGGAAGGTTGACGCCCAGCAGATGGGTAGAGATACCTGAGTATTTTCTTGTGTTTCTTGTGAAACTGAGTCTGGTTCAGCTTTCTGATGGTAACTCTGATCTTCCAAGTCATCGTCAGCCTCACAACCCTGTGAAAAATATGTGGATTCATTATTAACAGGTGTTACGTTACTCCAGTTATTTACTGTGGTGGAACACTCGGGGGATGGGGGGGGGGGGGGGGGGGGGGGGGGGGGGGTTTTAACAAAAAAAAAAGGGGGAAAGAAAAAAAGCCGGACACCAACTTTTTGAAAAAAAAACTTTAGATAGACATTTTGCGTACCCTGCCCCTTTTTTCTCCCTTTTTTTGCGACCCACCTTTTTCCCCTGGTTTCTTTTTTTTTTTCTCGTGAAAAATGGAGACATTGTCGAGGGTTTTTGTTTTTTTTTCTTAGAACACTGCATTAGGCTATTTTCTTTGGAAAACCCCCCAATCCCCCAAACCCACCCTCCCCCCCAAACCGTGAAAAAAAATTTGGTTTTTTATTAAAAGAGTTTTTATGTTCCCCCGTTTTTTTTGGGGGGGGGAACCCGGGGGGGGGGCGGGGGGGGGGGGGGGGGATGGTGGGTATTGACCAAGAAACAAAGCGGTAAGTAATAATAGCCGGCAACTACTCTTTGAGATAACAGACTTCAGTAGTCAACTTGCGCTGACTAGTCCTGTATTCTTCCCTTGTTATCGATACTCAGTCTTTCCCTGGATTCGCTTTAATTTTCTCGCGGAAAATAGTGAAACTGTACAGGGACGTCAATTTTGCTTAACGGTGAAAAACGCTAGCTTCACGCACTGGTAGAAAAAACGCGCGAAGAGTGGACTCAATGAAAATATGTCTTTGAAGCGACTCAACTCTTATTATGAAGGGAATCAATTTCGTGATGCAGCGAAACGACTTCATGATGCAGCAAAATGACTTGTAACGAAGCAACCGGACACCCTCTTTGATTAGCGAATAATCGTAATACCGTAAAATCCGAAAATAAGCCCTTCCATGTATAAGCCCCTCCAAATATAAGCCCTCCGAGCTTGTAACGCGAAAAACCCTCCGTTAGATCGCCCCTCCAAATATAAGCCCCCCGGGGGCTTGTTCTTGGAAATTGTCCTCAAATACAAAGCAAAACAAAGCAAAAACGGTAAATTTCCTTCCAACTATAAGGCTAGTCCAATCAATTTTGAAACGCAAATTCCCCTCCATAGATAAGCCCCCGCCCCCCGAATATAAGCCCCACCAAAAATAAGCCCCTCAAAAAGGGCCTCAGTGCTTATTTTCGGAGTTTTACGGTATCTTTTAATTATCACACTTTGATTTTATAGTTGACCAACAAGCCATTTGCATGATCAGCAAGCGGAGATTAACGCGTGAGTAAGGCTCTTTCTGATTGGCCAGCAGACTCATTAGCATACAATGCTTCGAGTTGTTTGTTTGGCCAAAACTACACGATTTTCGTTCCTAAATTTCGTTGCGAAGCCTAGTTTGTCCAATCAATATAAAACAAGGCGAGAAATATAAAAATCATTTGGTATTAGCTTAGGATAACAACATTACTAAAATTACTGTTCCAAAATCATGTCAAGTAGTCAAACTTTTACTGGCTGGCTAAACTTTACCGTCAATCAATTACTGGCGTGACCAGAAAATCCAAAGGTCGACAATTTCAAAATATAACATGTAACAACCCGTAAAAATCAAAACTATAAATATTCATTTCAACAAACATTTGAAAATCAGGAGACACGCTACACCACCATCATTCAAATCAACATAATACATAACAGAAACAAAATACTGCATGAAGTTGGTCGAAAACACGGAAAAACAAGCTAAAAGATTGTTAAACTAAAGGAAAGAAGTAATTTCCTGGAAATGTACAGCGAAAGGTCAGGTTTGAATATGCTTAGGTGTAAACATGCTTAAGCGTGTAGAAACAAATCCCAAAAACGAATCACCGGTCCACACCGAATTCTTGACGGAAGAAGGTTTATGTTGATCACTATTTTAATTCACCTGATATCTTGTTTATTTTAATGCTGCAACCTCTTCATGATCCCATCATTAAAAATCCCGATAAAATTAACCTCAAAATTAACCACTCGAGTGTACGAGTGTGTCCCTTTTTATTAAACATAAATTAGAACTAAGTACAGGTAAACTGAAACTTTCTTTTTCACTGTTAAGCACTTTAAACATTCCGTGAATTAGAAAAGGTCTTAATGGAAAAGAAAGAAAAAAAGGAAGAAAAATTTATATACAAGAAAAAAAGTGGAGGTGCGGGGTTTCGAACCCCGGACCTTCCGCATGCAAAGCGGACGCTCTACCACTGAGCTACACCCCCGAGAGGTGACAGGAACCGGAAATTTAGACGTGTGGTGAATTTTCCTAAAACCGAAGTTTATTTCGCAACATCCGCACAACCTTTTACAGTTTAGTTTTTCTGTGTCCGATCGTGTACAATAATTTTTTTACTTTATTCTTTAGGGTAACATTTCTTGAATCATGTGTTTCATACGTTTTCGTGGAAAAAAAAAATCAACGTTTACAGTTACTGTACAGAATATGACCGGCCGGCGGAATTTTACATTTTCACTCTTTTCAAAAACGCCAAGCTATTAGAAAAGGGCCGTCCCAATCATTTCGTTCTGTTTCAGACGACCGGCCAGATTGGAAAAGTCAACTTTGATAAGCAAGGTAGTTCATTCTCGCAACTCTTGTATTGCGCAGAATAATATACGATTATCAGAATATCCATTTCTTCGGCAAAAAAAGTAAGAATGTTCAAATCTGGCTGGTATGTGGTGTAAGTTCTTTTCTTTTTGACTGATGAAATGGTAGAAGCCATAAAACGTACATCAAATCGTACATTCTCGGATGCCTTCCTCTGCCGGTCACAGCGGTTTTCAGTCTCTCGTCAGCCGGTGTGGTTTCGAACGAGGAATGCAAACCTAAGGGAACTGTCGCACAAATACCCGCTACAATCAAAAGAAACTTCCAACGCCAAGCGTTAAAATAAAGAGTTTGAATGAGCTGAACTTCACGCACTTAATTTGATGCAACTAGCGCATTGAATGAAACAGGGTGCGAATGTCATTGAACGCCGAAATTTGTTTAATCAGGGGGTTTAATACAAGCTGCATTAAAAAAAAAATAAGAAAGACAGTTGCTCGGATTCCCGGTAACCATCAACGACGTCCCCAAAGCTACAAAGGTGCAGTTGAAGAAACTAAATTTATTTACAGCACATATGCATAAAAATAAAGGTCAAGAAAGAAAACAAGGGCAGCTAAGCGGATTTGAGCTGCTGACAAATACATTTTCATCTATTTCAAGGTCACCTAAACATCACGTATGATTCAGTCAAATTACAGTCTGTACTAAAATGAAAACTATATTTGATTGTTCTTAAAAACGAAAACTTTAAATATGCGCATATATTTTAAACCCCTGTTTTTGTCGTTAACAATGCTGCACAGCTTATTTGAACTGGACCGATCGAAGGGAGTGCCTGCACAAAATTGAAAAGCAAAGATTGCAATGCACAGGACATGTCCATCGGGCAATTGGGTTTTAACATTTGAAGCACCAATGTTCTCTGTAATAGTTCGACACAGAACGAAACGAAGTAAAAAGACAGGCTACAGACTGTACAATACTGATCGCGCTTGGTTGCTTTCATATTAAAATGAATGAGCAAGTGCGGTGTGTTTAAAGAGCTGATTAGTCAGCTGTAAAGCAAAATCACTTGAACGCAAAACAAAATATTTTACCTGGTAGGTCTGCAGCCTAGCGAGGGAGCGATTGGGACATCGTCTCTGTTTTATCCCGTTTGTATCACTGTCCAAACTCTGCACAATCGTCATAAGCGCCTTGAAATGCATCGCGGATTCTTGTTGATGAATAATTACTGGTTCTCTGTAACGACTACAATCGAATAACCCTCAGCCTGATCCAACGGAACAGGCAGAGTTATGTAATAAAAACCCAAAACTTGACAGTAACACAGTGTGGGGTTTGTGGCTATCATTGATTTTGATACAGCCAGAGAAATTCGAAAATTCAAGTAAAAGACGGAGGGAAAGATAAAGAACACAGGCACAGAAACAGAAGGTAATAGAGAAAGATAAGCCGCATCGCTTCCAAAGATTTTGTTTACAGTTTCCCCCGAGTCACATGAACACAAGAACCAATCAGGAATGCCGATATGTTAACATATTTCCATTAAGAAACAAAGAGTTATTGTTTTAACTTGTTTCCGTTCATCAAGTTAGTCAATTCCCAAGGGTTCCAAGGTCGCTCTCCCGGATGTAAGTGAAAATTTTTAACGCAGAGATAACACTCTTCGTTTAGGCAGAAATCCTTCGAGAGAGCTATCCTAATTTTACCTTAAACAATCAACTGCCTTTTAAAATTATCACTCCCAAGAAAGGCAATCCTGAATATATTAGAGGATGGGTTATGCCGGGGTTTCAGGGTTATGCAATCGTCTCCCCTCTCTGATCTGTCAATCGGTGGTGAAAAGAAGCAATCATTTATCTGCGAGCAAGTTACCCGGGGGAGAACCTCGTTATCGCGGGTCGGAATGCTCATCCCGTTCAGGCACGTAAGTTGAAGATTTTGGAACCACTTAAGGGTTTTTAGGATCAAAAGCCAATAACTGTACCAAAACATGTGCTAGGTTTAGCTTTACAGAGGTGTGGGTACAGAAAGTCATATGTTTTCTGATATTGAGCTGGATTATGGATCGGTGTTTAGCCAAAGGCTAAATTTGCAATAATTTTTGTCTACAGACATAACAAGAAATTAGCCTTTAAGTCACTCTGTATTATTATAAAAGAAAAATACTAACCAAGAGTACCCATTATGGATCGATCCCTAGAGGTACTCCTCATTGACTCCTGTGATACCCATAAGCTATGTAGGTATAAGCCGCCCTAAATGGTTTGTTTTTTGCGCCGTTTGGGTATGGAACCGGGTATGGTTTTGGAGTAAAAACGTATTTGTCTTTTCAGTTCCAAGTGAATAAAGTCTAAGTCTATGCAAATTTGAAATGTATCTCAAGAAATATTTTGGTTGGCGTTGTAATCGAAGTGATGATGACATACGTAGTAAATTATGGTTAAGTCATTACTATGTAAACATGAGCCTAGGTCTGAAAATGGGTGTGGAAAAACTGAAATACTTTTTGGTCTGAAATCGGGTGAGGCCGTTTGGAAAACCGGGCGGCACCGTCCCCAACAAGATTTCTCAAGAGTACCCCCCGGGGATCGAATCTCTTCCAGCAGGCACTTGAGCCACACCGGAAAAACCGGGATAAAACACTGAGCCTTTAGACTGCGAGTAGACTCTTATTTTTCTTTTCAGTCACAGAAGGTCGAAAGCACGCGTGAGGGGTGAGCATACTTTTACTTTTTCTCTCGCCCCGCGTCGCTCGGAGGAAAGAAGGACGACCGCTCGCGATCTAATGAGCGTGATGAAATGTAATTCATTTTTCCGACTTCCCCACTTGAAAAAATAGTAGGAAGAAAACTGAAAAAGGCAGGAGCGGATTACAGAGTTCAAGGATGTCCGCGAGAGGAAAAGATCAAATAACTTGATCGACAGGACTCCCCCGCCCAAACACGATTTCCTGAACTTGATCAGTTCTGGTCTCGAGTTCGGGTTTCGAGATGGAATCTAATCGCGTTTATATTCTAATTCGCTACCCCGCTCAAACGAATATAAAACATTTATCATGTAACAAGCAACCTTAATTGGGGTGTGTCAACACGAGCCGTGTGCGACCCTCTTTATTATGCCTTCATCAACAGAATGGACGGAAATAATACAACAAACAGAATGAAAACTCGGAAATGTAAAAAATTACAGCAAGAAAAACAACCCTACAAAATGATCTAAACTATGCTCGTATAACAATGATTCAGTAAACATACAAAACGTGCTAAACCTTTCATATAGCAGCATGCAAAAAACTACGTCTAAGAGAAAACCCTGGTCACTGGGTATTTAATTTTGAGGGCGTAGGGACGGTTGTAAGACGCGAATGAATATAAATGAGAACAACTCAAATTATAGCCTACCGCTAATGAAACAACAGAACAGCATACCTTGTAACACCCCAAAGAAAAGGTTACATAAACCATCATAAATACATTTCTCACGCGAGACTCTCTCCTTTTCCCTCTTCCCATGGTTCACCGCGCGCTGTCTATTCTTCAATTATTGTGGACTGAGTCCCCTGATTATTGCAATTTTATCGGGATACTCTGCGGCAGAGCGAGATGCTACAACCCGGCAGGGCTAGGGCTTCGCTGCCCTCGTATGTCGTCATCCGCTTGTTTGGACACCCTCTATGTAAAGGGACGGAACTACGCCAATAAGGGACGGACCATTAGAAAAGTTATGGGGAAGGGGGAGAGGGGAGTACCAGAAAAGAACGCTCGTAAAAGGAAGAATTGAACGAAAATAAAAGAATATATATTCATTCAACTCGAAAATTCCCCAACTTCCCCCGGCCCTCTCTATCCCCTGCAAAAATCTTGCTTTACCGTTCCTAATAACAACTAGAACCACTACGTGGAACTTACCGGGGCCCAGTGGGACATGGGATTGCATAGATATAGTTTACCT